AGGAATTACAAAACCGAATGCTTTGAAATCTTAAAGATGTTTTAAAATTATCATAAGCATGGTAAATTTTTTATCAAAATGTATTTGGTCGTCCCCCCTAAAAAAAATTATGACGTCACCACAAAATTTTGTTGAATAAATTCTACCTAACATGTACAAAATATGGTGAGTTTCTTCTTGCCATTTATCATTCCATTCAAATTTTTTCGATTTCCATATACAGAGTGACTCAAAAAAATTAATGAATGCGTGAATTTATTTTATTAAGTTAATCAGGAACAACAAAACCGAATGCTTTGAAATCTTGCAGATGTTTTAAGGTTATAAAGAGCATAATAAATGTTTAGTCAAAATATATTTGCTTATCCTCTCCAAAAAATTGATGACGTCAGCTCGAAATTTTGCCGAATAAAGCCCATCTAAAATGTCTAAAATATGAAGAGTCTATACTTGTGATTTAGCATTCTATTAAAATTTTTTTGGATTTGCTTATACAGGCTGACGCCAAAAAAATTAATGAATGCGTAAATTTATTTTATTGATTTACTCAGGAACTACAAAACCGAATGCTTTGAAATCTTGATGATTCTTTAAAGTTGTCATAAGCATGGTAAATTTTAGATCAAAATGTATTTGCTCATCTCCCCTAAAAAATTTATGACGTCACCACAAAATTTCGCTGAATAAATCCTATCTAAAATGTACAAAATATGAGTCTCTTCTTGTGATTTATCATTCCATTCATATTTTTTGGATTTGCATATACAGGGTGACCCAAAAAAATCAATGATTGCGTAAATTTATTTTATTGATTTAATCAGGAACTACAGAACCCAATGTTTTGAAATCTTGCAAATGTTTTAAGGTTATAAAGAGCATAATAAATTTTTAGTCAAAATATATGTGGTTATCTTCTCCAAAAAACTGATGACGTCAGTTCAAAAGTGTGCCGAATAAATCCTATCTAGAATATACAAAATATGATAAGTCTGTACTTGTAATTTATCATTCCATTCACATTTTTTGAATTTGCATATATAGAGTGACTCAAAAAAATAATGAATGCGTAAATTTATTTTATTGGTTTACTCAGGAACTACAAAACCGAATGCTTTGAAATCCACTGCAAAAAAAAACATAATAGACATGCAGTCGTCACGTTTCCGACAGCGAGGGAAGTACTGTCTAAACTCTTTAGACCAATTTTTTAGATTTGCTTTTACAGTGACTTAAAAAAATGTATGGATCAGACAATTTATTTTATTGAGTTGCAGAAATGAATACTTTGAAATCTTGCAGACGTTTTAAAGTTATTGTAAGCATGGTAAATTGTTATTCATTAAAAATTGATGGGACGGCTCACTCGATTTTCGCAGATAATTTTGGAGATACAATATGAATATGTTACATTATACTTTTGGTGCGAAGGAAGTTCTATCGAAAAAACGTTCGATCAGTTGTTTGACAATGGTTGGTATAAATAAAACTGAGTAGATGCTCATACTCGAAATACGAAGCATCTACTCGAATATCAAATCCAAATGTTTCTAGTTTTTCTAGATGATGCTAATACTTCAATAGGTACCAGTTGATGCTCAAGTAGCATCTCGATACAACAAAAAAGGAAAACAATGACAGTGTTCAACCATCAAGGCAAAAATCGGGCCACCAAAATATAAGTCAGTATGGGTAGACACCTTGAGATGGGAATCTCTATGGCCAGTGTTAGAAAAAACGTACTGCACAATTTATGCATAAATAAAAGTTAATTACCTGAAAAGTTTTCGATATTCCCGCTGCTAATGTGTTTTCCAAACTGAATGCACCTTTTGACGACGCTCCACGTTCATGAAAGTATCCATGTTTAGTCAAAATTCACTTTTACAACGATCCTACTCGTTTTCTAAGCTGCTTTACAGACAGCTCAGTCATTTGCCACGCCGATGCTCATTTTTAGATTAAATGCTCACAAAACGCGTAGATGTTCAATTTGTGTCCGGGGAGATACAATGTTTCCAAGTAAGTACTCAGTACATAGAGTAGATGCTCAGGTATATAAGATTATTACTCTTTCTAGGTATTTCGTACTTCGAATATGAGTATCTACTCATTTTTATTCATACCACCCAATGTCTCGCTTCAATGTTTGATGATGTTGATTATGAGCACAACGCTGATCAACTTCCGTATCCGAATTACCCATGAAATAAATCATTGCGATTTGCACCTGAGGTAGTTCGTCGCATATTTGATTGACTTCGTGGACCTATGTCAGCTTGTCGTCTTCTCGGCATTGTAATGAACTTCATAAAACGACACAGAATTATTTTCACATTTTCAATCAAATCTGTAAATTTTGTCTTGAGAATTTTAAAATATTGAAAATTTCAAATTAAATCCTCGCATAACGGTAAAGTTTGAGGTTTTGTCGAAACCAACAAAGTGAAGATACGTAAATAGAATGGCAGATCAAAATTAATAAGAAACTTTCGCAATGCGTAACTAAATTCACTTTAACCAACACTTTTTTAAAAATAAACGACGTTTTTTGTTACGAAAAAACAAACAACGATTTGAAATGCAAATTAATACTTTTCACAATCGCACGGAAGAAATAGTTTTGCATGACACGTCAGTCAGGCGACAGGTTCCGTCAGGACGCCAACTATTCAAATTGATACGAAATGGCGATTCCCGTGCAAAATTTTTAAAATTTTTTTATCTTTAACCGGTCTCATTTTTCATAAATATTCTTACATATAAACCTTCTCCTGACGATAAGGAACACGTAAAAAAAGGAATCGTCCGATTCGGTGCGGTCGTTCTCAAGTTATGGGCGTACATACATTTCGGCGATTCATTTTTATTAATATAGATTCCTGCTTTGTAGCATTAGGATACAACTTTCTATATGGAAAAACCTGTAACAAAACATTACTTAAAAATATCCTCAACAGTAACTCCAATATATTACATATAATTTAAAAAACTTTCTGAAATCCGCCGTTTTTATCAACTTCACAAGAGAAATATTTCGTCCAAAAATTTTTCGGAACTCGTTCAACTCGATTTGATTGTTGGGTTTTGATTTAAGAATATGTGAAACCCTTTCCATGATTGCGATCTGTTTTGTCTTGCGTTTGCGATAAAATCGCGACAGATGTATCAAACCGCCGGAAATATTTTGACGCATGGGTAGCGATTTTAAACAGAAACTTTGGTGCGCAATCAGGTAGTGTTGCAGTAACACTTTTCTGTTGTGGTAAACCTTTTTAACGTCATGAGGTAGCGACATTTTGCTTTGAGTGAATTCACCCTGGTCTCGAGAACGTCCGATTTTTTCCAACATATAGTATTCAACGTCCTGTAGTTCTATGTTCGGGTCGGTTTCTTCGTTTATCAGGGCCTTGCTTCGCAAGGATTGATCTCCCATGAAAACTAGCTTTTGGTCATACCTATAGTTCAAAATTTAGTTTCGATTAAAAATAGCTACAGAAATGTACACTTACAACTTAATAGCTTTGTCCACGGAAAATTTGCGGACCCCGTTATTCTCCTTTCTTGTGTGAAAAGTTGAACAGGATCCTCTAATTTCAGTGCCATTAACTGATGCAAAGGGATAAATATCGTTATATTCCATAAACTAAAAACATTTAATTACTATTGTTACAGTTAAAAATAAAATACATACTGGTTCAACAAACATGCCTGAATCAATATCTAAATATTTACATCGATCAAAAAAAACTAATTCGTTTCGCGGCTCCTTTAAAACGTAAAAATTTAATCTTTTATTACTGCAAATAACCCTCCAAATTTTATCCGCCACACTTTTACTAATGTTATTTGGAAATACATTTTTAAACGTTTCCAAAATGCTGTAAATTAAATTATAAAAACAAATTAGAAAACGCAGAGAAACTTACCCTCAAGGGTAATTCCATCTAGGCCTTCTAGCGCAATTTCGTCCACAATGTGAAACGCCAGGTCTAGCTTTTTAAAAGATTCATAACTGCACTTTTTCTCATCATTAAAAAATAAATCTGACTTGGAATGCACGCAATGCATTAAATACATATTTCCACTGCTGTCCACTTTCGTATAATGCAATTTATGCCTTTTCTTTGAGACACTTTTCTGCCTTTCTGGTGCAGCTGCTTTAGATTTCGTTATTTTTGGTCTACGGGGCTTCGTTGTTTAGTCATTTATAAAATAAAACTTCCCGATTTTTTTTGGTACTGCATTATCAGTGTTGAAGACATATTTTCGTTTTCTTGAAGCCATTTCGTATAGGGTTTCATTGTGCACGTGCTGTCTTCAGAGAAAGGAGCCTCCAAATTGTCTTTTGGTAAATTATCTTCAGCCATGTAATCTTCTGCAGTGAACTGTTCTCTTTTAAGAATAACAAGTTCTGGCAGTGACACTGCTTTCTCTGGTTCTGGTTCTGGTGAGGATTCCATTATTTACAATAGTTATTGCAATGAAGCTTGAACAAATGATGAATTAAAACACATTTCTGCAATTTTTCACCCAAATAACTGGTTTGCAATGTACACAACGTTGTAGGTTATGTCGTTATGTTGAGAGAGGTATTGCCAACCTAACAACAAAACCTTGTTTTTCATTGTTTTTGTTTGATTTTTTTGTTTTAGTAATTATGATTGCATTAATTGGTCTTGTTAATGAAAGCAATTCGAACAACGAATTCGCGTAAATTAAAAGTACCAATTTTTTTCTTTAAATTATTAATGGACTTCAAATCAAATTTTAAAAAAAATAACCACGCCCACATAACCTCTACCCACTTGTCAAAATTTTCGACGTCAAATTAAAAACATTTTTATCAATTTATTACACCCAAAAAAAAAAATCCGTATCCAGTAACATATTCCTCACTAAAGCCTTCCAGAATGATTATTTAAAGCCACTTTGTTCGTTTCTGCTCACTTGAAATGGCAGTTACATAACAAACATTTTTGTTTTATTTTAAATTCTTACAGCATGATTTAAAATGGATGAGGTACTGTTTAGAAGTTCACAGAAATTCGAAAATCTTCAGGTAATGTAGCGTATATGAAAACATTTCTCTGACATTTCTGTTACAGGTTCAACTAAGCTTAGCGGCGTCTCAAAGTAAGGACCTTTTCCAGCAGTATTCAGAACAGAGTAAATCTGCGGCCCTACAAGTCTGGAACAGTTCATATTCAGAACAGGTGAAAAATAGTATACATGCTTTATGGGACTATGTTGTAAACTTAAGCGTGAAAGCTCAACAACAGCTTTGGCAGCACCTCGACCCTCAAAAATTATATTACAGTTTAGCACAAGTTTTCTGGAAAAAATGTAAACCTGATTGTGACGTGTGAAGTTCACAATACATTGTAAAATTTGTAGGGACGAAGAGAGATGTGTGTTTTTTATGTGCAGGTTTTGTGTGTGGGAGTGCTGCAGGGATGATTTTTGCCTTAACTATAAAGAAAAAAGAATCCATTGTGAGATACATGCAGGCGATTCAGTGCACGAATTATCTAGGAATTGAAGTAAATTTGAATAAACTGCTAATACAAAAAAAGTATGATTAATTTTTTGTTAATAGTCGGCAGCTGTCGTTGAAAATGCGAGAGCTCCAGATGTATGTAATGAAAACGAGGTAATAATCTCTGTAAAAGCGGCCTCAGTACATGTAGTAGATGCTCAAATATGTAGTGGATATGGGAAAAGACTGCGTAAAATTCTTCAAAAGATATACAATAAGGTTTGCTTGTTTAATGTTTGATGGACACAGTAATGATTAATATTTTAAGCACTCAAATGGAGGTTTGCCTGTAACTTTAGGTCGAGATTGCACTGGAATTATTACTGATGTAGGCTCAAACGTTAGAAGACTAGAAATTGGGGATGAAGTGTGGTTGACAGTTCCATTTTGGCATGAAGGTACAATGTCGCAGTGTGTGATCATCCCAGAATTTAGAATAGGTAGAAAACCAAAAAATGTCGGATTTGAAGGTGCCTGTAGTCTTCCTTATGCAGGGACTTTAGCTTTGAGTGCCCTCAGACAAATCCAAGTAGATCAAGATAACGCTGAAAATAGAAGGTACTTTCAACAACTGAACAAATCAGTGTTTTATATTAATTTTTAGATTTCTGGTGCTCGATGGTTGTACGCCCGTTGGAAGTGTTTTAATCCAAATTTTAAAACACTGGAAAGCCAACATCACAACAAGTTGCACCAAAAGATCAGTTCCTGTTGCCAAAGCCTTAGGTGCAAGTGAAGTCATAGTCTCTCCAGAACCAGTTAAATCTGATGATAAAGCCATACTTAGTTTAGAATTACCTCATGAGTCATTAAACGCTTTTCAAAAAGAACTTGAATTGCGAGATAAATTCGACTTTGTAATAATGACGAAGAAATGCGTCCTAAACACAAAAACACTTGAAGATTTGTGTTTAGGACGCATCGTCTCAACTCAACCAGAAGACTTGTATTCCGATTCTTGTGGGTTTCTTAGCGCCTTCTTTATACAAAGTTATATTTACATCAAGTCTGTTTTTGAAGTAAGTTGGATCTTGTATGTTGATGTTGACGAATTTTTGTAAATTTTTTTAGAAAGTGTTAGGTGCATCATTTAACGATTTTGACGAAGGACACATGTGCTACGTGAGTTTGGATGAATTGGCTGAAATGGTGGAAAATGGGTATCTCCAAACTGTCGTCGACAAGGTGCTTCATCCACAGGATATAGAAATCGCCTTGAATCACATTCAGTCCTGGGATTCCATAGGTAGTACTGTAGTCACATTTAGATAAATTTTTAGAGAGCTATAGATGACGAATAGTACAAACGAACGTTTTTTATAAAAGAAAAACGCAAAAAATAGTAACTTTAGCAAAAGGGTACCATTAACTTAAGTGTGTCTTAACGGCGAAAGAGCGACTTAACGTTTCCTCTTAAAACTGTGCCTTTTTTGTACTGCCAACATTATTTATTTGGTGATTCTTGTTTTATAAACTGTATGCAATAACATGTTAATAAATATTTGTTAGCAACAGTGGGTGAACTCAGGGAGCACCATATATTTTTAAGACAACAAATCACCTTTTCCGTCCTTCCTTTGAAGTTGAAATAGCCGCTTTATTTGAATACATCATTTAAATTCAGAATAAAACTTACGATAATTTCTTTAGCTGGGAAGTTATTAAGCCTATGGTGCCTCACACCATCAATGATATAAAAATGTTTAAAAGAAATTAAGCACCGTTACACTGTACTTGCGTGTGTGACCACAAATAAAAATTTATGATTTAGTTATCTGAAATTCCACATAACGTATTACTCGCTAAATAAAATCTTTGTTCAAACATTTCTTTTTAAAACATGTTTATTAATTAAATAAAAAATTTAAAACAATACGTAAAAACAACTATCTTTATATGTAATTGCTAGAGCTGCAATAAAATGAAATTAAAGCAATCAAGATTCATACTCAGCTTGGAAATTCTTAATATTTACAATACGGTTGAGATTTTTTCCACTCGAGTCGTCGCAAAAAGTTGAGTAAGCTAAGTATAAATCATATTTAGTTAAATAATACCACATAATATGATGCTATATATCATAGAAAATCTACGAACTAAAATAATCGACAAGCTAAACTTGACAAAATGCAAGGCAAATGTTCCCAGCTGACTTATGGAAGAGAAGAGGGACCAAATAATAAATAATTGAACATTCAGTGTCATGGAATATACATTTAATAAATATTATCATATTACTTTAAAGCAACATATAATATAGAGACTTTGACTTATCCGTGTTTATTGTCGCTAAAACGGACAGTATTTTTGGGCCCCTTCAATTACAGTATAGCTTGCGTGTGTAAAAACAATACATAAAATTTCTTAATAGACAACAAATACATATTTTAGTTTAATATCCACAATTTATACTCAATGCGTCATTAGCTCATATATTTTATATATAACATGGAATGTGATGGATAAATTTTAACTTCTCTTTTGATGAACACATTGGAAATTTAGTTCAATTTTCAAATCCTTAAATTTTTAAAATATGAAAAGCACTTTTTTATTGCAGTTTTATCCACTTTTTACATTATAATCACTAAACAAATAAAACAAAACAAATAAAATAAAGTGATTAGATTAATAAAAGTGACCATACACCAAGCTTGAGAATATTCGAACAACTTAAACAAAGTTAAACAGTGATGTACTCACCGAAAATAAAACAATCTTACATCTAAATTATAAATATTTTATAATACACAAGAGGCCAGCTTCAGGTAGTTTTTGTCAGATGCAAACATTAAATATGGGTCGTGAAGCAAAGCTAATGAATTGAAAAAAATTTCGGCAGTTTTTCAAGCCAATTACTCCAAAACCTAGAAACTCTCAGTTAACACCATTCAGACAAAAACCCCAGATCTCACCACCTTATTGCGGCGGCTGCGCTGTTTGCTGTTGAATTTCTATCTTCTCCACGGTCATGTCCGGATTCATAGCTGTGGCTTCTTGGATGGCTTCGGCTAAGGCCCTATCGTGGTCTATCGGATCTCCGTCTGACTGAATCGTGATCTTCTGCTCGACTCGTGTCTCCACAACACCATCGCGTTCAGTTTTATACTAAAACAATTATTTTGGAGTCAACAATGGATTTGAAAAAGTTTGTTAAAACTGACTGTGATTGTTTCAACTGTTCTAGTTTTTGAACTGATGGTCTGCGAGCTGACAATTTCGCCGGTTGCACTGTAGTTGCCATCGTCAGAAGTCAAATGCACTTTTCTAGCTTCAGTTGCTACCACTGGAACATTTGTTGTGCTAGTGTGATGGATGGTTGGATCTCCACTATAAACAACGCTTTCGGTCTGGACAATGCCCCCAGGAAGATCCTGAACAGATAACGAAATGAAAACATCACATTTGAAAAAGTTCGAGCGAGTGTAACTGTGTTGAAAACAAGAAATCAGGAAATACACAAAACGTGTGTTAGTGTTTTGTGAGTGTATGTGGGAGCCTGTGAAGTAAATACATGACGTAATCAAATGATTTAAGCATTTTCCCTACAACATGCCCACACTCAACATCAAACATCTAATACGTACAAACACACTTACTTGTCACGTGCTTACTTACTCAGTATCGCACAGCGAATTTCGTGAAACGTACCTTGTATACTTTATTGTTGTAATATGGGTGATTTGGATCATCTGGTGGATCAATGGGTGTGCCAGAATCACCTGAACTAGTCGAGCTAACACTATCTCGTCTGCCCAGCTAAAAGCCATGCAAGTTAAGAAAAGTGAAGAAAGCAACACAAAATTGACTTAAATGAATGATAAAACAAAAGAAAAAAGTTTCAAGTAACAATTCTGAAAAATGAACTGTGATTACTTTTAATGACCACACTGATTAATCTGTTAAATAACCATAAAAAAATAAAGCAACAAAGGGATAATAACCTGATCTCCACTAACAACAGTACTGGTTGTTTTTACTTCCTGGGTAACCGTGCGTTGTTCTTGTCTTGTCGCGCTGGATGTCATCGAATGGGCCACAGTTTTTTCTTCGAGTTGCTGGGTGCGTGCGTTAGTGCCTAGATCTTCGTGCGTAGTAGCAGTACGTGTCGTTACAGCACGGGCGGTAACGAAAGGTGATTTACCATCATCAATCGGTGCATCGGCCTTTGTACGTAAAGTTAAAAAAAAATCGTAAACAAAAAAACAAATAAAACAACTGAGAGAAACATGAAATGGCAACGAAAGTATAAAAGAAACGACTTAAATAAAACGAGGCTAAAGTTCAGGTTTTGGGACAATATAACTATGAGAAAATGCACGTGTATGCGTTATTAGCCCCACGCTGTCGTTAAAGTAATTATTTGCTGGAATTTTGTAATTAAACTTACATAATAAAATGTTCAGGAAAAAAGTTCAAACAATATTGCTATGTATTAAGTAACAGGAAAAGTAGCATATTTGAGCGTAAAGTGTGCGCAGCTCTAACTATACATTCAGTACACTTTCGTATAACCTGACCTGACTCAACTCGATTAGATGTTTTAGTTTATTTGATTGAAAAATTTTTATTATGTGTGATGATAATATATTTTATTTTGTTGTAGTAGCGTAAAGCAGTGCCATAGAAAGTTTCTGATAGTGATTAAATATAAAATTGAAAAGATAGGTGTATTTCAAAACAAACAATAGTAAAACACTGTATAGAAAAAGTTCGATTATACTTTGATAGATTTGGAATCTTTGCATAAGTATGTCGTAAAGTTTTCGAAACGTTGAATACAGAAAATATGTTCAAACACTTTTAACGTATGATATTTGCATAAAAATTTCATTGAAAAGGAGCCATTCTAAATAATTACATTTTTAAATAAATGTGAACCACATCTTACAAAAACTGAAAAAGTATAGTCAATGTTATTTTTAGCTATTATTTAATACATTTAATTACAATTTAATAACCTAAGCTCTTTGTTAAATCAACACAATTCTTAAAGTGCCGTCCTTCGCGTTGTTAAAAATTCGATATGATCATTTTTTTAACATTACACCAAATCAAACAAAAACAAATTATCAAGTACGTAGATTGTCTCAAGCTGATGAAAATGAATACGAAATAAAAAAACAAACAAAAAACAAAAGCACTGCAATTGTATGCAACTGTAATAAAAACGAAACTATATTAATTAATAATCCTCAGCATACGGGGTGTTTCAAACATCTCTTTTACACCGAACAATTTAAAACACCCCTTAACATCAAAAAAATCCAAAATAAAAATTAAAAACACGAAATAGAAATTTTCAAAAATAAGTCTTAGCAGATCGGGCACTTTTTCAATGTAGTCGTAATAAATATAAAACAAAATCGTCTTACCTTATTGACATGTGTCGAGACTGTAATTTGTCCGGTGCGCCCATCTTCAACTCGTTCTTCGATATTCTGGGTGACCCCATCTTTGTCTTTCGTAACAATTTGTTTCGTTGTCGTCTTCACAATAACCGGAGTCGTCGGAGATTTGGCTGTCTTTATCGAGAGATTCGCTATATCCTTGAGATTCTCTGACGCGTATTCGTTCAAGTCGTCGTCGCTGGAAGCGTTTGAATCGTCGTCTCTGTACGTTTTGATCTTGATCTTGGTGTCTTTCAAGTCGGAGAAGTGAGTCGGGTCGATTTGTGCCCAGTTCAAAATTAATTGCCCCGTCACTGGATCTGTTCTGGCTGTCTTCGGATCTATGTCCAGTGTGACTGGATCGATGTCGCCCCACTCGGTGTGTATTTTACCAGTAACTGGATCAATTTCTCCAGAGAGAGTCAAAACTTGCGACACTTTAGTGTTGGCGTTCTTCACCATGGGATCGTTGGGATTGACTTGGATTATTTTACCCGTCTTGGGGTCGACCATCGTGTAGATGTACATGGTCTGGGTCGTCACACTAACAATTCTTCCTGTTTTCTCATCGAATTGACAATCTTGAGGATCGACTTCCTTAACTTTACCAGTCGGATCGGACTCCGTGATCAAATATACTCTGATGATGACCAATTTTCCAGTCTTCGGATCAATCTTTCCGTACTTGGTGTAAATGGTACCAGTTTTTTGATCAATTTCTGAAGCGGAATACAAAGGAGCACCGGTTTCGTCGGTTTCGCCAGTCTGCGTAAACACTTGGTTGGTTTCTGGATCGATTTTGGCATTACTTGGATCGACTTTCACGATCTTGGAGATAGCGCCGCTCTTGGGGTCGATCGTGCCGTAAACTGTGATAATATACCCAGTAACTGGGTCAATATGTCCAGTGGAATACACATCCTGTTTGCTAACGTTATCATGGTGATCAAACACCCAGACTTGGTTGGTTTTCGGATCGACTTTCAGATTTTCGACCGTCCTAGGGACGACTTCGCCATTTTGATTAACCTGAGGATCGTTGATGATGACACTGACGATTCTACCGAAGTATGGGTCTGGTTTGCCAGTTTTAGGGTTAATGTAGCCACCTTTGAACAAAATCTGGCCCGTACTAGGATCGACGAAACCTTGTTTGACTTCTTGTCGTCCCGTTTTAGGGTCAATGTACGTCAGTGTTCCTTTAACAGGGTCAAGTTGACCGTATTTCGTATCGACTTTGTGAGTACCTGGATTGTAGAGACCGTTGGAAATTTCCGGTGTGATACTTTTAGTGTCGATTGTGTTCTTTTTAGGGTCGAATTTTCCGACGAAAGATACAACGTACACCTCTGGTTCAACCTCAGAACCAACTTTAATAACTTGTCCCAAATCTGGATTGACGGTGTCGGTTTTTGGATCTTTTACATTGTTAGTTATGATTATGTTGCCCTCAGAATCGACTAGAATCGGTCTGGATTCTGACTTTCCGGTCTTTGGATCGACGGTTATAATCCTGAGAAGACGCAAATCGATGGTACCATATTTGGTCACTAGTTCTCCCGTGGCAGAAATCTTCTTGGCCTTAGAACTCTCCATCTGGCCATTATTAACATCAACTTCTCCCGTTAAAGGATTCTTTTTAGCTGTTATTGTAACAATTTCAACAACAGGATCATTCTGTCCCGCAATACTGATAACCTGTCCCAGTGAATTATCAACTTTGCCCGATTTCGGATCAACGACTCCGCCACTAATGACCACTTGACCGTTATTCTCGTTGACTTGTGCTGCCTTAGCGTCGATCTTTCCTGTTTTTGGATCATTCACGATCAATTTGCCGTTCTTAGGATCAATCAGACCGTACTTAGATTCGATCAAGCCGGTTTCAGGGTTCAACAACGCCGTCGACTGCTCGATTTGTCCCTTCTCTGATTCAATCTTACCGGTCTTGGGATCGATCTTCGTGGTGATTACCGTGATCTTGATTATTCGTTTCTTAGGTATGGGGGCGGCGTTGGGATCTTGGGCTTGTTTCAAACCAACAACTGAGAATACTTGACCCAACGTATCATCAGGTTTACCAGTTTTAGGGTCGATTACTGGACCTCCATTGACGGTGATTAGGCCAGTAGTCGGGTCGACTTTCCCAGGCACTTTTTCGATGTTACCGGTAGCTGTGTCACGAAGGACCAAACAACCAGTTTTTGGATCAATCTGACCGTATTTTGTTTCAATGAGACCAGTAACGGGATCTAGGATACCTGTCAAATGTTCGACTTGTCCGTTCTCTGTGTCAACAGTACCAGTCTTTGGATCTTTCTTAGAAGTGATAACCATGATCTTTACGATTCGGTGTTTGGGTACTAGCACTTCTCTACCAACAGGAGCTGCCTTGACGGGAGTTACCACACTTGGTTGTGTTGGTTGGACACTAGGTGGTGGTTTAACAGGGGTTTCGACAGCTTTAGGCTGTATTGTGGTAGCAACTCTTTGTAATTCTTTCTCTGACGGTTGTTGGGAAGCCACTGGATCGATAGCCGGTTCTGTAATATGTATGGACACAGCACGACCAAGATCTTTCTCGACTTTCCCATTCTTCGGATTAACAAAACCACCTTTGAAGATCAGTTCGCCAGTATTTGGATCCAAGTGTCCCTGTCTTGTGTCAAGTTTTCCAGACTTTGGATCAATAACCGTCAAGGTTTCTTCAACAGGATCCAGATGTCCATACTTAGTGTAAATCTTATTTCTATCAGGATCATAAAGACCGGGTGTCGTGTCTGGTGTAGCATTCTTCGAATCGATTGTGTTCTTTTTAGAATCAACTTTTCCGACGTAAGTGGTGACCTGGATTTCTGGATCCACTTCGCTGCCAACTTGTACGACTTGCACCAGATTAGGATCAACAGTTTTTGTTTTAGGATCGACAACACCGGATATTATAATATTGTCATCCTTATCGACTTGGACTGGTTTATCCTGTATTTGACCAGTCTTAGGATCACGTGTTGTGATTCTCATCAGTTTCAAATTGATTGTTCCTTGTTTGGTTACTATTTCTCCGGTTTCTGGAATAATTTTGCCGTTGGTGGTCTCAGGGCGTCCATTCGCCAAATCAATAGCACCTGTCTTCGGATCTCTTCGTGCCGTGATTGTAGTAATCACGACCGCAGGATGTTGAGGATCTACGACATTGATAACTTGGGACAAGTTAGGATCAACTTTGCCCGTCTTGGGATCAAGAATGTTGTCGTTGACGTAAATCTGGCCGGTGTTTTCGTCGATTTTAATAGGTGTGACAACGGGTTTCCCTGATTTGTCTTTCTGGACGATCTTATTGTTTTGTGGATCGATTTTACCGTATTTGGATTCGATAATTCCGCTAACTGGATCTACTGTTGCTGTTAGCTTCTCAACGGTACCTTTCTCTGTATCGATTTTACCAGTCTTAGGATCCTTCTTACTGGTGATGACCAAAATTTTAACAACACGTTTCTTTGGAGTGGGATGTGACGGAAGCGTGTTTTTGACAGCTTGTTTAGGTTCTTTAGCAACATCATCGGTACTACCCACCACGGTTATAACTTGTCCCAAACTATTATCTTTCTTTCCAGATTTTGGATCAAGGACTGGACCGGTAACAATCTGTATTTGTCCAGAGACAGGATCAACTTGACCTTGTATCGTCTCCTGTTTGCCTGTAGCAGGGTCGGTGAAAGTAACAGTACCTTTCTTAGGATCGATCAAACCATATTTCGAATCGATTTCTCCCGTCGGATGTAAAACACCAGCTGACTGATCTACGTGGCCGTTTTCCACGTCAAGATGGCCCGTCTTTGGATCCTTTTTAGCCGTAATGACCAAAATTTTGACGATTTTGTTCTTACCTTTTGGAACAATAGGTGGTGGACCAGGTAACTTGACAGGTGAAACTGGTACCGGTTTCTTAACATCTGCCACTGAAGTCGGTTGATTTTCAACAGCTGGATCAACTTTCTCACCTTTAATATCAACTTTAATCGTTCGTCCGAAGTTATTATCAACCTTGCCGGTCTTCGGGTTAATCAAACCTCTGAACAAAATTTCTCCAGAGGTAGGATCTCGTTGACCCTGCTTAGTCTCTGTTTTACCAGTCTTGGGGTCGAAGTAAGTCAAAGTTTCGTTAATAGGGTCGAAAACGCCGTATTTCGTGTACACTTTGTTAGTGTCTGGATCATACAAAGCAGTTGATTCCTCAACTGGCGACATGTTCTTAGGATCAAGACCTTTCTTGTCGACTTTTCCAGACACAGAGATCACTTTCACTTGTGGATCACTCTCCGGACCGATTTGAAGTATTTGGCTAAGATTTTCATCTTTGACTCCAGTTTTGGGGTGAATTACTCCAGACAGTATAATAATATTGTCTTGTGCATCAAACTGCACTGGACGCTCCTCAATCTTTCCAGTTTTAGGATCGCGCGACAAAATCTTCTTGTTCTTAACATCCACAGCACCGTATTTTGTAACGATGAGATTGTGTCTGGAGTCGATTTTACCGTTGGTGGTTTCTTTATGAGCCTGAGTGGGGTCCAACTCGCCCGTTTTTGGATCACGTTTAGCCGTGACGGCGGTAACTGGAACAATCGCATCTCCTTCTTCCGCAATAGTAATCAACTGACCCAAAGTATTATCCACTTTACCCGTCTTAGGATCAACAACGCCATCTTTAACGATGATTTGACCAAGATTTGGGTCGATTTCAATCGGGCGCACTTCGCTCTTGCCAGTTTTAGGATCCTTCTGGACGATCTTTTTATTAACTGGGTCCACAACTCCGTATTTAGTGTCGATATGACCTGTCATTGGGTCAAGAGTTGCGTCAAGATTTTCCGTGCTACCTTTCTCGACCTCAATTCTACCCGTCTTTGGATCTTTCTTCGCTGTGACCACCGTCACTTTAATGACCCGTTTTTTGGGTGCTATGGCCAGAGGGCTGGTGACCGGGTGATTTTGTTGTCCAGAGATGGAAATGATTTGACCCAGACTCGAATCCCTCTTTCCTGTTTTCGGATCGATGACAGACCCTGAAGTGATGATGATCTGTTTAGTGATCGGATCAACGTGACCCTGTACCACTTCTTTCTGCCCATTGCCAGGGTCGGTAATAATGACGGTACCATTCGAGGGATCGACTAATCCATACTTGGAATCGATTAACCCAGTTTCGATGTTCTGTTGTGCTTCGGTTATGTCAACGCTCGCGGTATCCAAGTCAATCCTTCCAGTTTTGGGTTCTTTCTTTCCGGTGATGACAAACAGTTTGACAACTCTGGTCTTCTTGGCGCCTGGAACAGCCGGAATGGGGGTTGCGGCGGCCGCCCCTGGTTTGGCGGTCTTTTCGAGTGGGGCTTCATGCATGTACTGCTCCCCAGCCAAAAACGCGGCAGTGTCAACCTTCGGGTCTTTGAAACCAGGGGTCAATTTTTTCAGTTTGTCTTCTTCGCCGGGTGCGTAATTGAAAGCTAACCCTTTGGCTCTTGTGGTCGACGGCGACTGCTGACTCTCGGGGTCGCTTTTGGGACTCGAGGGAGAGTGTTGTTCGTAATTGAACCCTATTGGGGTGAACGGTTTTTTCGGTGAGGATTGCTCGTCGTCGTAGGCGTACTCACGAGTGTAAGCGGGAAGTTGCGGGGAACCCAGAGGAGGCCCACCCTTTTCTGCTTTTTCAGCCAAGGCCACCTTCTCCTTCTTCTCTTTCGGGGACTTGTCACGCTTAGAACCGAAAAGGAAACCGGGACTCTGATTCGGCAAAGCAAAACATGCAAAAAATTAATCATGCGACAAAATTACGAATAATCGACAATTTCAATAACCTCTACCGTATCGAAATACACAGAAGCCAAAAACTACTTGTACGGCAACTATATAGTACGAGGGGTGAGAAAAGTCGGGACTTACCTTGGCCTTGTCCTTTTCCTTTTTGTCTTTGCCTGTGGTGTCACTTTCTCCGCTTGAATTGAGGTCGACGTCGGTGCCATTCTGGTCAGGTGCATTCACGTCTTTATTCTCTTTATCTTTTTCTTTATCTTCCTTATCTTTCTTCTTGCCGAATAAGCTGCCGGTTGGTAGGACGGCGACGCCTCCCACTGGTTTCTGTTAGTAGGAGAAAATTGAAAATTAACTAACAAAACTTTTTGAAAAAAGCAAGAATTAAGCAGCAAATTCATATGAAGCAAAGACAAAAGCTACCATAAATGTACAAGAGTTGTTCAAATACTATATGACAATATAAAAAGCGAAATAAATACATGAGACTGAAGACTGTAACAGATTACAGAATGTTCTTCTACTTAAACAGCGTTCATAAGACCCTTGCAGGAAATTATGCAATCAGTTCAGTTTTCCTAACCTATATCTTCACCAAAAACAAACCAACAACGGTTCAGGACTCCCACCAAAGAATTTCAATCGCTTTTATGTTTCGAACGGAAATCGCCGAATTCAACGGAAATACACACAACAGGAGAACAAATAACTAAATTATTACATAACGTGTTTTGAGAGTCCTGATCTATGCATTTACACCCATACCGTAGCTTGTTACCCAAACAAAAAATATCAATCAAGCTTGTGAATGGCTGTAAATGGTGTATAAGTATATACAGTTCTACTAGCAATCAAATTATATAATAGCACCAAGACAAGGCGTCAGCAAACACTGCTGAAAAATCATGAAAAATAAAATGTGAAAACACCTTCTGATTTTTCTCGGCTTCGTATTCTCCTTCCACGGAACTGCCCGAACTAACCGAAGCCGCTGATCCGGCACCACTGCCTTTCCGAGCAAGCTAATTGTTTTGACGCCAAAATTAAATCAATGTTGCCATGTGATGGTTTACAAAAGCAAACAAAATCAAAAACGAACTCACCTTCTCCTTCTTTTCCTTTTTCTCTTTTGGAGACTTTACTTTAGCCGGACTTTGATTATCGATGTCGGGGATGTGCTCAGGCGGATGAGACATGGTGTGTCGTTTATTAGCTTCATTGTAATCGTCTTCAGGGTGAGTTCCTCCGAGAGCTACAAACAACACCGTAACGCACGAAAAATCTTCAAAAAAGGGTCTTACGGTCCATGCTACGAGAAGCCAACCGTTTGCCAGTTAAAGACCTCTCGAAATGGGGAGCTGGTCTCTCAATGGGCGTTTTTTTAGTTTCGTAGTGCGTACGTCCCGAATATCTGAACTTGGACCCGAGTTTTGGGAATAAAGAAGACTTTTGATTGGTTTCGGGAGACATCAGTCTTGAAAAAGAAGCGATGAAATGGTTTTCGGATAGGTGAAGTTCTCATTACCTGAAGAAAGTGTGATGTTCCACGCAAGTCTTCCATAGTTTCTTTGCGGCTCTATGATTTGCTAACTTAAAACCGATGGTTGATTCAAATTGCTCGAATTCTCCTGGTCGGATTTTGATATAAAAGTTATGCCTTTTGTAGCTAATCTTAAGGATTTTGGGCCAAGCGAATCTATTAATTCTAAGCCTATCTCTGTAAACTAAAAGCCCCGAAGCACAAACACCCAACATGATATCAACCCCCTCTGAATCTTTAGCCGGATGTAAGTCCACCCCGTACATGGCCAACTTCTTCGCATTTTCTAAATAGTGCAATTCCGCTTCAGCTGGAGTTTGACCCCTATAAAACCCACATATTAGACGCTTGATTTCATACGTTGATCAAGTCACGGTAGATCGATCGGCGGAAATTTTTTTGGAAGCTTAAATTTATTATTGCAAAATCTAGCAAGGCTCTGTTTTGAGTCCACTTCATTTCCGTTATTTTATTAACGATGTTCGATCGATATGCCGCGAATTTCCCCCGCGATCCTTACTTGTGAGTACGGTGAAGCTCGATGACTTTGTCCTCGAGGTCCTGGGTATGATTTGGGGCGAATTTGAAATCTTTAAGGTAGTTCCGTCCCATGGTCTCGGGATCGTAGTCGCCCAATTCTGATTGGACGAGATACGAGCCCAGCAAGGCATGGGTGACAAAAGAACAAGGTAGACGATTATTCAAAATATCGTTGCGAATTTGAAGACACAGCTGATAGCGGGTGATGTCTTCTTGTAGCTGCGCGGGATCCGGAGGGTAGAATTTCACTTCGAAACTAAATTTCCAAGGCTCCGCTGCAAACACGCGATTTAGTTAATTTGCATATTCACAACGGCATCGTACTTTTTAGGAATTTGGAAATTCTCTTGTCGAGGTCTAACCAGTTTCTGGGATCGTGTCTATCCGCATAGATAAGACCGAAATAGTCCTTCTCGATCAAGTTGATCGCTTCGCACACTTTATCGAGCAGATCTTTTCCTTTGGCTTTCCGCTGAAATTGCACAAATTTCTCGTGAAACGTTTCGACGGGTGTTTTTATTTTACCTCGATGCTGACGTCCAAGACGGTACCATCCAGCATGCTCACGTGAGCCACGGTGTTACCTGTGCTCCGACCTAAGGTCGAAGTTTTGCTTTTAGCAGGGGAGGAATCGTTATCTACACCCATTTTCTTCTCGCCAGGCATCTTTGCCTTTTAGTCTGCTAACAAAATTATGGAAAAATTTTAGTCATAAAGACAATTAGCGTGCTAAGATGGTTTTATGTAAGCATAAACCTGAACACGCTAGTTTCCGTGAGGGGCGGAAATATCGCGCAGACAAACTGTCGCCTACTCTTTTATCGTATGAAGAATTTTAGATGTTAGATAAGTTCGGTTCTTACTTAGGTTTCAGAAATCAAGACTGAAGTTTAAACACAAAATGTTTTAAACGAAATAACTTACACTATGTACAAACTATTTTGTGGCGACAAATACTAAAGAGTAAAGTACTTACTATAAAAAGTAATTACTGTTTCTTATTACAATTCTTGGCAGAAATAGTAAATATAAAAATACGCAACATCCTGTAAAATGTTGAAATAGTTGCTACATCTAATACAATCACAACCACTGTGATAATTTGTCTATGAAAATATTTTCAGACAGAAAAATATCACAATTATTTCATAATGATGTCATTTTCCTGGAATAATAATGTTTCACTGAACTATTGACATCACTCGGAAATGATGACTATATTTCTCTAAAATTGTAGTGCTCATAATACACTATTAAAAGGTTTATTTACAATTGTCACTGATTAGTAATCACAAGTATATCAACTATTTAAAATCAGAAGGTGATGACATTATTTTCTTAAAACAGATTAAAAGTGTTCATCGTATTCATAGTTAAAATAAAATCTTATTAACAATGACAAGAAAATCAGCTTGTAGGAATTACTCACTTCTGACTCGCCTTTGATTTTTTCTCAAACTTGCAACCTCGTAACAAATTAGTACAACTCCACCCTCATTGTAAAGCATGCTCTTTCAATACATTAGTTTTAGTTCATTGTCAACGTAATTTTGAATCGATAACGCGTCAACGTTATTAGCCAAAAAAGCTGGCGTATAAATTGCGACTTCCACTTCCTGTCAATTACAAATAAATGCAGCTAGCAAGTTTTAGTTTAATGAACTTAAAATGCCATCATAAAAATTATTATGTGATAGTGGTAAACCTACACACTTTTTAGTACCAGTGAAATTTTTATGGGATCATCATGAAATTAGACGAGTCATTTGTAACGAACGTCGACGTTCTAGTTCTAGAAACCGTGTCGCCTACTGTTGTTACGGATTTGGGTACTACGTACAAAAATCCATTGATTAAAATCACTGAAAAACGAGTCAAAACAAAATCAATTACAAAGACGGCATTTTTGATGTTATTATTCTGATATAAAAACAACAAATTTTGTGTTTTAATAACATTACCATACACATTTTTTCAACTGCTATTAAAAATCCGACTATTATAAACTTTTGTTGTCCATTATTAACATGACGCTTGTAATTTTTTAAATTTGTAGTCCAAAAATGATTTTCGATAAGATCCAACACTCTCCTAGACTAGGGAGAGACTTAAATTTAGTACAAAAATAAACTGATCTTGTTATGAAAATATTAGCATAACTGTTCTAATATATTGGAAAGTCGGTTGCGTTTTACAATTATTTTATCTTGGTAAATTGGTATGTACCATCCAGTGTCACTGCACAAATTCTGCTGTGACTGCAACATCGTGAGAGGTATTGTAACAATATGCACATTATCATGACATCATCTTTTACTTTCATTACAACGTAAGATACACACAATATTTTACTTTGATTTTTTTAAGGTTTGACTTTTTTACATGACTTCAAATTTTTGATGCGGATTGTGACGCATGCAATATGACACTAATTACGGCAGCATTATTGTGTGAAACACAATTTTTACATGAATATATGCAAAATTTATGTTTATATTAATTGATATAGGATTTATCAATTGACATTTGGTCGAATAACATCTTAATAAATATAAAATACGAGTAAAATATCAATGCAACAACTCATTAAATTAGGCTGAACTCAATTAAAAATGTATAAAATATAAAAATAACAAACAAATTAAATATTGCGCAAACAATAATTAGCAGATAGGGAGTATCAAGTGTATACAGTAGGAATGTCAATATCCACAAATTTTATAAATATCTCAATAATAAACCAATGAATTTTAAAATCACTAACCAGGTTATACTACCGTTGAAACGGTAATTTCCAAGGGAGAGATCATAAAAATGTATCAGTGTGTAGCTCGATGGACAAAAAACCTCGTAAAAAATCGATATATGTACATTTTACAGCTTGCTGCAACATCCTCCCATTTAGACATCATAAAACAAGCAATTGAAACGAATTACTCACTTCAATAAATTTGAAACGAACAGTCCAAAGTTAACGCATACCCGTGTTTGTACAGGGTGAGTCAGCTAAAGGAGACAGAAACACAAACTATTTTAACTTTTCAGATTTTGCTTTTTTAATTTTAAATTTCATGACTTAACATTAGTGAATTATTGCAATTTTTTACAAAAAAAAATATATATAAAATAATTTTTTGACTGATGTCCATTGTTTAGTAGTGCGACTTTACGTAAAACTTACTAAATTCTAGGATTGGGTTATTCAGAAAAGCATAATAAATGGAATAATTTGATCTGTCTCAAAAATTTCAGTTACGATTTTTTTAATTATTGTTTTTTTTTCTATTAGATATTTCATGTAAATAAAGTGATGCATAAATAGAATTCATTCTTCTTTATTCATAAACTAAATTCCATTAGCATAGGTTCAAAAATAAGAACCTTTTAGATTTTAGCAACTCACCCTGTTCTTATGAAATGATTTTTTTTTATTCATTATTCAATTTTCCGTTTAATTCACGCTAAAACAGCTTTACTTGATTTAAATGTAATTATCTGTAAGAATAATTTATTATCTTACAAAAATGTTAATAAAACAAATTTATAAATATTATCATTAAATGATCTGAAATATATGGTTACATAAAAGCACATGTTTTTCGTCTCAAGTGATTAAAGCGAGCCTCCACAGGAATGCGTGTTTACATTCTAACTCAAACACTGTACTTTACTTCTAGTTTCGCCCGAAATGAAGACAACTTTTGTTTTCAAATGCGACTGCACCTTTTACTATTTTTGAAAAAAAAATTGACAAAGCATATTTGTGGGTAAATAGTTTATTGAACAATGTCACTTAAACCAAATATTTTTTAAACGAAAAACGATCATTATTGTTGATGTGTTAAAGTATATAATGTGTAAATAATTTTTCGTAAAAACAGCGAAAAAATTTTGGATTAAACACAGCTCCTTCGAAAAATTAAAAATTTAATTTTGCAAATTTTATTTATTTTTATGACAATCCTTACAAATTAAAATAAAGATATGTGTGGACTGTTAAAATGCAAATAAAAAATATATTATCACTACATGCTTAACTTCGATTGTTTATGTTTACACATTGAAAGAATGCGAGGATTAAGCACGTAGCAAGCTGCCTGTTTTGAATGATTTTGTCTCTCCAAAAGAGAATATTCTTTGGGATAAGTAGTCGTTACCTAATTCCGATTTTATTATTACTAAATATAGGCAGACCCAACATTACTGTATTCTTGACTTGATCAATAAAAAAAATAGAGAGGAGAGTCTACAATTTGTAGAAAACTTTCCGTTACTCTGCTTTGGCAAACGTATAAGATATTAAATACATAAATATTAACAGTAACTAAATTAATTATAAATACTGTAAACTTATTTTTGATTTTTTTATAGCGTCGTTTCCCCTAGTTTTTTGTTTTTAACTAACAGAACAAACAAAATCGACTCATTAAGTCTCTAAAATTAGAAGTGGACGTCTGTAGATATCTTCAGTTAAAATCACCGACAAAATAAAACATCCAACGACACAAAAACTATAAGAAAGTTTATTTAAACTCTGAATACAGGATGTTCCATTTGAACAAGATAAGAATGTATACTAAGTGCAATTATTTTGTAAATTGTTATTTACAGTGTTTTCTTTCTTTTGTTGCTGTGAACTTAAAGTGTAAATACATGCGACATTCTAGGTAAACATTTGACGTGTAAATTTTACCTAGAAAACTCAGCTTAATTCATTAAAAAAAAAAAAAAACGTAACTGTTCGACTAAAGAAAATTAAAATGCATTATTAGCAATAATTCCTCCGCCAGATTTTAACTCGACTGTTTACACATTTTTCTGGTCTATATTTATATACTTATCTATAATAGCAAAGCAAACAAAGCACTTTAAGATATATTTCTTAAAATAAAAAAATGATTCCTCCTTCATCGACCAAACCTTAACAAAAACCATAACCTAAACTATTCGTGGAACTCGGTTAATAAAAAAAGTAAACAATTTGTGAAACTAATCCGACGCCACAGATTCTGCTGTAACACATTCGGAGCAGATTACACAAACTTCGATGTTTACCAAGGAAATTGGAAAACCTAGAACTAATACGAATCCACTACAAAGAAAACTACGTTCGTATCTGAAAACACAATCTAAACCTCCGCACGGTTTTCTCAAAAGCGGCAATTTGCATGTGCGCAAAAGCCGCAATTATCTAAGACTAGACTCCATTAAATAATGTTCGTGGTGAATTGGCCATCACGAAGATTACACGATCCGAGTAATAAATTCTTTTTATTATCCTTGCCAATTACTCCTATTGTCAACCTTACCTGAGTCGCTATCAAATTACATTTAATGACACCCTCTGAGAGCTTGCGAACAAACGAACATAAATTACAAGCATCCACATCAGATTTAGTGTTAGGTTTCTATGGTGGAATATCCGAGCATTCATGAACAACAAAACGATGCTCGAGGTATTTCGCTACTATTCAAAGTAATAATAATCCAGTAATTAATAAGAGAATACCGAACAAACGGTACTACAGAAAGGTTTATCTTCGACAAAGCACAATAATTATAACGATAAAAAGTTGTTTACAATAGCTTTGTTGTATTAATTAGAGCTCGCTTTTGAGTCCATCGCACCACTTTCTCAGCATTAGTAATAACAGTGAAATTTAAATGCAACGACTAAACTTTCACAGTGCAAAAACATTTAAAACTATAAAATGTAAATGCACATCCTGAGCCAATTTTCTAGAATATATACACTGAAAACTCACACTTTTCCTTGGTATGCTTACTCATCAAAGCACCACCCATTTAATTATCGTACAGGATAAAATTTATAACTCACGTCTGACATTGTTTGCAAATTTGCATTTTTCCAACCTTGCAGGTGTTCACCTACATAACAAGTGCATTGTACTAGACAACCAAATTCGCAAGATTGTCCCAAACTAAAAATAATACAAGCCAGCGTGTGAATTTTTCTAATTCACGCATGAAGTCACTCCCTAGTGTTTACCACGGAACAACGCCCCATTTATGAATCGACTGATTTAGAATACAATTAAATCAACATATTTTTAGACCCTTCTCAGCCACCCCACGCTAAAAATATTACTTTTATCACCAGCCAATAAATTATGGGTGAGTCGTCACGGTCAATGACCATCACTTGTTAGCTACGTTCGTATAGAATCTACAGGTGAGTGTGATCGTTAGAACATACACACCTGTAGTTCTAATCACACCCAACAGACGCGGTTTTTTATTTTGTCTGTGTAAATTTGCTCGTCTGGATGAAGCAAGGGTGTGTATTCGGTGCATTAGCTCATTAAAACTCGAAAGCTGGACACGTATATAATTAATCATTTTAATCTATTAGTAGAAAATGGTATTTTTAGTAAATGAGTAATTCGACGCTGACCTTTCACAAAATGACTGTTATGTCATGTTCAATCGTTAAAACAAAATTACTTTTAGTGATGGCATGGTATTCCGATTCGGGAATCTTTATTAATAGAATAGAAAGTTGATCCTGCACAAATTTCGAGTTGCAGTAATATTGACACAGATTTAAAATAATTATTATTAATGCAACGATGTTAGTTAGGGTGGGTTTTCTCGGAAATTCTTAAGGTGTGTATAACTCGACCAATTGAAAATATCTGTTGTGAAGTTGAAAAGAATTGTAACTATTTAAGTGCCGGCTTAAATGATGGGGTCGTGAGGTCACGCACTATATATAACAGCAACAATTTCTGATCACTGTAAGTGGCCACAATTCAAGAAGAGATTTTTGTGCGACGTTCAATCAATAGATGAAAATCGAAATTTTCCGGTACAAACATGAATAAATAACACTTAAAAACTGCTGTATAATTAATCAGTTCCTCGATTAATAATGCTTCCATTTTAATAATCATAAATTTAAAACTATAATAAAACTAAGAGTAAATGATCTGGAAATAATTCATAATGGACTTTGGAACTTCCAATTTACAATTCTGAAAATTCCAATTCTAACAAAAGTCTGCGACACAACACTAAATTGGCTCAAAGTGCCGACACGCTTTCAGTCCAGACGATGCTAACCTTGTTAACTGAACTCGTTGGCAATTTGTTTAAAGTCGGATAAGTAAAAAAAAATAATATGGTGTCTAGGTTAAAAATGTATTGACAGTCACATGTTAAATTATACTTTTAAAGACACTGGTCATCGGGTAAATATCGATAATATGATTTGTACATACACATACATTTTGATAAATCTCTCACCTGTTACCATGACCTGGTAGTTTTATAGGTTTCCCCTATTCACCTTAACACATTTAACACGATCAAAGTTAGCCACGGATTTTTGAAGATTTGTCTTTGCAACGATCAAAAATCCATGACTGTCTGATCGTGTTTTTATTGCTTTCTCGGTATTATACGGGAAAATTGAAAAACGTAACACAAATGCTAAAATTGCTTTTTATGTCAATTTCGACGTATGTAGTCATGAAATCCGCTTAAAATTTGAAAATTGACATTTTGAAAAACCCAAGGGAATCTTATTCCATAAATTTCCACTAAAAAATTACTACATTTTCTGTTTTAAACGTTGTTTTATGTTTACAGGATGTGTAAACAATTGCTTTTTTACAGCACTATCTAAAACAAATCTTTTCAATAAATTCTTGTATCTACGAATAAAAAGTGAGCTTCTTTGTCGTCTGTAATATAGTTTTAGAATCAATATAGTCAATATTTAAATGCTTACAACTCCCCTTGGAACTTAATGGATCAGATTTACATCAAAACGGAAGCGTTTCTATGGAAACGTCAACATTGGCAGGAAATGGTGACTATAGGTGAATCACCCCGTATATTTTCGAAAATGACAACACGCTATCAATCCCGTTGAAGCATTTAATCTCGAAATTACTCATTTTCCAATAATATGAGCATACCGTAAACAGGTCAACAAAACTGATAAACATTTGGGTCACAATAAACAAAATCGAGTTCTGCCAATAATTCAAAGTTAAACGTTTTGTATCGATTTTGGTGCCAAGATTGCAATTTTACTTAATAAACCACAACACATTTCGGGCTTTTCAGCGAACTCGAGTATATTTTCGTAAGCACAAACCGATTTCAAAACATGTTCTATTTAAAACAGCACAAAAACAGAGTTGGCTGGTGTAAACAATAAGTATGAGAGTACGATATGTTTGAAAAAAATTCAACATTTAAACAAACAACCACAATGGCATTTTTTAAAATAACTGTAAATATTTTGACATACGACCATAACAAAACACAATCGCTTTTTAATGGTCCGATTGTTGGGAGAAATGGGTTTACGCCGGATGAATTTTTTCTAAAATCTGTTTACAATGGTTGAAGCGGACTTACTTTATCAGCAACAGATGTTATCCATTAATTTTTAATAAAGGATTTTCTTATGGAAACGGCACACACATTCACAGCGAACTGGGATGGGCCACACCATAAACAACAAACGATCAACGCTGCTGAATCGACTAAACTACTCTAACCTGCAAATGACACCTTGTTCTACATTTATATTTACACTGTAAACGTCATTTTTGCGATAAAGATGTCGAGATAACAGATAAATTTGGGTACTCCGCACATTAACTGCGCCCAATGGTTTGCAAACAAACTCTATCGATCGAATATCAATCGGTACTACTTTTCTGGGAGAGTTCGTTACGCGTAGGATTACAAAATGGCGGGCAAACATTTAAAACATTACGTCATTTTATATACATAGCAATGAGTGCCATCGGCACGCCCCACAATAATAAGAAGATGCAGTATTGTAACTTTGTCACATTTTTGTACTCTGACTAATAATAAACGCTTCTGTGAGTAGGAGAGTGCGGTTTATTGAATCACACGATTAATCAAAGCAGGCTGTGCTCGTTTGACAATATAACAATTGCACATCCAACATTATCAATTTATGCACGTCTAATCATGTATACATTTATTTAAAACGAGTTATCTAAAAGTGGGTGTGCCTGCGAATAATTTGATACGCGACTGAAGACTAAAATAAGGCTCAACTCAATTAGTATTTTTAAAACGTATATTTCTTGTACTTGTACAAAATTTATGTCTTAGGCATCTGCAATGGTTACTTCCACTTCAACACCAGGCTCGATATTAATAGAAGTAATTTGCTTCACAATTTCAGACGGAGAATGTAAGTCAATAACCCTCTTGTGAATTCTCATTTGGAATCTATCCCACGACTTGGACCCTTCTCCGCAAGGTGTTTTACGGGTTGTGATACGCAAAATCTTGGTAGGCATTCGAACTGGACCCTTGACACGAAGCTTCTGTTTCTTCGCTGCATCAATTAAGTCCGAGCAAACTTTTTCCAGAGACCTGACATTGCGAGAAGTTAGAGTAATTCGAATGTGGTGAATAGGAGGCGCATCTTGACCCGGTTTTTCGGGGTTTCCTTCTTTAGCAGATGCCTGGAAAACGGAAAGCATGGTTACTTAACCTACAAATTTTATGTACGATTTTAAGAAAAAAATACGTGGCTTAGGTTAGTGTCATACTTACCATGTTTATAATTTCTGGTCGAGATAATCAACTTTTATGAGTTGACCAGCGCTGAACCAGAAAGGCCAAATCAGCGCCCGACGATTTCAAAATGGACGAAAAGAGAGTAAGTCCAAGGGAATTTTGTGCTGTTACGTTAGCGGAAGGATAATTACGCGCGGTTGGTACTACGTGTTTCGCGCGAAATTTAATTAGGACGAAGTTTCAGCTTCACTAACACTGCTTTCAAATGAATTTCCGGCTGAAAAACAGTCATGCCTGCAAAACAGATTGATTAATTTTTCTCAAGGATAAGCACTTTATCACTATGGTGTTACAGTTTATGCCCACCAAAAAGTTGATGACGTCATTTAAAAAAAAACAGTAATATTGCTTTTTTTTTTAGAATTGTTACTCTAAAGAAAGAATGAACTGATTAAAACTTATGTAAAAAGGCAATTTTTTAAAAATTGTTTAATATTTTTCTGACATACAATCTAATGCTAATTGTATTTGGATCGTTTGGGCAGTTTGGGATAGTATATAAAACAAATAATTTGGTAGTTTAGGAAATTATTTGTCCAACAGCAACACAGAGAAACAAAACAAAAAAAAACTTAATAATTGACTTAAAAATTATTTAATAGGGTTGAGGAGCAGTTTCTCATTCTTGAATTTTATTTTTGGAACATCATCTAATAGAAAGCCCTCAGGCCAGTAATTCTTGCCAATTTAGAGGAATTTCAAAACATCAACCAGATTAAGCGGTACCTAATGAGACTTTCATGAGTCACAAAATAAAAATTCAGCGCTGGAGACGCTAATTCAACAATGTTTTGTATTCCATGATATTCTAGGCAAAAAGTAATCAAAAGTCTGAGCAAGTATAATAAAGATTGTATTTTGAAAGTAATACAATTTAGATTTCTATTGTTAATTATTACTAAGATCTACTAGCATAGACATTTTGATAAGACAACAAAGCACTCTAAATCATTGGAAACTCAAAACACTATTTCACATGACAACCTGTAGAAGCAAGAAAGAAAATGACAGTATATTATTAATAAAAAAAGATTTTTACAGTCACCTTTACACAGTTGAAACTAAAACAATAATTGGTTATTTGAAATGTCTTACATAGAAAAAATATATTTTAATTTTGACACAATTTGTACAATCTTGGTTTTCTCTTATATTCTGGCAGACATTTTAAACAACCGCAAACTGATATTAAAAGCTTTGACAGTAAACAAGTTCTTTGTTACACTTTAATTTGCACATAATTACGTAAAAAATCAAATAAATCTAAAAATGAAAACAATAGATAATTAACAATTTTTATTTAGTTCTCTCCAACAAAAAGGTGTTTTATCTATGTATAATAAAATTCTTGTGTTAAGATCTCTGAGATAACTATCAAACACATAAATACTATACTTTAATGTAGGTGGAATATACAATAATAAACTTGAAGAAACCATGTACATCAAACAAATTCTGAGATAAAAAAGTTTCACTTAAGCCCAGAACTCATTTGCAAACATCTGGATACGTTAAAAACTAACTTACTTAATAACTAGTTTGCCAAAGTTATCTGATAAAATGCATAGTGTAAAATATGAAAAAAAAAAAAAACGAAATACAAACTTTGTACTCGGACATACACATAGGGTTGCTTTTATTTTACAATATGTTTTACCTCTAGCGATTGAACAAGTTCACGTTGATATAAGCTGTAATTGACAAAATAAATATTTCTCACACCACCATCATAAAATACTTACAGATTTTACAGTAGACTTAATGAAGTCCTTTTTGTGTGCGAGATCAAAATCTGGATAATGGGCATAAACTTGTTGGCAAACAGTCTTCATAGTGATCTGTTCTAAATTCGCCCCTTCTAAAATTTCCTTGACGTAACTTTTAATTTCGTCATCCTAAAGAAAAAAATACAGAATTTCATATTAAAGTAAACTTGTACAACATACAGTGGGAGGTTGAGCGGTTTTTGCTGCCTTTTTCACTAAAGGCTCGTCTTCAGAAGAACTGCTTGCTGCTTCTTTTTGTTCACTTTCCTCTTCTTCCTCCTCCTCGGAACTCTCTTTCTTTTTCTTTCCTCCTTTAGCGGGTTTTTTCGCTGGTGCCGGTTTTCTACCTCTTTTGCCCGCAGCCTTACCTTTACTTTTATTATTGGCTTTTACAGTCTTCTTACGTTTGCTTTTCGGCTCATCTTGGAACTGAAATAATGAATGGCCGAACGGTTTCGTGAGTAAAAATATAACGAGTATCAAAATGTGGGCCGATTAATTGGTTGTTATCGAAAATTAAAAAAGTAGTAATCATAAAACTGGAAATCAATAAAATCAAACAAACAAATCCCACATCGTTTTGATGTTTGTGCCAAATAATTAATTTACAACGAAAAAAAAATCACGTCCTAGAACGAATATTTAATAAAATATTGTTGTAACTCAAAGACTTACATTTTGTACTAGGGTTACTACTGAAAGTTTGGCCGTCGTCAAAACGTTAAATTGACTAGAAAATTTTGAGAAGGAAAAGAAATGATTATACAATTGATGAAAGATAACAAATCAAATAATAGCTATAAAATACACGGAAAATGAATAAAAATCGAAAGTTAAAAATACCTTGACAAAGAATAAGGTAATATTTACGTGTTACAATATTTGTGTTTTTAAGTTTTAAATTATCAGGTTTTAAAACAAAGTGTAATATTTTGTTGAAATTATTCTAGAAATGAAATAAAGATTCACTGTAAAAATAAAAAGTTTGAATTTTAGGCTCTGTTTTTGAAAGTTTTGTTTGTTTATGGCCATACTAAATTTAAAACTAAAGTGGAAAAAAATGGCATCAATAAAAACAACTATATAATTTAATGCATAACAAACGCAGCTTCCAATTTTTCTTGTCATCTGTTTATCATAATTTTTATCAGTTTTTATAACCCTGTATCCTCACTTTATTACTCACTGAACAAGTCATACTGAAAAATGTATATAATGCATAAGCTTTGTACATAAGCCAGTCCTGTCAAACTATTTCAGACCATCAAAATCTCATAATAAAATTAGATTCTTATTATGATTTCTTTGCAATTGGCAAATTAGTGTCACTATTTCAGTATTCTATTGCACAAAAATTAAATAATGAATGTTGTTAGCAAACATCAATTATTAATAAATAATTAATAAATCTAATCAATGCATATCATTACTTGGTCTTAGTACCCGTAATGATAGAAGTCTTGCCTGAATGCCGGTCATTTCCGGGTCAGTGGTGGGTCATAAAATAAATAAATAAATAGTAACTTACGTCACTATCATCAGAGCTAGCGCTTTCCATTTCGCTAGCGTCTTCATCCTCAGAGTCAACTTTTTTGCGATCAACGCGTTTTCGTTTAGTAACTCTGGGTTTTTCATCACTTCCTTCATCTGAAGGTTCAAAGTCTTCGTCGCTAGCACTGGAACTATCATCTTTAAGATTGGAACGTCTACCTTTGTCTCTACCTGAACGCCCACTATGTTTCTCGTCGCTCGAATAATTATCATGAGACGAATATCCTCTGTTATTGGCTCGTACTGCAGCAGTTCTTTTCGGTCTGCCACCTCCCACTGCTTTGCCAGAATCTTTAGGTTCTAGGAGGAAATCTAGTATCCTTTCAATTATATCATCTTTGGGTCCAGTCTTCTGAAGATCCAACATTTCGCAAACGCTTTTCAAATGTTTAACTTCATATTTGTGCAATGATGCTACTTTTTTAGTATACTCATCGGAGTCTTTTTTGAAGTCGAAGCCATTGAATTTTTTAATATTTTTCTTAATCATTGTGGTTTTCCCAGGAGTTTTAAATAATATTCGGTGAAGTACCTTCATATCGTCATTTTTAAAACGTGAAATTGAAGCATCTACTCGTGGTATGTTGCCCAGGGATGTACCGGACCCGTTAGGAAACTCGATCTAGAATATTTTATTGGATTAATACCGCCACAAAATGTGAGTGTACAATTTACCTCTTTTGGTTCTGGAGGCTCCTCATTGAACCGCTGCACGTTCTTACGTTCTCTTTTACCAGATTTTTCAAGAGGCTGATCAAGTAATGGCACTTCTTTATCTTCGCTGTCACCTTTCTCACTCTTTTCATCATCCTGCTCACTGTTTTCCTCCTCATCTTCCTCCTTGGTCTCCTTGGTCTTGGTTTTCTCTTCTTTCTTATCCGAAGTTGTTACTTCAGTTTTTGCATTTTCTGCTTTATCTGCAGTTGCTTTGCTGCTATCAGGTTTTTTATCTGATTCGTCTGAAGACTCTTTTGGAGCATCTTTAGGCTTGGAATCCTCTTCTTTCTTCTCATCGCTGTTCTCCGCAGGTGCGTCAGTTTTGGCGTCTTGTGAAGAATCCGTATTTTCGGCCTCACTCTTCTCGTTAGACTGCAACATAATGCGACGTATTTAATATTTTTGCAATATTTTCGGTATGATTTTTGTTGTAATTTTCGTTTTCCCGCTTTTTCAAATATCAACATACGCCATATTGAAATTTCTTCCACTAACATGTTGTTTTTTAGGCTAAAATGCCGTGAAAGTAGTAGGAGAAAATTGCGAATTTAACAGTGGGAGTCTGTTACATAATAAAGATTTTATTGGTGATTGAGTAAAAACGAGTACTTACCTCTGAAGAGAGATTTTTGGAAGAATCACCTTCACTAGACATCTTAACTGTCATATACCGCGTCTAGAAATGTCCAATAAGAAGTCACACGCATTGCATAATCAACCAACGCGAATCATGTACATGATGGCCGGTGTACCTAGTCGAAGAATTACATGACTTACTGGGATTTTTCCAAAGTGCGACGCTTCACAAATTTCCAAATAAAAATAGCACAGTGATTTTCACTTGTCTGTGGGCAGAACCAGGGAAGAATTGGGTCTTTGTTTAAGATTTGTCTTTTGTAAAAAGTTTCAAACAATTGCGATTACAAGTTTTTGGCTTGTATCGGATGTGTCTACAGTACCGGCACTACCAACCGAAAAGAATATAATTTCTTAATTCTTGTCGCTAAGCTGTTATTTATACACAATTGTTTTTCTGAAGTAAATACAAACACCCACTTGTGGAAAGATCACGAAAATTAATTGTGGTTAATTCACGGTTCAGTTGTAACTCTCAACACCGATTTTTATTTTTACGTAGTGCTGCTTCACGCCCCATAAAATGAAAAGGTAGATACCTGCACCAATGAGATAGAAAAAGATACCGAACAGTTCCATGTTCTTCTTTCTCGAAAAGTTCGGCAGGTTGGACAAGTGCTGTCACACGTGAAATTATTTAACATTTCGTCACTTTTCATCGACTTAATTAGGATTAAATAGGTATTGTATTCCAGTAAACTAACGTTTTATTAGTTTTTCATCGTCAGAAGTTGTTATAGCGCTGACTGTTTCATGTTTCCGACTTAACCTTAAAACCGTTTCCATATTTCAGGTGAACATGCCTCTTTCCTGTAGATTTTACAGGGAAAAATTCCCTGAGGTTGAAGATGTGGTGATGGTAAACGTACTATCGATTGCCGAAATGGGGGCTTACGTCCGTCTACTAGAATACAATAATACTGAAGGCATGATTTTGCTTTCTGAATTGTCCAGAAGACGTATTCGTTCCATTAATAAATTAATTAGGGTAGGAAAAACAGAACCCGTAGTAGTTATAAGAGTGGACACCGATAAAGGTTACATTGACTTATCTAAACGCCGCGTTAGTGCTGAAGATGTCGAAAAATGCACTGAAAGATTTGCTAAAGCAAAAGCAGTGAATTCAATCCTTAGACACGTTGCTGAATTGCTCAAATTTGAATCAGATGAACAACTGGAGGAGTTATACCAGAAAACTGCGTGGAACTTTGAAGAAAAGTATAAAAAAAGTAAAGCAAGTGCTTATGATTTCTTCAAACAAGCTGTTTTGTAATTATTTGTGTCTTTGTTTTCTTGTAGTTGTTAATTTTGATTTTGTAGGGACCCCAGTATATTGGATGAATGTCAGTTAGATGAGAAAACCAAGGAAGTGTTGTTGAGTAATATCAAGAGAAAATTGACTTCACAGGCAGTTAAAATCAGAGCAGATATTGAGTGTGCCTGTTATGGCTACGAAGGCATTGATGCTGTGAAGACGGCTCTGAAAGCGGGATTATCTCTCTCCAGTGAAGAGTTACCTATTAAAATTAATTTGATCGCACCACCACTTTACGGTAGATATTTATCTAATTTAATTTTTTCTCTATAATTTGCACATATTTTTAGTAATGACTACTTCAACGCCTGAAAAGCAAGACGGTTTAAAAATACTAAATGATGCAATTGAAAAGATTCAGAAAACGATTACAGACTTGGGGGGTGTTTTTAATGTTCAAATGGCGGTAAGTTGTTGCATTTAAAAAAACTTATGTATATTGAATTGTTTTGGCAGCCCAAAGTTGTGACAGCTACAGATGAAGCCGAATTGCAACGACAAATGGAAAGAGCTGAACTTGAAAATGCTGAAGTTGCTGGCGACGACGAGGAGGAAGAAGAAGATGAAGGCCAAGTTTATGAGGAAGATAATGAAGGAAACGAATCTGGACAAGAAGAAGAAAACTAATTATAACCATAATTACAAAAAAGAATTTTAAGATTAAATACAATGTGTATTATAAGTTTTTATATTGAAGTTTGTGGTTTAATTCAATATTTTAAGCCAATAAACAATATAATGATGATTTTCTTTATTAAAAAAAACTAATCTTCAAAGAATTTTGGCAATTCATTACCAAGAACAACTTTACGTTCGATGCCATCTTCTGTAATTATTCCTAGTCTGACGACACCACCAGAGGAACCATCTCTTGACATGGCAAGCGCCAAAGCTGCAAAAAAACGTTAGAATAACGTTAACTTCATTAATAACGCTAAAAACACACCTGATGTAACAAACTTGACGCAGTCATCTTTTGACATGTTGGATTTATAATTGGCATCCACAAAACCGTAGATATAACTAGATCCTGAACCCCCAATTGAAACCTGCTGTCTTACACACATACCACCAATCGGAATGGAATAAACCTGACCACCTTTACGTTTATCCCAACCTGCCACCAAAATACCAGCCATTAAGGAGTCTCTATAGTTGTAACACAGTTCCCGAAAAACGGATGCTCCTGTCTCAACCAACGGTTCTTCTCCAAGCTCCATGCTACAATGCATAATGTCAAAATAGCTCACATAATGATTTAAACATACCCATGGAAATTCAAATGATAAGCCACTATATCTGCTATTGCTTGAGTATCAGCTGCAGATCCTGAACGGCAGCAATAAATGTGACTGGTTACTTTTGTAAGTTTGTCTGTAACACGATTGGCAATGTATGACCTGAAAATAATAAACATAAAAATGGAAAGAAACTTTAGTAATGTTCTACCCAGTGGTGGTTCGAGAATCCGCCCCAATAATCACACCCCCATCAAATTCAGCTGCCATAATAGTGGTCTAAAACAACAAGTCATGAAAGACGCCTAACCTAAAAAAATATTTTGATTATTGAATAAATAGTTACCCCAGTACTATGGGCAGCATTCATCCAGTCACTTTCAGTATTCATGGCTAAATCAGTGATCACTGGAGGCATTTTTTTTTCAAAATAATGCTTCCAACTCAAATCGCAATGACATTCACGAATTTAATTGTTGTCAGCTGTCAACAAGCTGCAAAAGCTGTCAAAAGTCTAGTTACAACAGAGATAACTGGCATAGAAAACCCTACAGTCGGAGACATGACCTACAGTCCGCAAGGAAATTTGTTCGGGATCAACGATTGGTTGATCTCGTAGAAGGGTTGACTCCTGTTCAGCAGCGGTTTTTCGAAAATCAGATTAGGAACGTAAATCGTAAACCAAAAGGCAGGAGTTTTACGTTTGAGGAAAAGGCAGACGCCATTGCCATATGGAAACATGGCCCGAAGACGTACAAACTTCTGTCTAAAATGTTTACGTTGCCGTCTATTGACACTCTGAGGGCAACCCTAAATAGAGTTCCAATAGAACCGGGTATCAACAAACCCATATTCGAAGTTCTCGGAAAGCAAGTACGTCGCAAAATGGACCCCAAGTACAATCTGTGTACTCTCATCTTCGATGAGATGTCCATACAGCCTCACCTTGACTACTTGCCTTGTGAGGACAGAGTTGTGGGTTTTGAAGATGACGGTACAACAAGGACGGAAAAAATTGCAGACCATGTTTGCGTCTTTATGCTTAGAGGAATTTTTGGAAGGTGGAAGCAACCTGTTGCTTTTGCTTTTTGTAAAAGTTCTTTAGCTGCCGTAAACATTGTCCGTTTTTATAAAGAGATTGTGAAAGAAGCAACAGCGATAGGCTTAAACATCATTGCTTCGGTTTGTGATCAAAGCACTACAAACAGTGCCGCAATCGATATACTTTTGCAGGAAACCAGGCGACGTGCTATTTTAGAAAATGAAGAGGAAACTGAAGAGAATGTGATAAAAATTGGTGATCACAAAGTTGTCCCTCTCTTTGATCCTCCTCATCTTCTAAAAAGTATGCGGAACAATCTTCTCACCAAAGATCTGCTTTATGTAGATAAAGCAGGTGTGGAGAGAAGAGCTTCTTGGAGTTTTTTTGAAACGGCATATGGATTAGATCAGACGCTGGGTGACAACCTAAGAATGATGCCAAAGATCACCATAGACCATGTGAAGCCTAACTTAAGAGGCAAAAAAATGAAAGTTCGTTATGCTTCACAGGTCTTTAGCCGTAGTGTTTCTTCTTTCATAAATCTCTGTTCCAGCCGGACATTTGGGGGAATCCTGCCGCCTGATGCTCAATACACTTCCGATTTGTTTATGTTCATGGATTCTGTCTTTGACAGTGTTAATGGAGGATTTGGAGACTGCGGTGGTAAGAACTTACGTAAATTGGTAGGAGTTAAAAATTACCATCACACTTGTTGGCTAGAAGGGAAACGCATGTTCAGCAACATGAGATTTGTACCACGTAAAGCTGGAGACCGAGCAAAACCCCCAGTTTTACAGGGGTGGTATCGTACTTTAAATGGTTTTATGATTATCAAGGAAACTCTAACGAAACTTGGCTATAACTTTTTCCCTGCAAGAGCTTTTAACCAAGATCCGTTGGAAAATTTTTTTGGTCAAATAAGACAATATGGAGGACGATATACAAATCCTACTTGTCGAGCATTCGTGCCATTTTATAAGTCATTGATGATGAAGAATTTTTGCTCCTATCATTCTCGTGGCTCTAATTGTGAACAAGATGAGGACTCATTTGTGATCACAATTCGGGAGTTTCTTGGTCTTCAAATAAATCGGAAGTGTGTCGAAGATCAGTGGAAACCGCCACCAGTTCCTGATACTGTAACGAAGGATAAACTTTATGACCAGAATGTTATAGGCTACATAAGCGGATTTCTAGTCAAACATATGTCAAAAGAACCACTTGGCTGTGAAATCTGTCGATCTAACTTAAAGCACGATGGGGATCCAGATATACAGTATCATGGCTTGGTGGAAAAGAAAGAGTACGATGATAAAAACAGACGGTTACAATATACGAATGTGGGGGTGATTAAAACTCTGATTCAGACTCATAATCACCTGCGCATTCTTTTACCGTCTGCAATTTATCATTCTTCTCTTTCTAGAAGGATTATAAGCCACCTGCGAACTACAATTGATTTTGATTTTCAGGAATGCTTGCATACCGAAGAACTAAAAACTAAACTTTTTCATTTATTTGTAAGAGTGTTTATCTTTGGATACATGAAAAAACTGAGTAATATAGTATTTGGTAGGCAAGAACCGAACAGATCAATTTCGTTGGAGACAGAAATGCAAAAATTATATTTACGTTTTAAAAGAAAATAGAACATTTGTATAATTTTGCATTTTGCAGGTTATTAATCAGCTTTGTTTTGTGCATACCAGAAGAAAATGATGGCTATATGAGGTTAAATATTCGAACATTACCACTGAGATATATTGTACTGTGATACCTAAGGAGGTCGAAATTGCAATCTCCAGATTTTCATTGAGTTGTCTAAATCTTTAACCTATTGTTATGTTATCAAAGTGATTGTATTGTCACATTTCTTAAGGTATGAACAAAAAGTGCAAAGGCAGTTTGCGTTTCTACTGATGGGAGATTAAAAATTAATTTAGTTTTAAAAAGTCTCAGACTTTATTTTGTTATTTTAATGTAGTGGCTATTTTGTTAAGAATATTCTGCTTGCAACAAATACATGTTTTTTACTTGCATTTTAAAAATCTACACACTTTTATTAAGTTGTATATAGGTAATAATTAGGTGTGTATATAGGTATGTACTATTTGTTCTATTATTTTAAATAAAAGTACAAATGTAAGTTATCAGGGCAAGCCAGTTTCATTATCTCGTTTATCATGCGATTTCTGTTCAAAATATTTCTTATGCTGTTTTATTTTGCACTGTTTTCTTTGACTTTTTGGTACTTTTAGAATTTTGTCATATTATGGTATTTTTATTGTTATTTGTAGTAGTATTTTCATTAATTATTTAATGTTACGGTTAAATATATTGTTTGGAAAATATTCCACATTTTTTATTGTACTGTTTGTGTCTGTGTCTTTTTATATGTTGGTTTCAAAGCCTATTTTGGCATTTTGAAACTAACATATAAAAATGCACAAACAATGTTTTCCCTTTAAATATAAAAAAAAATCTATTAGCAAAATTCCCTTTCAAATTTGGCGCCGATTTTAGTTCCGTACCACACCAGTAGAGGCGTTCATTAGGAACAACATACAAGCATTGGAGATCGTATTCTATAGTGAGGGTATTCTATGGATAACTGGTTACAATCATGGTACAATAATATAAGGTATGCTATTGCGCATTTCGTTGTGACGTCAAGCGGTATCGCCGTCCACCGCCAAATTTAAATTTTGTGATGTATGGTATATTCATGTAATATCACTATTTACTTGTTTGCAATAAATACTATTCACTTAATTTTTAATTCTTTATTACCCAATAATCATATACCTTGTTTTAATACACAAATAACATACCATGAGTAAATTCTGAATCAAACAGTCAGAAACCGGCAACGTGCAAGGAAAGGATTACAAAGTGCAACTTTACTATTGTGCCTAATACAGATGACTCAAATTGTGAACAAACAGAACTGACTTTATTTAGAAACGTAAACGTGTTGTAATATCCTGGTGTTAAGGTTAACAGTGAACAATAAAAATGGTGCACTGTGCAGTGTTTGGCTGCTCGAACAGCCAAAGGAAAAAGGAGGATGCGAATGTACACTTTTTTAGGTTCCCGAAGGATCAAAACCTTTGTCAAGAATGGGTATCGTTCTGTAATAGACAAGATACAGTAAATGCCAAAACTGGTAGCAACAATACATATACCTTGATGACAACATCTCTAGCAGTGTTATTTTCAGCGCGTATATGCTCTGTGCATTTTGCTGCAGAAAGTTTGTCGAAGTCAATGCAACACAAACTGTTGGAATACAGCCCTAAGAACAGGAGAAGATTGAAGTCTGATGCCCTTCCAACAGAACGTAGGCCGACAAGTGTAAGCACTACACCCAGTAAAAAAGGTTCTACTCAGGTAGGCACTATTTTGGAAACACCATCCCCAAAAAAGCTACAGAGTCCAAGCAAAAATAGTACGCTTATTAAACACTGTAGAAAAAACATATTTGGGGATGATGTCAGGCCTCTGGTAGAGTGTGATGAAAATTGGGAAGAAAAATATAAAAAAGTAGAAGGGCAACTGCTTCAGTTGCAAGAAAAAAATAAAGCAACTGAAGCTGAGAATGCTTTATTAAAACAACAGGTTAAACAAAAAAATTATGATGCTAAAGTGAGCGAGGCTGTATCTAAGATTTTCACAAAAAGTCAAATCAAAGCCCTCATTACTGGGAAAAGAGTTAAGTGGACAACTAATGATATCTCTGCTGCCATTTCATTGCGTAGCGTTAGCCCTAAAGCATACAGGTATTTAAGAACACAATGCCACTGGCCCCTACCAGGATTGAGTACTCTAAGAAAATGGGCGTCATCTTTCATAATTAATACTGGGCTTCTACACTCTGTGTTATATTTAATGAAAGAGAAGGCGAAAACTTTATCAGAAATGGAACGTTTAACTGTCCTGTCATTCGATGAGATGTTCATTAAAGATGAAATCTGTCTTGATAGATCACTGGAACAAGTGTTTGGGCCTCATAAGACGGTACAGGTCATGATGTGTCGGGGTCTATTTTCCTCTTGGAAGCAGCCCGTGTATTATAACTTTGATGCACCTGTAAACAAAGACGAATTGTTAGATGTTATAAAACAATTATTTGAATGTAAATATATTGTTGTGGCAATTGTTAATGACATGGGACCGAGCAACATGGCTTTTTGGAAAGCAATGGGAATAGATAAGGATCATGTTTCTTTTGTCCACCCCTCTGATCCTGAGAAACTCATTTTTTTGTTTGCAGATGTACCGCACCTTTTAAAATTAATTCGCAATCATTTTTTGGACAAAGGATTTAAACTTTTTGATGAAATGATCACGAAGAATTGCGTAGAGTCTCTGTTAAAAATATCTCAGTCATCAGAATTAAAAATCGCTCATAAAATCAACTCATACCACTTAGATGTAAAGGGCAGCCAAAGGCAAAAAGTCAAACCAGCTGCCCAGTTATTGTCCAACACGGTGTCCAAAGCAATAGAATGGTGTGGTGACAACAAATTAATCCCTGACAAAAACTACAAAAACACGGCGAACTTTATAAAACTTGTAAATGATTGGTTCGACATTTTTAACACAAATATGAAATTTTCCCCACGGTGCAATGCTTTCGGTATTGATTTCCAAGAACAAGTGACAACCATTAACAAAATGACTTCCACCATGGAAAATCTCAGAGTTATCGGTAAAACCAATTTACTGCCCTTTCAAAACGGTATTATAATTAGCAACAAGTCATTATTAGCATTACATCAATATCTGCATAATGCATATAAAATAAATTACATTTTAACACGACGTTTGGACCAAGACATTCTCGAAAATTTTTTCTCCTACATTCGAGGAATGGGAGGAGGAAATGACAATCCCAATCCAATCGATTTCAAGCATAGACTAAAGCGATATATTCTAGGGAAACATTCGTCCGTTGCCATAGCAATCAACACAAATTGCGAAAAAGACAGTGCTGCCTTACTTACCCGAGCAGATGATGATGACGAAGAGATATGTTTAACGGAATCTCTGTTTTCATCGATTATAAATACGCAGTGTATTTATAATGCACCATCAAATGAAAACGAGGAAGGTGATATAGCCAAGTTAGAAATTTTAGATGACTCCAGTGAAGTAAGAGTTCAATTACCAGACAGTCATCTAACTTTAGCGGCACATAAATATGTGGCTGGGTCTGTAGCTCATCGCTTCCGACTAAAATATCCAGGTCTTGGTACCCCTACAGAAAACTTGACTGATACAAGTAAAGACGACTGTGACTGGATTCAATTTCTTTCAAACGGGAAACTATTGATGCCTTGTTCAGATTTGTTAAATACAGCGAAATTGCTGGAAACATTATTCTTAATTTTTCATGGTTCTGATAGTTTAAACAAGGAACCAAATATTTTTAAAAAACTCGCAGAGCAAGTTAAAGAAAACTTACCAAATAGTATCCAAATTCCAGAAGAAGTCTTGCTGTGCTTGGTCCGAACAAGGACATTCATTCGGATAAGAGAAATGAACAAAAAATCATTTTTCAACGACCTACAAAACACAAACAGAAAAAAAATGAAAAAGATTTGTAGTAAAAAATAAACATACTTGCATGGAGATGTTCACTATTGGTCATGAACTACTATTTGTTGATATGTCACTTGTTTGAATTTTATTTCTTGTTCCCATTTATATTAGTATCTTTGAAAGTTTTCTAGTGTTTTTTTAAAGCCATGGTTATCCATACACTTCAACTTCTGGGTTGATGATGTAATATTTCTCATTACAACTCATGAATTTTTGGTGCAATGGAAATCATTACTACAAAATATGTTTATAATAGTTATTTTTGTTTTAAATTTATATTTATATCTATATATATACTTATCTACCATACTACATAGATTTAATGTTACTCTTACATTTACACTTATGCTCCAGAGCTGTTGACTTGTCGAATTTATTGGAGCAGTATACAAGTACAGTTCCCAATTGTTTTATCGCATACAGTAATGTAGTATTATGTTGAGCTTTCATAGTGGATTAGGCCTCCTGGGGATACCACTATAAACAAAAAAAAAAAACGCGCCGTTACTCTACCTCGTATGTGGTGTGGAAAGGAGTATCATGAACGACTCACAATTATTTCAACCTACAAAATAAAACGTTTTAGCAATATCTAAATTAACAAATTGATAGAGACCTACTTATCTTTTAATAAACTGTACGCGTATTTTACAAATAAAGCAGGAACAACTTCCGCACTTCACATGTGAACGTGAATATATTGTATCGTATTCCCGTTCGGCACGTACTCAATAAATAAAATAATTTCACATGTACATGATTAATTAACATTTTCATCGTAAGGCATCATAAAATATAATGAAAAGTGAGGAAATTGTTGTTTGCAACACAAATGGCAACACATTTTAACCTAACTCACATGACAGATTAACTTGACAAGCATCACAGATCTGTCAGAAAACGGGTGTTTGCAAGGTTACGTGACGTCATGCGGTATCGACGCCAACAGGACGAGATTTCGTCGTTCGGAATAGCAAACCATATATATTTTAGCCATGGTTACAATTTCCTAAAAGATCTTACTAAACAGGGTAGCCACTACAGTATTTTCGTAAATTTTTAAACTTAATCAAGGACATTGTTAGTCCAACCCAGGATCCTTTAGTTATCCTCGTGAGTTCACTGGTAACGTAATTAAAGACTAACAAAATTCGTTTGTTTGATTACCAATTTAGCCCGTCAATTTTTGAATGAAGCGCCAGAATTCCCCTCTCCCCCGCGAGCCACGTATGGATTATCCTATTTCTCATAATTTCTTGCTGTCTTGGTTTCATACCCATGGTGAGAATATTCCATGGAGGAAAGAATATAATATAATATATATTCATTTATCCATGGAATATTTTATGGCAAAAAACCCAAAATTAATTTTACGACCAGGGTTGCCACCACTGCGAAAAATTTACGTTAGTAAATAACTAGAAGGGTTTGAATTCTACCGCCAACAATTAATTTTTTGCCACAAAGCCAGCACCACTCCAATTATCGGTGTCAGTTTTTTCAAAACGAATATACCATTAACAAATTATTTCAATTTATTGTACAAGATTACTCTTTTACAAAAATTGTGTACAATACGGAACAATTAAAATATTAAACATTTAACAAATACATGTAATGAAATATTTAAAACAAACTTATAATGACAAATTAAAGTTTTAACTCAAATTTAAACAAAGTAATAAATAATTTGTATTCTTGCATATTACGGTGTTAGCAAACAGTCGCTAGTAGTGGGGAATTATCGTTAATCCAGTGCAATATCGACTGTTGGCTAACCAAGGTCCACACGTAAGGTATAAAAAATTCTTCTGGCTGGTCTTCCTCGACGTATTTAAATTTTAAATCAGGGAATTTCTGAAAAATAACGCATGTAACATTAATCATCTAAATATAAAACTCACCTTCAATTTATCCTTAGGCCAACGTTTAGCACCCTGCTGAATTACGTTCAGAACTTGATAGGCATCTACTTCATTGTGCTGCGTTTTATCATCAAGTAAAGTTGAAAAATACTGAATAATAATGTCAATATTCTGGATGATGTCCTGGAAAGCTACATTTTCCTTGAACGGTTCAAAAATATGTTTATTGTATAAAAGTGTATAAACTAAATTTGGATTATTGACCAACTGGTTGGAAAGACATGAGTTAAATATTTCTAAAACCATTCTCAAAACTTCTTCTAAAACTGTGATGTCTTGTTCCATGTCATCACCATCTTGTACTACTGTTATGGCTAATTCTGAAGTTTTAATATTTTTTCCGTTTAGGAGTTTCGTTGATAACTTCTGATATCGTTTCGCTAATGTTTCAAATAATGAAACTAAACGTTGGCTAACATAAGGGTGTAAGTCTCTAAATTGGGCAGACATATTCGCTAAAGCTGCCAAACAGTTGGTATGTAGGTATTTATCACGCATTTTTAACATGTTATATTGAACAGTCCGTATCACTACCAGCACCAACAAACCGCCTAAAGAGACTTCCGTAAGGCTTCTTTCCGTATACCAAACTATGTTTTTTAATTTCTAAAAAACAAGCATTTAACAACTGAAAGTTTAAAAATTGTGTGTGTATTACAATTTCGTGAATAGTTTTGTTAAAAGAGTCGTCCTCACTTAAAATTAATAAAATAATAAGGGACATGTATATATGGTGTGAATTGCTATTAGGGGCATTATATAATGTCTTCAATATAGGAATAATCTAAAAAAAAAATACATTGTATAGTCTTATGTTTATAAACAAATTTTAAATTTACCAAAAGATCCAGGTCAGGCCTACTTAAAAGAAAAGCTTTAATGGGTTCATTCCTGTGCAGTAATAAATATAGTAGAAGTGTGGTCACATCCCCTGACGCTTTTTTACATATGGTAGTATAGAGGGCGTTATAATCAATTCTAGACAAAATACTGGCTTGTGTTGGAGGAATTGGATTATTGTCTTAAAAAGAGCAAACATTTGGAGACAAAATACATTTACAAAAAAAAAAAAATACCTGCACTATTCATACACAAAAATAAACTATTCCTATATGGATTATTTTTTGTGGTCCAATGATGCACCAACACCAAAACCAGCAATAAACTTTGAGTCGCCAGTGGTACTTCTTGATAGTCGCTAGTTTCAGAAACTAATAGTTCATCAGACTTTCTACTAAATGTCAAAAATGACCATAACTCTGCAGCAATTCCTAAAACGAGACTATGGCCTGTATTGGCGCCATATCCAACAGGAACTTTGTCCTGATTTGTGTAATTTATTAATAAACTTTTGATAAGTAAAGGGGCATGTGTTGTATGCTTTCCCCTCATTATAAGTCTATAAATATTGCTTTGGTCTGATTTTCTATTTGAATGTAACTGAACTGATAAAAATACTAATAATGTTGTGACAGCCTCAAGATGAATGCCATAAGTTGAATCTTTAACTTCTACATCAACAATTATCTTTACTAGGGAATCAATAAAAGCTTCAAGTCTCATTCCATTGCCATTATACTCAACTTGCTCGATGAGCTGTTCTTCAGTCACAGTTTCAGTTAGAAATTTCAAAATGCAACGAATTATAAACAAAATGTTGAATAACTGCCAAATAAACAGACTTCTGAAAATTAAAATTAAATCTAAAAAAACAGACTTCCCCTAAAACCTTACGCATCTGTAGTTGTGGCAGCAAGTAACTCTGAAGCCCGAGACAAAAACACATCAATAATTGAACCCAAATTTCCAGAGATATGATTATTTTTCAAAAGTAACTGGCAGAGGTTCTCAATTTTTGACTCTAGTGCAAGTTGATCATTACTGGAAAGAAAATCACCGTTGTGTTATTAATTTGACGAGATTCTAGCGTACCTTGTCATTGGTGGGGAAATATTAAAAGCCACGAATCTATTCCAAAAGGGGTCATTTTGTGATATGGGTTGGTTGCTTACAAATTTTAGTAAATACTCATTTGTTGATAAATCTAAATTTTTACTAACTGCGGTACCCATTTCTAAAAGTGGAAATATTTTATAGTAGATGTAATAGGAAATTTGTACTTTAAACTCACCTCTGCATAAGTTATTTTAATTTATAGCGAACACAATAATCATTTTTCAATAAATTTTATGGGACATAACCTTATCGTAAAAAAGTAAACACGTCATCTGTCAAATGACGTTTAAAAATCACCGACGCCACTGATTGAGGTTGTTCATGGAGCTTACAAAAAATAGATGGTTGAAGTGTATAGAAGTTAGATATCTGTAGCTGAAGCTGCAGGACATACAGAGATGGCCTTTGTCAATCTCACAGAGTAAGGTCCCCTGGTAATTTCTTTCCTTTCTTTCTTTCTCACAGATTATAGCCTAGTGAGGTGAAAGATACTGCTATGGCAAAGAAGATTAACAAATTTTGTTAATCTTCTACTTCAAATAGTAACGCAAACCATTGTTCTTGCCTTTGCAGCAAAATTTAGTTATGTGGGTGTCCTGATGTCACCAAATATTGCACCACATAAGTGTCCGATTTCTAAAAAAAATCTTTTATTTTCAAACGTCATATAACTGACACTTATATGACGTTGTTACCGGGGTTTAAATGTCATTTCTATGACAGCGTGTTTGAGCGGCACATAAGTACTACTTATACTCCGCCGGAGTATAAAAAATAAAACATTTATATTCCGGCGGAGTATAAATAGAATACTTTATGTGAAAATCATCATGGTTGTCAACCATAGTAACTATGGTAAGTGAATGCAGGGCAATTTTTTAATGAAGCAAGAAGACGGGAAATTATCATTTCAAAAGAATATGAATTGTTTGCAAATAAAATATTGTATTTCATTCGGAGTTTAAGTGACTCTATGTGACTCGTATGCACTTAATTCGCCTCGCTATCGCTCGGCGTTTAATCGTCCATACTCTGTCACATAAAGTATCACTTAAACTCCTAATAAAATAAATATCTATTTTTTAACAAATGAGAGAATGTATTTTTATTGAACAGTTATTATTATTTGTGCAACAAGTATAATGTCTTATACTAGGCTTTATTAGATTATTGAAATTTCTTTACAGTTTATTAAAATTTTGAGTCGTATTTTCAGTTTCTTCTACGTATGTATCTGTCATGTTAATTAAAATAACTTTTTTGTTATTAAAATATTTCATTTTATATACACTAACTTCGTTTTGAAAAAAATCATTGCACTTTTAAAAATGAAGATAGTATTTACCAAAATACAGAAATTCATTCATTCAGTATTATATTCCCCATCTTCAAATTGAAATTTCCGCGGTTTAGATGTTTCTTTTCTTTTTAAATAGGTCAAATTCTTGCGACAGTTTAATATTTGATATTTAACTTTGGCATTAATGCATTATAATAAAAATCTATTTATTTATACATAACTTTCTGAATTCCATGCATATTTGACTTTTTTTTCTCAAAGTTTATCAAATGTTGATCTTTGAGGAATACCAACAACTTTATCACAAAGAATAAAGAAAATTGAATACAGAGGTAATGTTTCTTTTTTATTTTTAAGTTTTGTCTCTCACTTGCGATTTACGCCAAAATTACGAGATTATAAAATTTCTTCAACTTTAATTTAAACACTCCAGAAAAATGAAGAAGAAGCAGCTTACAGAATTGTGACCAATATTTTACTTTCAGTTTAATATTCAACATTTATTAAAAATGGGACGCATTTATTGTTTTCAGATACAGGAAAGATTTTTCGATTTTTGAACTGCCTCATTCACCACAAAATGTTTACACTGTTTTTTAATGTTTCAGCTATAAAGTTGACGTACAATGAAAAAACCATTTGATAGTTGACCTACGTATTTAAATGTAATGAATGTAACTAAGGATTTTCAAATGCAAACGTGTATTTTAATCACTTGATATTCTGACTAATTACACTAGTTTACAAGGTTTTATATCCAAAGACAAAAATAGTAGAATCTAAAGGATTTGGGTTCGGGAGATTCAAATCTGAAAGCAGAAAAAATCCATCACGTCAGGTTTTTGAGATATTTATATAAACATACCCCGTATTTCTTTTCTGCTATACAACTCTTGTAACTTTTTTATAAATAACATGAGTGTCAATTTTTCAAGCTACTAGATTGTCATCAATGCTTTTATTTAAAATTGTTCAAGTATTGATTTTAGAATAATTGGTTGCTCTTGATTTTTTTACGGGAAGTGATAATAAAAATGTGAGGTTGGCCCCACAAAGATCTTTTAAAATGATACACATTTGCTCAAAAAAATACAGATTTATCTTTAAGAATAAAGAAGTTACAGGGGTTGTATCAAATAAAAGCAACACCCAGTATATATTATAAACATTATGACTGAAAATTAAAAATGATTAACACTAGCGTTTTTTTTTAGTGACAGCACTGTCAGTTTCCCTTATAATAGACCAACAATAACACATTTTCGTCCCAATAACCTTGATATCTTCTTTTTAAACATATTTGAACAGGTCTTCCCGCTTTAGATACTATAATTTTATCACAAACCTAACAAAACTGATTTGCACTTACTTTGCACGATCTCGAAGACATTTTTATGCGACAATGGTGCATTAACATGAATCAGTTTAACACTAATGTGAAGGTAAAAGTTCATTATTTTGGATTTATGAAAAAACCTGACGTGGTAAGGATTATCCGTTTTTGGATTTGTTATCAGTAAGTAATGCAGAAGCAAAAAATATTTTTTTTTAATTTTTAGATATGAAAAAAAGTTTAAATTTGTAAACTAGTGTTATCAAATCAAGTTGAAGTTAGTAAGACTGATGGCAGTTAGCAGGTTGACAACCTAAGAAAGGTGAAAGTAGTCATAATTCGTTACCAACATAAGTTTTTTCTTGGTTTTTCATTGTGCGTCGACTTTAGGTGTTAGCAACGTGTGTCTTAACTGTATCAAAAAGCTGCGAAAAATAATGTAAACATTACTCCAAGCATCCGCTCATGTGTTACGCCACTGTTTACTTTATCAAATTACGTCGGCGCACGCGCAGTATCACATCTCAGAAACACGTCGCAAACGCTCGCGGTGCAAATCTCGTGTGACAAAAAGAGATAACACACCGAGATGAGTCCGCCGTAGCTCGTCAAACTACGACAATCATCGTCCGCCTGTCAAAGAACAATATGGCAGTGGCAAAGCAATAATTTTTGTAAAATTTTCGGTAATTCTGGTCCATAAAAATAGTGTTCGAGGTGCGCGTGGGGTTTTTCGTGTAGTGGTTGTTTGATGGTGATGAGTGGGATGCTCCCGTCGTTCACGCCGCCCGTCGTAAAGCGCTTGTTGGGATGGAAAAAAGGCACTGACGCCGATGATAGATGGTGTGAGAAGGCAGTGAAGAGCTTAGTCAAGAAATTGAAAAAATCCGGGGCTTTGGAGGAGCTAGAACGGGCCATTTCCTCGCAGAACCATAACACGAAATGCGTCACAATTCCTAGGTAGGTTTTGGGCCTCGCTGTCTGCTCATGCACCAAGTTTAAGGTCATAGGTATTATAGATTTGTTTAGACCCCCCTCACCGCGCTACGTCTGGCTTGTGACCTACCCTAAATGTCTGCAAAATGTGCTGGCTGGACCCACTCATACCACTTTTGCCCATATTGCGTAATTTTCGTTCTGGCATCCAACCCATCACGTTACTTGTGCTTTAATACATGCTGTTGTCAGCACATTGAAATTGCAAGACATTGTTTTCGTTATTTTTAAATGGCACTTATTGAAGATAATTTATTGATCATTATTGCAGAGTCCGACCCGCCGCGGAGTTGGGGAACGTCCAGCAGCAGAGGAAAGGACTGCCTCATGTAATTTATTGTCGGCTGTGGAGATGGCCTGAACTACAATCGCACCATGAGCTCAGACCTCTCGACAATTGTGAATATGCTTATACTTTAAAAAAGGAAGAAGTCTGCGTTAATCCATACCATTATACAAGAATTGAAAGTCCAGGTATTTTTCGCAGCACTGAATCAGAGTAGTTTCACCGACGTAGGATTAAACAAATTTATTTTCATTTATTTAAAATTAGTTCTTTTGTAATATGCACCCAAAACAGTTATTACTACTTGCAGTCATCTCCAATTCACAAAGAAAGGAATTTCCATAACAAATTTAGAAAAGTAATTTAATATCTCTGGTTAAACTGTTCACAAGGTTATGATGATTCATGGAAATATCTTGGTTAATGACTTTGAATTGAAAATATTAACTAATTTTTCTCTGTTCTGTGAGAAAGGACATTACATTCTGCCATGTTAAAACAATCTAAATTGTGCATTGCCCCGATTTTCGTCGTCAGTCTTTATTTAAAAACACGCTCAGACATGCATTGGTTGTTGTTCAGAGGCGTGGGAAGTTCAGGCTAAATACCTTTAGACTAATTTTTCTAATTCTTTTGTTACGTGAACGCGTACATTTTAACTTTCATCATTAACGCAAATTTAATGTTATAATTAGTCTTTAAAATGTATCATCCCACATCCAAATCATAACGTTATTATTTGGTGATTGTAAAGACCATCATCTCAGACCATAAATCTATTTATTAATATGATACTTAATGTCACTTTGGGGTTTAGTATATTGTTATTGTAATTTATTGATCAAAAATTATACTCTTTCCAGTGGCGTATGAATCACCGCCAGTTTTGTATATTGTTGACCTACTAATATGGCAAGTGACGACTTCCGAGTGTTATGTAAATTTTTTAATCACAGAGTTATTGATTTGGAATTTAAACTACATATGACATTTTCTGACCAACAGGTGCGAAAAGGAGGAAATATTGTAATAGACTGGTTACTTTCATATTTTGTCATGAGTCATGACCACTAAAGTACAGAAATATAGGTCTTTCGTTTCCGTTTGTCTGTCTGTCCACCGTCTGCGACAATTTTTGTTAGACAGATATCCAAAACTACCAGACCGAGGGCCGGTTTATAGAACAGCGAGTTAAATATTTAATCCTCGATTAGTTTAACAGAGAATTAAAACGTGGAATATGAGCCTGTGATTGGTTAAAATATGCGCGTTGCCTCGCAACGGACCTCAGTTAAAAGTTAATCGCGAATTAACTTTAACTTCGCTTTCTATAAATCGGGTCCGATTGTTGTAAAATTTTATATGTGCATTATGAATATCATGTATTAAAAATCCAAAAATTAAAAGACCACTCAACAGGCAACATAGTATGAAAACTCATTTGACATTGACATTTTTGTCAGATATTTAAAAATTGTTAAGAATTTTCAATTTGTTTCTTTAGTTTTTTGATTTTACAATTTTTAGGTTTTCAATTTTTTTTTCGATTTTTTTATTTTCCCGTTTTTCAATTTCTCAACTTTTCGATGATTCGATTGCTTGACGTCTCGATTTCTCGATTTTTGAGTTTTTCAATTCTCTAATTCAATTTTTAGTTTTTTTGATTAATCAATTTTTCGATATTTCAGTTTTGGAATTTAACATTTCGATTTTTAAATTTTTGGATTTTTCGTTTCGATTTTTTATCTTTTCGATTTTTTGTTGTTTTGATTTCGCGATTTTTCAATTTTTCCATTTTTGTCGTTTCTAAATTTTCAGTTTTTCGATTAATCGATTTTTCACTTTTAATTCTCGATTTTTTTACTTTATGGCTTCTAGATTTTTGTTTTTTGATTTTCCCATTTCTCGATTTTTCAGCTTTTCAAATTTTCATTTCTGCGATGTTATAGGTTTTTAATTTGATATTTCGTTTCTATTTTTCGGTTTGTTAATTTTTGATTATTGATTTTTCTATTTCTCAATTTTCCAATATTTCCGTTTTACGGTTTTTCAATTTTTCGATTTTTGGCGTTTCTAGATTTTCGATTTCCCAATTGATCGTTTTTTCCACTTTTCGATACATCGATTTTTTGATTTTCCTATTTCTCGATTTCTCGACTTTTCGTTGTTTCGATTATTCGACGTCCCGGTTTTTCAACTTTTCAATTCTTCGATTTTTCAATTTTTCGATTTTTTAAATTTTCAATTTTTCTTTGATTTTTCAGTTTTTAGATTTTTCGATTTATCTATTAAGCGATTTTTCCATACTTCAGTATTGCGAGTTTTTAACATTTCTGTGACACTTTTGGTTAAATAATCTCCGAAACTACTGGACTGATTGTTATAAAATTTTATACGTGCATTAGGGATATCATGTATTGTCTATTCAAAAATTAAAAGACTATTCAACCGGTAAAATAGTACCAAAAGTCAACTGACAATATTGTCTAGAGAGATTTTAGGTGCCAAATGTGCTGTCAAAAAAATTGAGGTTAGGATGATTAGTTTTCATTCAAGACACATGGGTTTTACTTATTTTATTTTGACATTTTTGTAAGAAGTTTGAAATTTGTTAGAAATTTTCAATTATGTATTTATTTTTTCAATTTTTTATTTTTTCAATTTTTGGCGTTCCTAATTTCCGATTTCTCGATTTTTTGACGTTTCCCCTTTTAGATTTTTCAATTTTTTGATTTTCCCATATCTCAATTTTTCAGTTTTTCAACTGTTTAATTAAATTTTTCGATTTTTTACGTTTTTGATTTTTCAATTTTTCGATTTTTAAAATGTTCGATTCTTAGACTTTTCGATTTCTCGATCTTTCAATTTTTTGATTCTTCGATTTTTTTGTTTTTCGATTTTTTTTTTAGCATTATTTTCGATTCTTAAATTTTTCGATTTTTCGATTTTTTACCTTTTCGATATTTCGACTCTGATTTTTCAATTTTCGATTTTTTGATGTTTTGATTTTGCGATTTTTCAACATTTTGATTCTTAAATTTCGATTTTTTAATTCTTTGATTTTTTGGTGTTGCGATTTTCAATTTTTCCATTTTTTTTTAATTTTTGAATTTTTATTTCTCTATTTTTCAATTTTACAATATTAAGTATTTCCGTTTTACGCCTTTTCAGTTTTCGAATTTTTGGCGTTTCTAGATTTTCGATTTCTCGATTTTTTGAGTTTGGGTTTTTTTGATTTTACCATTTCTCGATGTTTCAGTTTTGTAACTCTTGTATTCAATTTTTTGGTTATAATCAATTTTTGGGATATTTCAATTTTGGGATTTTTCAACGTTTCGATTTTTTGATGTTTTGATTTCGCGATTTTTCAATTTTTCCATTTTTGCCTTTTCTAAATTTTCAAATTCTCAATTAATTAATTTTCCACTTTATAATTTTCCGACTTTTTGACGTTATGGCTTTTAGATTTTTCGATTTTTTGATATTCCCATTTCTCAACTTCTTGACTTTTCGGTGTTTCGATTACTTGACGTCTTGGTTTCTCAATTTTTCAATTCTGCAATTTTTTAGGTGTTTGTTTTTTCAATTTTTCGGTCAATTTATCGATTTATCAATTTCTCTCTTAAATTTTTCAATTCTTCGTTTCGATTCTTCGTTTCGATTTTTTACATTTCAGATTTTTCAATTCTTCGATTTTTTGGTGTTGCCATTTTTCGAATTTTCAATTTTTGCACTTTTTTGATTTTCGATTTTTAATTTTCTATTTCTCAATTTTACAATATTTCAGTTTTTCGATTTTTAGACTTTGGATTTTTTGACTTCGGATTTTTTGATTTTCCCATTTGTCAACTTTTCGATGATTCGATTGGTGGACGGTCCTATTTTTCGATTTTTCAGTTTGTCAACAGTTAATTCAATTTTTCGATTTTTAAAATTTTCTATCCTTGGACTTTTAGATTCTTCGAAATTTCAGTTTTGGGATTTTTTAACATTTCGATTCTTAAGGTTTTCGATTTTTTACCTTTTCGATTTTTTACCTTTTCGATTTTTCAACTCTGAATTTTCAATTTTTCGATTTTTTGATGTTTGGGTTTTCGCGATTTTTCAAATTTTCCATTTTTGGTGTTTCTAAATTTTCAATTTCTCGATTAATCGATTTTGCAGTTTTCAATTTCTCGACTTTTTGACTTTATGGTTATGGCTTTTAGATTTTTCAATTTTTTGATTTTCACATTTCTTAACTTCGCAACTTTTCGATGTTTCGATTACTTGACGTCTCGGTTTCTCAATTTTTCATTTTTTGAAATTCACAGTTCTTCGGTTTTTTAGGTCTTTAATTTTTCGACTTTTCAGTTTATAGATTTATCAATTTTTCCAATTCTTCGATTTTTTGGTGTTGCGATTTTTCAATTTTTGATTTTTGATTTTTCTATTTAGCAATTTCCCAATACATATTTCCGTTTTACGATTTTTCAATTTTTCGATTTTTGGCGTTTCTAGATTTTCGATTTCTCGCTTAATCGTTTTTTCCACTTTTCGATATATCGATTTTTTTTTATTTTTTCTTCGATTTTTCAGTTCCCAGATTAATCTGTTTATCGATTTTTCATGTATTGCGATTTTTCACATTTCTGTGACAATTTTTCTTAGATAATCTCCGAAACTACTGGACTGATTGTTGTAAAATTTTATACATGCATTAAGAATATCATGTATTACCTATTCAGAAATTAAAAGATCATAAAAAAAACAAAATTCGCAAATCAAATTTTATAATATTTGGAAAAATCTGGATATGTTTTATTTCAGTTCCTTCAGGGCTGAGGGAAGTTCTGTCGAAATAACCTCCGACCAATTTTTTGTGATACCAGCGATATATTATTATAGTCACTTTGAAAATTAAACTTCGCATTTCACTCTTGTACAATAGAAAAATGTCCGTGTCATTTGTTGTCTCGTTTATTGGAGACTGAATTAGACGTGATCAATATTTGTCTGTTCATCCCACCAAAAAATTGATCACGATTTAATGTTAAACTACCATGAGGTTTTATAAATTTTGTTCTTAATTTCAGCTCTCCCCGCCATTTTAGTACCTCGTCATACGTTAGGCGACGAAAACAACCTATTTCCACACTCTCTGGAAGACCTCAGTACGTCAGTACCAGAAAACACCTCATTTCCTCACAACCCAAGTAGTCTAGGGTAATTCTTCGTAGCAATTCCCCAACAACAAACAATCTCATTTCTGATATCAATTATAGTCTGCATATGCAACATTCAGGAGGCTACATGGATGCAGTAGGTCTGTGTCCGAATGGCGCTCCAGCGAACATGGAATCTCCTCATAATGCCGCTCCACCTACCGAAACTCCGCCTCCTGGCTATATGTCAGAAGACGGTGATCCCATCGACCCAAATGATAACATGAGTATGTCCAGAATAACACCTAGTCCTCCCGTCGATGCACAACCCGTACTTTACTGTGAACCCGCATTCTGGTGTAGTATCAGCTACTACGAATTGAACACGAGGGTGGGGGAAACGTTTCATGCCAGCCAACCTTCGATTACGGTGGATGGGTTTACAGACCCCAGCAATTCGGAAAGGTGACGGAAAAATTGTTGTTCGACTCGTATTAACTTGTTCTGTTCAGGTTTTGTTTGGGGTTGTTGTCTAACGTAAATCGTAACACAGTCGTTGAACAAACTCGGCGGCATATAGGAAAGGGAGTAAGACTGTATTATATAGGTGAGTATCGAAAGTTGTGTTATCTTTTGTATAATTTCTACGTACTGATTATATTTTGGCCCAACTAAGTATGTAAATCCAATTTCGCGCCAATTTCGTCGACCGATGGGATGGTTCGTTAGTTTTCGGTAAGCGTTTAAAGGACTACAGCTGTCTGCTACCATTCAAATTTAATGTTACACGACAAAATAACTGTCAAATAAACCCTCAAATATTTTTAACCGCAACGTCCATATTTTAAAAATATTTATATGAGATAACTTTTTCGATTATACGGTATTTCGTGTTATCAATGTATTTTTATTGTGGTTGCGTTTATATTTAATAAATAGGAAACAAATAATCATTAATGACATAGAATCTATTATCAATTTCATTAATGATTTCGCGGCCTCCTTTTTCTATTCTATTTTTATGATTTGTTAATTATGTAATAAATGTAATTAATAAATGATTCATTTTATTGTTCAACTTCCTGAGCGTAAGCTAAGAAAATATAGTAATCGAGTCCATCGGGCGACTTGCTACTTCCATGTTTTCACGACTTTTCATGACCTCTAGAGTACGAAAAAAGTGGTCTCCCGTTTCCGTCTGTCCGATTGTTTTCAGATTTTATATGTGTATTAGGAATATTATGTAATTATATATATATATATTTTTAATTTTATAAAATACGATACTCCTGCACTTGTGATGTATGAAAATTGTATAACAACATTTTGCAATTTAACTTTGAAACTGCGAAACCGAATACTCGGAAATCTTGCAACCGTTTTTTAAAATTATGAAATTGTTAATCAAAATTGATCCGTTTATCCCCTTCCAAAAAATTGATGACGTCGCCTCAAAATTTTGCCTAATAAATCCTTTCTGAAATATGCAAAATATGATGACACTTGTGGTTTATCGATGTACTCATAGTTTTTAAAATTACTTCACAAGGTTACTTACAAAAATAATGAGGCAATTTATTTTCCTGATTAGATCAAGAACGACGTATTCTATTTTTCCCAAAATTTGGGAATACAGTCCTGTTATTATTAGTATTACCCTGCGTCAATTCAAATCGATATACGTGTCCTTACAAAAATGTTGATGTCATCACAAAATTTTATGATAATGGGAAAAACTCACTTGTGCATAAATATCTTTGTTTTAACTTATAAGGATTACCATGAGAAAAATAAAAATAAAATTAGATTCGCAAAATCAAATTTTACAATTTTTCGAAAAACCTGAATTTTGGATTACTATACTTCACAGACGAGGGAAGTTCTGTCGAAATAGCTTTCAACTAATTTTTCAACTCCGGATATCTCAATTTTTTGGTATTTTAGTTTTAGGATTTTTCAGCTACTCATTTCTTCGATTTTTCAATTTTTGAGTTTCTCGATTTCTCAATTTTGCGATACTTTTGTTTTACGATTTTTCAATTTTTGGCGTTCCTAATGTTCGATTTCTCGATTTTTGTACTTTCCGATTTTTTAGATTTTTGGGTTTCTAGATTTTTCAATTCTTCCATTTATCAATTTTTACCTTTTAGATTTTTCAGTTTTTCGATTTTTGATGTTATGATTTCCCGATCTTTCGATTCTTCAATTTTTTGACATTTTAATTTTATATCTTTTAAATTTTAGATTTTTCCATTTCTCAATTTTTTCGAGTATTTTGTTTTTCTATTCAATTTTTCGAATTTTTAAATTTGAGATTTTTAAATTTTTTAATGTTTCGATCTTTCGATTTTTCAACGTCTTGGTCTATTAATTTTTGGATTTTTGAATTTTTCAATTTTCCAATTTCTCTACTTCTGGATTTATAGAGCTTTCGATGTTTCGATTTTTCAAGTATTCAGTTTATCGATTTTTTTTAATTTACAATTTTCCTTTTAATCCTTTTTGATGTCTCTACTTTTCGGTTTTTCAATTTTTCGATTTCTCGATCTTTTGATGTTTTGATTTCTAGATGATTAAATTTTTCAGTTTTCGGATGCCTAGGTTGTCGATTTACCGTTCTTCCAATTTTTCGAGATTTCAGTTTGGGATTTTCCAATTTCTCGACTTTTCAATTTTTACGTTTTTCAATTTGTCAGTTTTTCGACTTTAATGATTTTTTGTTGTTTCGATTTAGCAATTTTTTAATTTTTAATGCTTCAATTTTTCGATATCTTATTTTTTAACATTTCAGTTTTGACAATTTTTCGATATTTTAATTAAACATTTTTTTTTCGATTTCTGGATTTATAGAGTTCGATGTTTCGATTTTTCGATTGTTGAATTTCCGATTTTTATTTTTTTTTATTTTCAGATTTATCAGTTTTTTAATTTTTCAATTTACTTATCGATTTTTTAAAATTCTAAATTTTCCAATTTTTAATTTTTCGTTTTTTCGACTTCTGGACTTTTCGATTTCTCGATCTTTTGATGTCTCGATTTCTCGAATTTTCCGATTTCTAGGTTTTTTGTTTTTTCGACTTTAAGACTTTTCGATTGACCCATCTTCCAATTTTTCGATTTTTCGACATTTTGATTTTTCGATTTCCCAATTTTTCGAGATTTCAGTTTGGGATTTTTCAATTTCTCGCTTAAAAATTTTTACATTTTCCGATTGCAACGATTTTTAAATGTTTCTCGTTTTAAGTAAATTTTTAATTTTTAATATTTCAATTTTTGGACATAATTTTTAGATTTTAAAATTTTTGCATTTCTGGATTTATAGATTTGATTCTTGAATTTTCGATTTATGTATTTATAGGTTTTTTAAAATTCTAAATTTTTCAATTTTTAATTTTTCGATTTCTCGATCTTTTGGTGTTTCGATTTCTCGATTTTTTCAATTTTTCGATTTTTAAAATCTTGATTTTTCAACTTTTCGATTTCTGAATCTTTCAACTTTTCGATTTTTTAGTTTTTCTATTTTTCAATTTTTCAATGTTTCGATGTCTCGATCTTTGGATTTTTCAACTTTTGATTTATCGATTTTTTAAATTTTCAATTTTACATTTATGCTTTTTGATTACTCTATTTTTCGGTTTTTCGACTTTTCGATGTCTCGATCTTTTGATGTTTCGATTTCTAGATGTTTAAACTAAAACTTCAACTATGCAAATTTCGACCCATTTTCGACGATTTTCGAAATTTAACTGAATACATTTTCTGTTAGATTTCGGTCCGCAGAAGTCACTTGAATTTTTCAGTTCTTCGATTTTGCTTTTTCTCAGTTTTCCATTTGCAATTTTTCGAGTTTTCCAGTTTAAATTTTGAGTTTTTCAATTTTCCAGCCTTAAAATTTTTCAATTTTTAGATTTTTTAATTCTTCGATTTGAGTTTCGTGAGTTTTCAGCTTATAATTTTTCAGTTTTTCGTTTCAATTCTTAATTTTCTTTATTTTATCAATTATTCTATTCTTGAGAGTTTAAGATTTTCTAATTTTTTGTTGTTTCAATTTTTTATTTCTTCAATGTTTTGTTTCAATTTTTCGATTTTCAATTTTTCAATTTTTAATTTTTTTTTGTTTCTTTGAGTTTTAGATTTCACTTCGTTACGTTTATTTTCTTTATTTTTCAAAATTTCCGGTTTTTCGTTGTCCTGATTTTATAATTTTCATTTTTTTGAATGTGAAAATTTTCAATTTTTGGATTTTTCAATTTTTTGAAATTTTATGATTTTCATTTTAAATATGGGATAATAATTATAATTTTTAAAATTTTTCCACTTTTCAATTATTGGGTTTAAAAACTTTTTCATTTATTCAAGTTTTCATTTTTTCAATTTTTAATGTTTCGATTTTTAATTTTTCAATTTTTCGATCTTTTCAATTCTTGGGTTTTCCCAGTTTTCGATTCGATTGGCTTTTTCTTCTTAGCAATTTTTCGATTTATTGATTTTTTCCATTTTTAAGGATCTCGATTTTTTTCATAGAGGGTATATCAATTGCCAAAATCAGTCCTATCTTCGCAAATACTAGGCCCGCCCACCCGCCCTCTATTTTCTTAGAGGGTATATTAATTGCCAAATACATTTTCTGGTAGATTTCGGGCGGCAGAAGTCACTTTAATTTTTCAATTCTTCGATTTTTCATTTTTTTCAGTTTTTCGATTTGCAATTTTTCAAGTTTTCCAGTTTAAATTTTTTAGTTTTTCAATTTTTAGATTTAGCAATTGTTCTTTATTTTATCAATTATTCGATTCATGAGTGCTTAGATTTTATAATTTTTTGGTTTTTCAATTTTTTATTTCTTCAATATTTTGTTTCTTCAATTTTTCGATTTTTCATTTTTTTTTTTTTTATCTTGAGTTTGAGACTTCACTTCGTTACGTTAATTTTCCTTTTTTTGAATGTGAAAATTTTCAATTTTTGCATTCTTCAAGTTTTCGGTTTGTAATTCTACCATTTTTATTTTAAATATGGAATAATTAAAATCTTTAAAAATTTTCCCACTTTTCAATTATTGGGTTTTAAACTTTTTTCATTTATTCAACTTTTCATTTTTTCAATTTTTAATTTTTCAATTTCTCGATTTTTCAACTTGACAATTTTTGGCTTTTCGAATTTTTTTATTCGATTCGCTTTTCCTTCTAATTTTTCGCTTTCTAGATTGTCGATTTTTCGATTTACCGTTCTTTCAATTTTTCAAATTTTAAAATTTTTGCGTTATTCGATCTTTCAGTTTTTCAATTTTAACGATATTTTGATGTTTCGATTTAATTATTTTTTAATTTTTAATTCATTTTTTCGATTTCTCGGTTTTTCAAGTTTTCGATTTCTCATTTTTTTAACACTTCAATTTTGGTAATTTTGCAATTTCCCGATATTATAATTTTTAGATTTTTCAATTTTTGATTTCTAGATTTATAGATATTTCGATGTTTCGATTTTTTGATTGTTGAATTTCTGATTTTTCGATTTACTTATCGATTTTCTAAAATTTAGATTTTTCGATTTTAAACTATTTCGATTTTTCGACTTCTGGACTTTTCGATTTCTCGATCTTTCAATTGTGGTTTATTATTATTAGTCATTTTTATTCATTTAATTGTAATTTACTTAATATAGGTTATTAGAAAAGAAATAACGCAAGTTTTTTTTTATAATTTTTCAAAGAAGGTTGATGCACTTCAGGACCGAGGGAAGTTCTGTCGAAATAATTTTCTACCAATTTTTTGACTTGCAATTCGTCAGAAACCCAACTTTGTCCCTGCTCTATTTTTACAATTTATTAATAATGTGGTGAATAAATATAATTACATGTTTTATCTTATTATTTGATGACTGAACTTTGTGAACTCTAATGCGGTTATTTAACAGTAAGGTGAATAAACTTGAATACCGAACTTTTCAACAAATTCTCGAACCAAACTAACTTCCTACTTACTACGCGTCTACATCTTACCTGCGGCTCCCCCGTTACTCCGACATTAAAAGTGTGGGATCCCCAACTTTAAGAAATGTTTGTCGATTCTATGTTCATTTTCAAAAATATGAAGTTTTCAACAATAAAATTTGGTGTTACTCATTGTTGCTATTGTTTAAAGGTGGCGAAGTTTTCGCGGAATGCTTGAGCGATTCAAGCATTTTCGTCCAGTCACCAAATTGTAACCAGCGTTATGGATGGCATCCAGCGACAGTGTGTAAGATTCCTCCAGGTACGCCCGACCCAGAACACCCCGCGCGTAATCCAGAAACCTCTAACCGTAAAATCTTTCTCAATTCCAGGTTGCAATCTAAAAATATTCAACAATCAGGAGTTCGCAGCTCTTTTATCACAATCAGTCAGCCAAGGTTTCGAAGCGGTGTACCAATTAACTAGGATGTGTACAATAAGAATGTCTTTCGTTAAGGGTTGGGGAGCAGAGTATAGGTACGTAGACGCAAAAAAGTAAGGTGTCGTTCCGTGACCGTTTCTTGATGGCAGGAGGCAAACGGTGACGTCAACACCCTGTTGGATCGAACTCCATCTCAACGGGCCGCTCCAGTGGTTAGATCGCGTCCTAACCCAAATGGGCTCACCTCGGTTACCATGCAGTTCAATGTCGTAAAGTACTGAGTGAAAGAAGTGACAAATACGATTTGTGTCCAGTTTTCAGTCATTCATAACTCAGCTATTATTTTCGTTGGAAAAATTGTTACAAATCAAATTACGTCGTTTTGGGTGATAATGAAAAAAAGTGTGGCGTTTTTTTACAAATAGTTACTATTTAGCTTTACAAAATATTTTATTTAAATTTAGAGAGATTTATTTTATATTGCTGAGTTTTAAGATGTTGGCGTTGTTAGTGTTGCAAATTAAAATATTTATGCTGTCGTGGTGAAAACTAAGTTAAGTTCTTGCGTTCATCTAAAAGATTCTTGAATGTGAGATTATGTTCAGTTTTGAAATATTTATGAATTATGATTGATATGATTACTGTTGCCTTTAATAATATAAGTTCTGCAACTCTTTGTAAGCAGGTGTTTCACCTACATAATTTTTAAGTAATTTTGCATGGTGTTCGTGATATTAATATACATAGTTAGAAAATCAGTTTTAATTATTTCAGTTCTTTTCTAAAAGCTTACGATTGTGTTTTTCATCGTTATACTTATTAACGTTGCCAAATTACATATCATATTGGAATTTTTCAATAAATTTTTCTACGCTGTATTAATAAGATCAATTTGATGGTGTAACACCTGTGTTCTACTAGTTATTTCGTACGATAAAGAATATTCAGTCAGAAAATTCATTTCAACGTGATTCACGACCAATGGTAACCCAACCAGTTTTTTTACTACGTGTAAACGTTGAATTTCTCTGACTTGCAATATTTTTTGAGTAGTTTGTGAAGCTGTTTATCCCAGATTTTGTCAAGTTTTAAATGTTTTATTTTCGAAGTTGGTACTAGGGCTCTGTAAGTTGGAACACATGTAAGGCGGGCCTTCATGTGCATCGTAATTCTTTTTAATTGTTTTATTATCTTTTATGTAATTATGTTGTGGACCTTGAAGTGATAAAAGTATTAATAGATGGACGACACTTGAAGAATATTCTAGTAATACAGTCCACAACGTAATATTAAACTGGAGGAACAAAATTGGTGCTGTTTTATGCTGATTCTTGGCAATTTTTAGATGTAGATTATTTGCAGCAGTAACAACAATTATTGTTTTGTACTGTATTGACTGAGTTGTTTTTTGTGTGAAGTCAATGTCACATGTAGTGACAATTAGGTTTTTCTTCAGTAGTGTTTGTTACAGTCTTAGCAGACCCATATTGTGAACCACAATTGATGTTAAGCTCATATATTTGTACTATATTTTGTTTATTGCATAAGTATAGTTTGTATCTGGCAATTACCAAATTATGCATTTTAATTGACAAAAAATATATAGCCGTTAATTTACTAAATTTTACTTTATTTTTCCACAACTAAATCACCAATACATACAGAAACCACAAAAAAAAACATAAAGCTATCAGATTACTTCAACAAACTGTCTCAGTTTATTCAAAATTAACCTGGAGGCCATTGGAGCTGCCTGCCTGACAAGACATGCACGTGCAAATGATACACCGACTGGGCCCCAATCGGGCCGTCGTTGATCACAATCCGAAAACCATTCTTTAAATTCCTTTTCTGTGCGATTTTTCGCGCGACTACCAGCAGGTGCCCCAGCAAGGGCCCATCGTTATCTTCTGCTTTGGACAGCTGGGCGATCGGTTTTCTAGGTATTACCAGAAAATGAACGGGGGCTTGCGGATTAATGTCGTCAAAGGCGACACACTACAAAGGTAACATTAACCTCAAAAGCTGAGTACCCAAAACTTCACTTACCAAATTATCTTCGTAAATAAAATTACACGGTATTTCTTTACGCAAGATTTTCCCAAAAATCGTATCGCCCCCTGAGAGTGCAGTTTGAGCCAACTGCACCTCGTTCGCCATTTTTTGCGCCTGTGGCTGCCGGTGTCGGTAATGCAGAAAGCTGAAAATCCGACCGATTTAAATTGTTAATTTTTGTTTATAAATATTTAGGTAATTATGTATGAAATCATTGTTAATTATCATTTATTTGTATTTTGCGTCACTTTATCCACATTTTCGATGGTTACGCCATGGCGAACTTTGTCTGGATAAAATACCCCAACAAGGTTAACTTCAACTATAAAAAACTACATTTTTGGGTAAAATGAGGCGATTATTTATTTAAAAGTAAGTAAGAACGGTAACGAACATAATACAGCAAACACAACATTAAAATACTGCTAAAACTAATTGGTACCAGTTGAACCGAAGCCCCCTTCTCCACGAGCAGTTTCAGTTAAATCCTGTAAATACACTGTTATGAATCCAGTAACAACTTTATTTTTGCGCAACATACCTTCACTTCTTCGATGTCGGGGTAATAAATACGTTGACAGATAAACTGTGCGATACGATCTCCACTTTTAATCTCAAAAGGGGTATCTGAGTGGTTGAATAACACGACTTTGATGACCCCTCTATAGTCCTCATCGACAACTCCAGCTACAGTGCATAAACCATGAGTAACTTTCGCATTTAATAACACACAACTTACCTCCAACGTCGATGAAATTCTTGACTGCAAGACCCGACCTGGGGGCAATTCTTCCATAGCAGCCTTCAGGAAGTTGTACCTTGATGCCTGTGTCCACTAATGCTTTGCCGCGCGCGGGAACTGTGCAGTCGTAAGCACTTTTTAAGTCATAACCGGCGGCTTTTAGGGAGCCTTTAGTTGGTGGGTAAGCTTCAGGAACCACTTTGGTGTATCTCAACACAAGACTTGTAGAAGGCATCTTTGGGGCTGTAGTTTCTGCTGGGGGTTTCTCCGAACTGTTCCTAACGGCTGCTGCTAACGGTCTGGGAAAACGGGCGCGAATTTGTGTTGACAATAGCTCTTTGCCGCCAATTCTTAGCACCTGCCACACTGCTACCGGCATCTTGCGAAAAAGGTAAGAAAAAAGCTCGAAAAAAAGCGCCAAACAGCCGAGTTAAAATTCTCATTGGTCTCTCCAGTTTTCAAAAAAATTTAATCGAAGGAAAGGGTTTTTGTCAAATTATTTCAACACCTTGTCAATAGTGAGGTTAGTTTGTCACTATTGGTGGGTCATCATTTGAAAAAAGATTTTTTTAATAGTTAAAAGCTTACAATCATTAAGGACTGCCCTTTAGACATGTTTAAACTTGCATTATTTTTGCACACAGCTTGTTATGACTTGTTAGGTTAGAAAATCGGGGACTACGTGAAATATAAATATTGCGCAAATGCGCACATTCAAAATATAACAATGCTGACATCAATATCATTCTGATTAAAATACTCAATCAAAACTTGACAATTATCTTATCAAGGTGTCAAGACAAATCATATGAGACAAAGATTTACATATAAATTTTATTAAGGTTATTAAGAACACACTTGCTCCAACAACCTGCCAGTGAAAAACGCTAATATTAACATAGAAACAGTTTGGATATCTAAATACAATGACTAATACAAAATGCCTCTATAATATAATAAAATTGGAATGAAGGCACTATAAAACAAAATTATCAGTAGGATAGCCTATAATAAATTAGTATAAATGCACTCCATAGCTAGTGTCTTCTGTATTAACCAGACATGATCAATTTCACAAATTCTTCATAATTAACATTCCCTTGCGAATCTTCCTGCCCTTGGAGCAACTGTTCCACTTCATCATCTGTCAACTTCTCCCCAAGAGTGGTCAACAGGTGACGCAACTCCGCTGAACTAATATATCCGTTGCCATCTTTATCAAAGTGGCGGAGTCCCTCAATAAAATCATCAGCGGTGTCTGCGCTTCTCGATTTAGAAATCTGTTGGTAGATGGGGAGAAAGACTTCGAATGACACCCGTTCGTCTGGTTTATGCTGGTGGGTGTATTTTTTCACATCGGATTCTGTGGGGTTCTGCCCCAGCGCGCGTAGCGCATCGCCTATTTGGCGTACGTGGATTTTTCCGTCCCCTCTGTTGTCAAAGAGTTGGAAGGCCTCTTGGAATTCTACAATAAGTGAATGTAGATTAGTCAACTTGAAAAATATTTACCTTCAAGAGAAGTTAAAGTGAATTTGCTATGCGGTTCGTACAGATACATGATAACTTTATTCACAGACTGCTGATGAACATCTGCGTTTCTCACCTAAGTGAGATTGATGAAATCGTGGTAACTTTCAAAACAGCACCATATATGGACGAAATCGACAGTATGAATCATTGAGTTTATTTTGCGGGTGTATCTGTTCTTATTTATTTTGAGTTTTGGCATATTTACATGTTAATGTGAATTTGTACTAAATGTGAATGGTCATATGTGTCGAAAAATAGTTCTTTGTGGAAAAGTATGCAAGGAAATAGAGCGAAACTTTATAAATATGAGAGTGTATGAGTAAGGAAAAATGAAAGGCGGGGCTACTCAGCCTAGTTTTGTGTTTCTCTGCACATACCGGCCATCTGGTCTTCGGTGTAATTTGCCTGCAATTAATACAAGAAGTAGTAACCCAAGTTTGCGATTGTTAGATTGTTTTTAAGTGAAATTTTAATTTTTTAACGCTAAAGTTACTTACCATTGTCGTTATTTGCATTCACTTGAATAACTGTCAAATATCACTGATTAAACGTGGTCCTATGCAGGCAACCAATTATACACCACGAGCGCCAAATTTAAATTATTATTTGTTGTAAGCAAAATTTGGTACTAATAATTTTGCTGTTACTATTTTGCTGCAGTTTTAAACACAAAAATGAGAGAAATTTGTTTAAGCAGAGCCCGAGTTTTATATTTAGAACATTATTACTGGATTGATTGGTTTCTGGAATTTACTACCTCAAATTATAAATTGGAAAAATTCCAGCTAAACACCGTTAAATTAGTCTCGTTAAAAATAAATTATAGTGCTGATATGATGCAAGTTTGAAAGTGAATCATTAGAAAGAATTTCTAATTGAATTATTGCTGTTATAAATTGCTACTAAAATATACCTGTTCAAGCCAATTTGATCTTTAGGTGTAAAATTAATAATTTTTATTATTACTAGAATGAGTCACAAATACATTTTTTTAGGTCTACAATTAATAGTTTTTGTAGTTATTGAAATTACTCATAGATAGTTGAATTCTAGACAAAAATGTCGGGTTATCTACTCAGGACATTTTGAATAAAAAAAAAAGTCAAAATCAAATGTTTTGAGTCTAGCTATACAAGTTCAAAGATAACGAGGTTGCCGATTTATACCTCGAGTGTTGGTGGGCATTCTTTCAAAGTGAAGAGAGAGTTTTCGACTAATTCAACACCAATTTTTCTAAATATAAATAATGATAAAATAATAATAATTTTATATTTTTCCAATAATAGCTAATTAACTGAACACTGACCAAAGTTAATAATGTAATTTAGCTTAAAATTATGTATAACAATGTGTATTTTTGGTCGCCTATCATTACTCCTACTAATTTTTATGTGGTTAATTTAGGATTTTATGATTTCAGAAAAAAAAATTCGTCGAAGGTTATTTCGATATAACTTCTCTCGCCCTTGAGTTATAGTCTGACAAATCCCGCTTCTGGATTTTAAGCAGGTAACCAACGGGAAATTACTCAGTACATGGTTAACTTTGACTGTTTATGTTTATCCTTCGAAAGAAGTCGATTAGCGGTTAAAAGAAAATGAAATTTGTTTGATTTTGTCTCCTCGGCGCAGAGAAGAATACTGATATAATGAAGCACACTAAAAAATTTGAATAAGCTTAAAATATTTACAAGATTTTACAGCATTCGGCTTTTGCATTTTCAAAGTTAAATTAAAAAACGTAGTTATGAAATTTTCATTTTTCTCACAAACGTGTGGATGCCAAGAGTAAAAACTAAACCCGGATTTATAAATCACACAAGCAAGAGTATGTAATTCTATAAAATTTAAGTAACATTTATTTGGTAAAAATGTAAAATGACGTCATCATTTCTTAGGGGGGCATAAACGAAAACATTTTGATTAATGATTTACTATGTTTACGATAACCTTAAGACTGTTGTAAATTTTCAGAGCATTTTGTTCTGCAATTTCGAAGTTAAATTCCAAAATTTATTACACAATTTTGATTTTAAAAACTATAAAACTAAAAAAAATACTATTATAAATTTTGGAGATGACGTCATCTCACTCATAGTGGGGATGATTAGCCAAATTTTGGTTGGTGTTTTACCATCTACAAAAAATTTTAAATTTTGAAAATGTGGCATGAAAAGTGTCCTGAGCACGTACACCGATATTTTTTGTCTGGAATTCAATTAATTATGACTAATTTTGCTAATTATAAAAACTGTAGATTTTAGTACCTCTAAAAATTATGTAATTATGGGATTATGACTAATTTTAATAATCATAAAATTTATTGATTTTAGCTTAAAAATTAAATTGTCCCGAACATTTATATTTTATATATTTTAATAGTTAAATTAAACATTCTGCTTTTGACTTCTGTTTGTTTGTAAATTTCATGGACATCCGGAAGACTGCGAAATGTTTAAATGATGCTAAAATCCACTGAGCCACATTTCGAACTAATTAAAACCATTATAAAGATACGTACAAGGTGAACAATGTATGGAACGAATTCATGATCGGCCACGTGATATGCTGAAATGTCTTATGAAGGCATCCTAATGGAAATGTAGGGGATGATGGGGTAAGATGGGGCGTGATTATTAATTGTTTATGTTAATGTAATTATGAAGAACTGCTGTTTGTTTTATTTTACCACTAATAGAAAGGAGGCCCAAGTCTATTAACATTTGTTTTATTTCCAAGGTATTTAACGGCATAACTGTTTATTCTATGACGCTTGCCATAAAATCAGTTTGGAAAACAGTTACCTGTACACATATACAAAATAAAGAGGTGGCTCAATTATTAAAATAACGGAAGAATAGTTGTCAAAGTTTATTTCAGAGATATTATATGTGTTTATTCGATGCCAAAGCTGGTGCTCGTTTTATTCCACCTTCCCATACCGCACCACACTTTGAAAAATTCACCCGAAGCTATCCCAATAAATATAAACTCTTGCATTATTTTAAATAATCAAGAAAAATCCAGTGACTTTTACCTACACTTACACCTATTACGAGTGATAATCAGCTATTGCCATGCTAATCAGTCACGATAATTTACATTAACCGTGTAAATATAGTAATTTTCGGTAATTGGATTAACTGAATCGGAACCAAGGTAAAATTCCTGAAAAAGAATGTTGTTAGATTCGTGTTTTAATTCGGTTAATTGGGCAAATATGAGGAGACAAACCGTTTTAGGGAAGAGTATCCATGTGGTATGTTTTATGCAAATTAAATTTCCTGTGTAGTTGCCGCGTCAAAGTAAGCCATGGTCTTACGACCTTGATATTTCAATCAAAGCTGGTGGAGACAGTTAGAATGTGACCATTTTCCCACGTCGGAGGAGGCGCCTGCAGAATGCTAACTCGGTAGTCACCGCTTCATGATTATTCAATACATTAATGATTTTAAGTCTCGCATGGGAAATTAGTTCAAACAGATAAAAAAAAGTCGTTTCGGTTTAATGTATAGCACATATACCTAATTTACTTTGATAAGTATTGTTATTGAGTGCACATGCGTAGTAGGTGCAGGCGCATAACTGACGAATACTTAGACCAAATAAAATTTTATCTAGCCGACTGAAAGCTCTGAACAAAAGTGCAATTGGACTGTGAAAATGAAAATATATGTTCTCCAAAACCTATCAGGTTTACGGCTCTCGTAAAATTAGCTGACCACAAGTAAACATGTCTGTTACTATTTGTGGGGAGACTGCTGGGTAAGTAATAAATCATGTTCCAAACATCGCAAGAGCCGGCTTAAATGGAACTTCAGTGTTGGACTTTGTAATAAAACTTTTGTGTCAGATTTATTGAAACATATAGGCGATATAAAACAAAAATGGAAAAGGGTTTGGGCAGGCAGTTCCATAAATTTTGCTAATTTTTGCCAACCCTCACATAAAAGTAATTATATTCGAACAAGGTAATGTTTGACCCTGAATGATACAAGGGTGCAGTGGCACACACCGAACAGGTTATTTACAAGCCTGAAATTGTCCTATTGTAAAATTTGGAAGAATGGAATAATATTATGAGGACCATAAAATCTTACAAGTTTTGGAGATTTTTTTGCCCGAAAACTTCAAAAGTTCAAAAACTGACACTATTAACTTGATAACAAGAAGATTAAGACTGATGCTATCAAAATTCGCGATTTTCAATTGTGGATTTATTTTTTTCTGAATACAAACTGTATATTCTGACAAAATTTTCGAAGGTGGTGCAGTTTTAAGGCCAGAGAATGTGTGCTTTGCTCAAAAAATTACTTTCAAGCGTTTAAATTTTTCCCCGGCGACCTTTTCCTAATTGTATACTTCGTATGTACTAAGCTTACCAGATATTTAAATCAGGTTGCGCAAATTAACCAGGCGTGCCCCAGGAGAGAGACGAATACTCAGTCTACTAAACAAGGATAAATAAAGAACAGTCATTTTATGGACACTCGTGTGGTATGCCTGCTGTGACGTAAACAAAAATACTCAGTTCGGGCGGCTGTAAATTGCGTTAAAATTAGCACTCACGGATTGCCATTTTTGCACGATGAGTTACTGGTGCCAAAAAAAGCCTTGAATAAAGGAGCGAGTGATCTTTGTATCGTTGGTGTTAACTTCAGACACCTAATACACCCAATATGCACTTAATGTCGACCAGAGGTCATGATTTCGAACTACACGAGTTATAGAATTTTAAAAGAATGCACTTCGCTCTTCTGATGAAGGTGATTGGATTGTTGTCGAGAGGAAGTGGTTGTTGCAGAATTAGGTATATGTTTTAAAGTACAAAAAGTGTGAATATTTTGTATTTTTCGACGAAAAAATTATAAAGTAGTTGCGAGTTTATACACAAAATATTTTGTGACAAATTACGACAACTTTAGTTAACAAGAAAATCTGTTAGTAGAGGTTACATAGACAACTTTAAAATTGTCTGACCCATTTTCTTTCAATTAGAAGTGAATACGATTAGCATTTTAAAATTTTTTGGTTTTATCATAACAGGAAGCCACTAAAATACTGCATACTGATTTTTGCATTAAATTTCATCAATATTTAAATAAATAAGTGGACAGATATTTTATTTTTATGACTTAATAATAAATAAATACATTTTTAATCTTCAGTGCAAAGTTTTGTTGTCTTTTTTAATAATTCACACCACACCTCGATGAAGAATGTTCAAAAGTTTAAACTAATGTAGTCGGTCAAAATCAATTAAGATATGAGTAAATCTTGGTATTTTGTGTGGTCTGGGAAAGTCCATTGCCATGAAAAGATCTTTCTTTAATGTAACACAAGTTAATACCGCGTGATCAGAAAAGGCTGAGTCTGTTGGCAGTATTTAAAAAAAAAAAGTGAACTTTTCTTGCGTTTATGTTGGCATAACGGAAGTAATTGTGTGACAGATGTGTCAGTCATGCGATAAATTTAGGTTATATTTTGGATACATTTTGCAAATTAAAAATGTCAACAGTCTGTCAATCTTGACGCTGATACCCTGAAATTGTTGAAATCATCATAAACCAATTTCAACTAAAAATCCAGTCTTGCCAATGCTTGTTAGTGTTGTTATCTTTTATTTACTACAAATTTACAGGTGTCTTTGATGTTATCGTGAAAGGCACTTTCCGGATTTCAGCTGTAGGTATAAATTAATTCAGTTTAAAGTTAGATCGTTTGGTGGTATTCAGTGCACAAACAGCGATTCCAATAAATTAACATTGCCGATAGCTTAATGACAGTATCTAATTTCGGGCGTTTAGTGTTTATTGGTATCGCTAAGCCATAAAATCCTGAATCGATTAATCATTGATCAATTAGTTTTAAATTGGCTTAATGGAGATAAATATTGTCTGTTTCTTCACAAATTATTGTTTTCCCGAAGTGTTAATTTCTGTCAGTCTAAATTTAGAAGTGTGTAAACATTAATAATCCAAATATGAAGCTGAAATTATCTTGCAAACAGCGTTGTACCTGTGCAACAGCTACCGAGTTAATTGGAATAGTATAGAGTGTGACCCTGAACTGTCTGCTTCGATTGTACTATTAGATCAGCTCTATGGGCGTAGGAATTTGTTGTCTATGCTTTTTAATATCACTTTTACTTTTTATTGGCTTCATTTTGATAAATATTTTAATTGTAAATTTACTAATATAAATCAGATCATAAATCATTCTAATTTAGATAACTGTTTATATTTTTTATAGTCGACTGTGGGTAGAAAGAACGTCCAAGATCACCACTCAATGACGTGCTTCTGGGCAAAATAATCAAAGAATGAAATATAGGACAATTTCTAGTTCGGTTACCTAGATAATATCTCAATTTGCATCAAGACAAATTAATACCATAATAAAAAAAAAATTAAAGGGTTTGGTCCGGCTTTTCTATACCTACTCTAATTTTATAATTATTAAAAGTTTTGACCCTGAATTACTTTCTAACGACGTTTTTTTCCACACATATTTTATTCGACTCTTACAATAGCCACATAGAATAATCTGCAAAGAGGGCGCCTTCGTTAGTACCACACTTACCTTTGTATTGTAGGTACCTGCCTTCCAAACGACTGCAGTCAAGGCTATCAAAAATGATTTACTACCTACATTGCGGCAAGAATAATAATTTATGGTGCATTTAAAGTGCAACAGTGATTGACTTTCTCACTTGCAACGAAAATATTATGTGCAGGGCCATGGAAAGGACACTCGACACTTTTTTTTTTACTTGTCGCTAAATTCTTGATAGTACTGCTCTGATACGGAGACTGTTACGCTTTATTATCCGGTTAAACTTGACGGAGCTATTAAAGTAGCTTATTGTTGGAGATGGTGATTTTATCAGATGCAGAAAACCACGTCATCGAACATTTTTTCTTCTATTTTTCTAAGATAATGAATTATGTTTACGTGGGATCTGTGGAAAATTTTGTTTGCATTATAAAACTGTAAGTTACCTAACAGGACTAGTAGTTTTATTAAATGAAATTTATGCATTTTTTATGTGCTCTTGGCTGGCCCATTTGGCCTAAAGTGGTACAGGAAAAAAAGCGGGCGTGCCAAATTTTATTAATGTATGTGAAAATGTTGAATCACCCATTTAAAATTGATTGCTCTTTTTAGGTGAAACTATAAATTTGGCTTTTAAGCACCTGTTCTAATAAAGAGGTATCTATGACTATTAATGCAGGCCGTGTCATGTTTGCGAAAAAATATAATAAACAACTGGCTTTAATTTGTTTGTTGAAGATTTGTGTTGTATTTGTGAGTCAGGAAATGTGTTTTTCAGTGGTCCGCTTAGAATGTAGTAGCTATAAAAGAAATAACAATTATCTCTTCTACTCATTACCATCAGAGTGTTTTAAATAAGTTATTTCTGTAATTTGTGTGATATTTAAAATTTTTGCATTAACATGGCTCGTATACATTATGTATGAAGTGTGAAATGGTAAAACTTGTCTATTGTGTGGTTATGAATAATTTATCTTTATCTATGGAATAATTAAAAGAGTTTTACTTGCAGATAAGTTGAACTGCTAGACATTTACAAAAAATGCACTTGAATGATTTGTTGCAGAAAGCGAAAATGTATTAAAAAAAAATCATTCTTAAAGTCGACAAAAATAAATTATATGGGCTCTTTATTTTTCGCTAATTAGGCTAAGGCTCACTGCTAAAGCGACCAATGAAGTAATAATTTTTTTTATTATTTTAATGGACTCTGAATTATTCCGCCTCTTTCAGAGTGTGTAACTGTAATGACAACTTCTAACCATCTCCATGGCAACGGTTCAAATGTCATTACTGCTGTGACAGACGACGTATTAAACTTACCAATTAAAACTTTAAAAATGTGTACCATTACTAAGAAGTGGCACATCTGCAATATTTTTAAATTTCGTATGTCACTAGATGCTTAATACTTGGTTGTTAATTTTTAAATGATGAGCAAGTACATGGTAACTTAGGAAAATCAAAGATAACTTAATAATCTTACCCTGAATTAATCAAATATTAGGAAGTAAATCTCATAATCGAGACTATGTTTGGCAATTTTCAGAAAAGATGAAGTTAAGCAGCAAAAACAAAATTTAAAATGAAGAGCTTAGATTTAATTTTAGCACTATGTAGTAACAATGTCAGTTAAAAATTTTTACATTTATTACAAAAATATTCCGATCTTAGACATAAAATGAGAGAATCGTGGGTGGGCATTTACCGAGTCCTGAAAATGTTATACTTATGTTAATGAGGTACATGTAACGAATTAATTATGATCATTTGAATAGGCAAGCTGCATAATTGATTTTCATTGAGCACATTATTAATTTTAAGATTCGTAATGTTTTTAGTATTCCTTGAGATGTCAACAGCCATATTCGATTTGAACAAATTTGTAGTAATTTATTGCAGGATGTGGCATTATAAGTCGATAATGTTATTACAATTTGGACAGATATTAATCTATAAAATATTAACAAAGTAGATACGTTATTTTTATTAAAATTTTTTTAGTTGTATATTTTCGTGTATTATTGTGTCGTTAGAAGTGGATTATTGTCAAATCGACCTTGTTACACAATTTAAAATGTATCTTTTTCAAATCTGAACATTCCAGTTCTATCATTTAGAGATCTTAGAGTATTCGACCATAAAGAATAAGCGAGTCAAATTCTTGAAGTGCAAACGTGTTTCTCAGGAAAGTTGCGGTTCTTTGTAAGTTAAAAGTAATCACTTATATGGTCAACGTAATCAATCAAGGACAAAAATAAAAAGTAAAGCCGCCTTCTATTTTGAAAAAATGCAAATCATTTTGATTGCATTCATGCCGTATTCGTTAATTGCGAAAATGCATAAACTATTTCGTGTAGAAACAGAGATTGATAAACAGGAAACATAAACAAAATTTAAATCAACTTCCGTCTGCTTATATTATTTTATTTCCACCGTTATCGACCCAACGCTGCAGTGATTGTTGTAGATTTCGGAACTAATCAGCTAGGACTATTTTGCATAATTCAAATCAATCTTTAATTACACGTACTGGAGGCTACACTTGAGGTCAAACATAAATTCAATACACATCGCAAAGGTCATAAGTAGGTGCAGTCCCTTTGAGCCAGAAGGCCCCAAGTGGCCGATATTAGCCCCGACCCGCCTTCTTTAGTCAAGCGAGCGCACGTTTTCGAAAGGGCATCCTCAATTTGTTATATCCGAGGCGTGGTTACCTAATTCGTTAAATTATTCCCCGATTTAAATTTCTCCAAGAATTGCTAAATGTGTTTCCGAAACGCATACTTTACAAACTATTGCAGAAATTCCTTTAAAAACGTTCTCGTCAAGGTGGTGGTGGGCCATTGTTAATGTCCCATCTCGTAAGTTCATGGTTATCCCATGGGTAGGGTGTGGTACCGCTATAAATAGAGCAGATTTCGGCTGATTGTCATTGTAAATTCGAACAGCAAATTACCAACATGTTTGTAAAACTGGTAAGTAAAAAAATCGTGAGTGAACAGTGATAGTGACGTGTTTTTCCAGGCCGTATTAGCTTGCACCTTGGCTGTAGCCCTCGCGGTATACAATGGACCTTTGGCTGGTGGAGTCCCTGCGTCCCAGTTCCCCGCAGGAGTTAACCCACAGGCTTGCCCCAACTACCCCAACTGCGCCAACCCCTCCGTAGCCGTCGACCAGTCTCCCGTTTCCCAGTACAGCGCGGCTCCTCAGTACAATCAGGCTCCTCAGTACAACCAAGCCCCTCAGTACAACCCTGCACCTCAATACCAGCCCCAGTACCAACAAGCCCCACAATACGCCCCTCAGCAGTACAACCAGGGTCCTGCCCAGTACGCCCCCAACGTTCAGAACGCTTTGGACCGCGGTGAATACATTGGAGATGGTGACTACCACGGTGAAGGTCTCGCTGAAGCCCTTGCTCCCGGATATCAAGGTACTGGTTCGAGTTGAGATCGCCCGCAGTTTATTAATATGTTCGGTTTCAGGACAAGCTCAAGCCTACAATGCCGCCCCGGCCTACAACCAACAAGCCTACGCTCCTCAGCAGCATCAACTTCCTGCCGGTGTAGGACAACCTGCTCAGATTCCCGCAGGCGTTGATGCCCGCTCCTGTCCCAATTACCCGTTCTGTTCTTAATTTAAACAAGCTAGACTGCCAGCTGACAACATGTTGTTACACAATTTATTTTACAAATTTGTAAATGTTTGTAATATAGTCTAAATCAATTTAATTTAATAAAAGTTAAAAAAAAACCAAATTAGGAGCTTTATTGGGTGCGATGTCATTACGTAGATGAGAAAGGCAAGTGCTGAAACAATCGTGCGTTCTTGAAAAATGCTTTGTTTCACCGGTAAGGTCACAGTCTTATTATGAGACAGAATAAGGAAAGCCTCACCTAATAGAGGTATTTCAACTTTTTATCCGATATCAACAATTTTTTTGTTTAATGCTTGAATATTTACCATGGCAATGAAGCATGAAACCTTGGACATAATGTGACAGAAAGCGAAGGAATAAAGTTTTGTACCGTACATACGTTCATTAACGCAAGGATCGTACCCTATTATTGTACCACTTCTATATTTTATTCCACTTACGTGTGGGATCGGTATTAAAAATATTGATACTGTTACATTTTCTATGCAACGGGTGGATTAGGTGTGGTACCTATATAAATAGAGCACATTTACCTCTTTATTCAGTTCAAATCCAGCAAAATAGCAACATGTTCGTAAAACTGGTAAGTCACCACTACCCTCTCAGTGAGCGCATCCTAAGTGCCAAAAAAGGATTACCAGTGATTCTAGTGGTTGCAGTGTATGTGTGAATCGAGTCGGGGAAGCACCCACATTCATCGTGCCATCCATCATTCACAGTACCATCCTAAAAGTGCTTTCTTTGTAGTATTATTATTTCCGTGGTACCGTTACGTCGCAGCTCTTTCAATTACCAAACTATCGCTAACTCTCATTAGCATTTAAAGTACCCACGATAATGTAAACAAGATGCAAATATCTCATTTTACAGTCACTCCAGCAGTTCCGTACTAACTTTGGCATTTTTCAGACAGTGTTAGCTTGCTCTATAGCAGTGGCCGTTGGCGTGTGGAATGGTCCTCTTGCTGGAGGAGTACCTGCGCACCAGTTCCCCGCAGGCATCAGCCCCCAAGCGTGTCCCAACTTCCCCCACTGCAGCAACCCCTCCCTAGCCGCCAACCCCAACGCCCCCGCCCCCTACAACCCCAACCCCGTTCCCCAGTACAATGGGTACAACCCTGGACAACAATACGGCGGATACAATCCCGCACCTGTTCCACAGTACAACCCATCTCTTCAAGCCGCTTTGGACAGAGGTGAGTACGTTGGAGACGGGGATTACCACGGAGAAGGACTCGCCGAAGCTCTGGCTCCTGGATATGCTGGTGAGTTGGTGAAGGGGGTTAAAGTTTAGAGTGATTTGGATTTTTTTCTAGGACAACACGGTGGCTACAATCCACAACCGGCATACAATCCTGCTCCTGCTTACAATCCTGGGCTTCCTGCTGGAGTGCCGGCCCAGATTCCGGCTGGTGTTGACGCCAGGTCTTGCCCTAATTATCCATTCTGTCACTAGAGCAAGTTGGGCAGTCAGCTGACAACATGTTAGCTTTTTAGGTTTAATTTTTTATTTGATGCTGTGTTCTAAAATTTCCTGTAAAATAGGGTATTTTGATATGCAATTAACGAAGACTTGTGTACGACAACTACAATCAGATGCTGTAAATTATATATTTGTGTACTGTATAAAGAAGATATAAATAAATAAATATTTCCATAATTTTTATTAAGTTGTTTTTGTTTGACAATTTTAAGTTAATTACTTATTTAAAATATATTGCAGTGTCTTGGACGTGTTTCGTAAAATAAATAAGTGGTCATAACTTTATTAGACCTAATAATATGTTATTTGGTCTATGATACATATCAATATACTGTTGCAGTGATCATTAAATATGTAAAATAGTCCAAAATTGCATTGAGGCTATAAGTAAATTATCGTGTACCAACATAAAGTTCTACTAAATTATGTGCAGAGATATCGTAAATTACTAAATAAACTTTTGTGAATAAAGTCTTTCAAAATATTTCTCATAAAAGTTGTTTGTTTGAGTGGGCGTTGGTTAATTTTATAGTTCGAAAGTATGTATAACATTGAAGTTAAAACTAACAACAACCCAAAACAAATTATTTCATTTTAACATTAATTTATTACTATTGTAATTTTTTTCAGGAAGACAATTTAAGATTAATGCGAACCTGCACCGTGAGAAAGCTATGTGGCCTACAGAGTTGTTGTAAAGTCGCAGACAAATTAAGTGCTTTAATTTGTTAAAATTTTGAAGGTTTAACCACTACATTAAAGTGTCGAAGTAGAATGACAGAGGTGACGGCAAGTAAATTTTTAAGAGTTTCTTGTTTATCGAGTACGTCTGATTTAGTTTGCAATTTCATAAAAAGACAAAAAAACAAAATGAATCACATTTAACACCACGGTCCTCCTCCAACGAGTATAACTAGTGTAAGACCAGTTATTAATGATTTTCTAATCGTAAATGTGTAAAACTTTGACTATTCCGTCAACACGTGCTATTTTTGTTTTATTATGTGTAAATTTACTTCCAATACAATTTAACTGCAATAATGTAAAGGTTTGTTTATTTAAACAAATGTGTTTTTACACGTGCCAGGAATTTTACTAATTCAGGCTTCACTCTTTTTTTAACACTATATAGTTAAAGTTCTAGATCTTTTTACTTAAGTTACTACATTACCTACAAAGGAGCGGACGGAATCTGCTGAACCACGACTACCACGACTACTGAAAAGGCCCCTTGTGTTTTATTTTCGAAGTAGTAAGAAAGAATCTCGTATCCGGGTTTTAAAGTAGTTTGAAAGAATCTCAGCAACCCCTTGTGCCTGGTTTTTGATGTAGTTTGATAGAATTTCGGGAACCCCTTCTGTATTGTGTTTGAAGTTAGTAGTTTGAATGAATCTTGAGGATCCCTTGTCTTGTTTTTGAAGTAGTTTGAAAGAATCTCAGGAACCCCTTTTGTTTTGTTTTAGAAGTAGTTTGAAAGGATCTCGGAAATCCCTTGTGCCTGGTTTTTGAAGTAGTTTGAAAGAATCTTGGGGATTCTATGTCTTGTTTTTAAGTAATTTGAAACAATCTAGCCGTCCTCAGTGTTTTGTTTTTGAATTAGTTTGAAAGAAGCTCGGCTATTCCTTTCATTTTGTTTTTGAAGTAGTTTGAAAGAATCTTGGGGACCCCCTGTGGTTCCCCTGTGGTTTGTTTTTGAAGTATTGAAAGAATTTTGGCGTTCCCTTGTTTTTTGTTTTTGAAGTAGTTTGAAAATATTTTGGAGATCTCTTGCCTTGTTTTTTGAATTAGTTTGAAAGAATTTCGGAGATTCCTTTCGTTTTGTTTTTGAAGTAATTTGAAGGAATTTCGGGGACATCTTGTGCTTTGTTTTTGAAGTAGTTTGAAACAATTTCGGAGATACCTTGTCTTGTTTTTGAAGTGATTGTAAAGAATCTGGAAGACTTCATGTGTCTTGTAATTTGATAGAATCTCATAGTACCGTGATTAAGTGAGGATGGGACCTGCTGTACCATAGCGGGGAAATTTTAGGCCGGCGCCTGAAGGTCGAAATTTTACTTCATTTGAAAGTATACAGAATTTGAATTTTGGTAGCGGCGCTCTGGTGTACCATGAGTACCGGCGCCTCTAGAAACTTTTCGATTTCCAGATGGTCTCATCCGCCCCTGTATCTACCCTTCATAACTTCTCTCTTGAGATTTATAATAAATCATTTATGGTATTTAAGCTAATCTTAAATGTTGATCTATAATGAGTGAAAGGACCTTGAAAATTATCATCAGTTAAATTAATACAATCGTACCTTAGAAATGATAGGAGTATTTTGTGTTTATTTCGTATGTAGTATGTGCTGAGTACATGATGTAATTGTCATTAATTAAATTTAGTTTAATCATTAACTTGAATTAATGTATAATTTAAATTCATGTAATTTTTTTTTGAGTGAAACTCTTGATACAGTGTGCCATAATTGAATTTTACTTGTTTCCTTTCTCATAATTAAAATACTCATTATGCTATTGTTAAAATTTAGAAGATTTTAACTGCAACCGAAATACACGCACTAGATTTATTTTTATTTATTTTCTCTATTTTTTTTAGTAGGGTGTACTACACTGGACATTTTTTTAAAATAATGCAGTTTATGTGACAATAATAAGTAAACGAGGGAAACAACATTTTTTTTGTATGGTAAACGATTTATTGGTTAACACTTTGCTGTGGAACTTTTTCCAAATTTGCTTCAAAGTACTTTAACAAAGACAAAAATCAGTGAAAAGAAATAATCATATTATTAACTAGATGTTTTTCAAAAGTTTTTATTTTCTCATACATTTTCTTGCCTAAACTAAAAGATGGGGGATAGGACGAGCATCTGCATCCAGTATTCTACACGTTTTAAAATATCATGTATGTTTTAGGAGGTGACTAAAAACTTGTTTTAATAATTTTCCATAATTTCTCATAAAAACATCTTGCGCAACGTTTGATTTGTTTCAAACTTGGGTAAGTTTGTTGTTTTTCCAGTTTGTCCTTTTCACAGTTTTCTTTACATGGTAGTTGTGGTTTTTGATGAAATGTAAACTACGTTCATCCTAAGTTTTCTAAAACCTAAGTAGCAATTATTATCCAATGGCAATGGTTATAATATAGTCATTCACTTTTCACTTTTTACGAAAGAAATACGCAAAATATGCGGAAAAACATTATTCTGGCTGCACTATTTAAAAAGTAAAACCAGGTCATTATCTTAAACCAGAAGATTAAGTTCGAAAAGGTTAACCACCTTTTCGCAGTTCTATTTTATTACTCAATTCTCAAAAACCGACTACTAAAACGTTGATAAGAAAATTGAATAAAGTTTAGGTTTGGGGCAACCTTTTCACCCCCAAATTTAAATTCAAACTGTATGTTTGAAACCCTGTGTGTCACAGTTCTATCCTGTATCGACGTTCCAAGGTTTCCGAGTAATTAACTAACAAATTTAACAACTTACCCGTCAAGCAACTAGTCTGAATGTCACATATTCAGTAGAACTGCATTAAAGAACTTATTTTGCGAGTGGAGATGAGGAGTTTTTAGGTGTTCCAAAAAACGAGATCTTTTCATGGACTAATTTGAAAATGAGTGGTATTAAAAATATTGATATTGTTACATTTTCTATGCAGCGGGTGGATTAGGTGTGGTACCTATATAAATAGACCACATTTACCTACCTCTTTACTCAGTTCAAATCCAGCAAAATAGCAACATGTTCGTAAAACTGGTAAGTCATCACCACTCCCTCAGTGAGCGCATTGTAAGTGCCAAAAAGGATTACCAGTGATTCTAGTGGTTGCAGTGTATCTGTGAATCGAGTCGGGGAAGCACCCACATTCATCGTGCCATCCTAAAAGTGCTTTCTTTGTAGTATACATATTTCCGTGGTACTGTTACGTCGCAGTTCTTTCAATTACCAAACTATTGCTAACTCCCATTAGCATTTAAAGTACCCACGATATTGGAAACAAGATACAAATGTCTCATGTCGCTCTAGCAGTTTCGTACTAACTTTGGCATTTTTCAGACAGTGTTAGCTTGCTCTATAGCAGTGGTCGTCGGCGTGTGGAATGGTCCTCTTGCTGGAGGAGTACCTGCGCACCAGTTCCCCGCAGGCATCAGCCCCCAAGCGTGTCCCAACTTCCCCCACTGCAGCAACCCCTCTGTAGCCGCCAACCCCAACGCCCCCGCCCCCTACAACTCCAACCCCGTTCCACAGTACAACGGGTACAACCCTGGACAACAATACGGCGGATACAATCCCGCACCTGTTACACAGTACAACCCATCTCGTCAAGCCGCTTTGGACAGAGGTGAGTACGTTGGAGACGGGGATTACCACGGAGAAGGACTAGCCGAAGCTCTGGCTCCTGGATATGCTGGTGAGTTGGTGGAAGGGAGTTATGATTTGGAGTGATTTGGGTTTTTTTCTAGGACAATACGGTGGCTACAACAATCCTGCTCCTGCTTACAATCCTGGGCTTCCTGCTGGAGTGCCGGCCCAGATTCCGGCTGGTGTTGACGCCAGGTCTTGCCCTAATTATCCCTTCTGTCACTAGAGCAAGTTGGGCAGTCAGTTGATAACATGTTAGCTTTTAAGGTTTAATTTTTTATTTGATGCTCTGTTCTAAAGTTTCCTGTAAAATAGGGTATTTTAATACGCAATTAACGAAGACTTGTGTACGACAACTACAATCAGATGCTGTAAATTATATATTTGTGTACTGTATAAAGAAGATATAAATAAATATTTCCATAATTTTTATTTCGTTGTTTTTGTTTGACCATTTTAAGTTACTTAATTACTTATTTAAGATATACTGCAGTACCTTGGACGTGTTTCTTAAAATAAATAAGCGGTCATAACTTTACTACACCTAATAATATGTTATTTGGTCTATGATACGTATCAATATACTGTGCAGTGATTATTAAATATATAAAATAGTCAAAAATTGCACTGAGGCTATAAGTAAATTATTGACTACCAACATAAAGTTCTACTAAATTATGTGAACAGATATCGTAAATTATTAAATAAACTTTTGTGAATAAAGTCTTTCAAAATATTTCTCATAAAATTGTTTGTTTGAATGGGCGTTGGTTAATTTTATAGTTCGAAAGTATGTATAACATCGAAGTTAAAACCAACAAAAACCCAAAGCAAATTATTTCATTTTAACTTTAATTTATTACTATTGTAATTTTTTTTCAGGAAGACAATTTAAGATTAATGCGAACCTGCACCGTGAGAAAGCTATGTGGCCTACAGAGTTGTTGTAAAGTCGCAGAAAAATTAAGTGCCTTAATTTGTTAAAATTTTGAAGGTTTAACCACTACATTTAAGTATCTAAGTAGAATGACAGAGGTGACGGCAAGTAGATTTTTAAAGGTTTCTTGTTTAACGAGTACATCTGACTTAGTTTGCAATTTCATAAAAGGAAAAAATGAATCACATTTAACACCACGGTCCTCCTCCTACGAGTATAACTAGTGTAAGATCAGTTAATTAATGATTTTCTAAAACTTGGACTATTTCGTCAACACGTGTTATTTTTGTTTTATTGTTTGTAAAGTTACTTCCAATACAATTTAACTGCAATATTGTAAAGGTTTGTTTATTTAAACAAATGTGTTTTACACGTGCTAGGAATTTTACTAATTCAGGCTTCATTCTTTTTTTAACTATATATGGTTAAAGTTCTGGATGTTTTTACTTAAGTTATTACATTACCTACCAGGAGCTGATGGACTCTGCTGAACCACGACTACCACGACTACTGAAAAAGGCCCCTTGTGTTTTGATTTCGAAGTAGTATGAAAGAATCTCTTTTCTTATTTTTGAATTAGTTTGAAAGAATCTCGGGGACTCCTTGTGCCTGTTTTTTAAAGTAGTTTGAAAGAATCTTGGGATCCCTTGTTTTGTTTTTGAAGTACTTTGAAAGAGTCTAGTATTTGATAAGATAAGACTGATTTTGACAAATGATATACCCTGTTAGAAAATAGAGGGAGGATGGGCGGGAATAGTATTTGATAAGATAAGACTGATTTTGGCACTTTTGACACTTTCGCCCATTTTTTAATCATTTTCGAAAATTAGTTGAAGAAATTTTTTTCCAAATTTCCACATCAAGAAGTCATTTTCGACTTCGTTTTTTCGGAAATTCCTACCTTTTGTCCAAAATCGCCAATTGAAATATAGCAATTTTTACAGTTCCGTCAAATACGCTCGGCATAAAATTTTTGTAGATAAAAAAGGAAATTATTATCATATTTGTTGCACAAAATACAGTTATTTTAAGAATGTATTTACTTTGTGATTTTTATACATATATTTACAAAAATGTTTACAAGTTGCTTATTTGAGATAATAGAGAAGTCAAAACAGGTCAGGTCACGTTAGGTCAAGGCAGGTGTTTGAGATAAGCAATAAATTTTATAGCAAATAGTATAACAAAAAAAGTTCCGGTTCGCGCTTTTTTTTTTTACTTTTTTCACATCCTAGTTTCTCTTATTAGTTTCCACTCCTACTCGACATAAGAACATAATTAGCCCCGCTCACATATCCTGCCTCCTTTTCAGTGATTGATTTAATCCGATCTGAAGGAAATGAATGATCTTATACTGAACAGAAATAAAATTAGTTCTTAGAATGAGAAGAGGAGGGGTGAGCGGGGCTAGTACCTGCTAAGATAAGACTGATTTTGGCAAATGACATACGTTCTAAGAAAATAGAGGGTGGGCGGGCGGGGCTAGTATTTGATAACATAAGACTGATTTTGGCACCTTTCACATTTTCGATCATTTTTCAACTATTTTCAAAAATTATCCAGATTCTAGTCAGGTACATGAAATAAGAAATAAATTTTATAGCAAGTAGTATAACAAAAAAATTTACGATTAGCGCTTTTTTTACTTTTTTAACATCCTAGATTCAATTATTAGTTTCCACTCCCACTCGAGCTAAGAACATAATTAGCTCACCCACCCACCCTGTCTCCTTTTCAGTGATTGATTTTATCTGATCTGAATGAAATGAATGATCTTATACTGAACGGAAATAAAATTAGTCTTTAGAATTAGAAGAAGGGGAGTGGGTGGGGCTAGTACCTGCCAAGGTAAGACTGATTTTGGCAAATGGCATATCCTATATACACGTTAGTGTATATTAATGAAGTTGGCCATGGTTTAAGTATCGAAATAGAATAACACAAGCGACAGATTTAATGTTTATTTGAATATTGATCTGATATATAGTGACTCTATGACAAAATGAATTGCATTTGACACCGCGTTTTGAAAGGATCTCGGAAATCTCTTGTGCCTGATTTTTGAATTACTTACTTCGAAAGAATCCCGGGAACCTATTTTGTTTTGTCTTTGAAATAGTTTGAAATCCTTTGTGCCTGGTTTTTGAAGTAGCTTGAAGAATCTTGAGGATTCCTTATCTTGTTTTTGAAGTAATTTGAAACAATATAGGGATCCCTCAGTGTTATGTTTTGAAATTAGTTTGCGAGAATGCCGGGAATCCCTTCGTTTTGTTTTTTAAGTAGTCTGAAGGAATCGCGGGGACTCCTTGCGCCTTGTGCCTGGTTTGTGAAGTAGTTTGAAAGAAACTTGGGGATCCGTTGTCTCGTTTTTGAAGTAATTTGAAGGAATCTCGGGGCGACTTTGTGCTTTTTCTTTTTAGAAGTAGTTTGAAAGAATTATATATAATAACTTGTCTTGTTTTTGAAGTAATTGTAAAGAATCTGAAGGACTTCTTGTAATTTGATAGAATCTCATAGTACCGTGATCAGGGGCGGATGGTATCTGCTGTACCAGCGCGGGAAAAATTTAGACCGACACCTGAAGGTCGAAATTTTACATCATTTAAAAGTATAGATAATTTGAATCCGGGCAGCGATGCTCCCCATCCACCCCTGTATCTACCCTTCATAACTTCTTCCTTGAGATTTATAACAGATCATTTATCTTATACGTTGATCCATTATGAGTGAACGGACCTTGAAAAATTATCATCAGTTAAATTAATGTAATCGTGCTTAGAAATGATCGGAGTCTTTAATGTTTACTTTGTCTTAATATTATTGTGATTTTGACCGTATTTTGTCTTTATTTCATATGTGTTATGTGTTATGTAGATTTGTTGAGTGTTGAGTAAATGATGTAATTGTTATTAACTAAATTTGGTTTAATCATTAACTTGAATTAATGTATAATTTAACTCCATGGAATTTTTGTTTGTTTGAAATTCTTGATAGAGTGTGCCATAATGAAATTTTACTTGCACTACACTGGACATTTTTTTAATCTAATGCAGTATATGTGACTATGTGAATATAATAAGTAAGCGAGGGAAACACCATTTTTTTATGGTAAATAGTTATGGATTAACACTTTGTTGTGGAACTTTTTCCAAATTTACTTCAAAGTACTTTAACAAAGACAGAAATCAATGAAAAGAAGTTATATATATATTAAGTAGGTGTTTTTCAACAGTTAAAAGTTGGGGGATAGGACCAGAATTTGCATCAAATACTCTACACGTCTAAAACTTAAGTAGCAGTTATTATCTAATAATAAAGCTAATAATAATAAGTCATTCACATAATCAACTTTTTAAGAAAGAAATAGGTACGCAAAATATGCGGAAAAACATTATTCTTGCTGCACTATTTAAAAAGTAAAATCAGGTCGTTATCTTAAACCAGAAGAATTATTTCGAAAAGGTTAACCACCGTTTCGCAGAGCTACCTTGTCATTCGATTCTCAAAAACCGCTTGCTAAAACGTTGATAATAAACTCGAACAAAGTTTGGATTTGGGGCAACCTTTTTACCCACAAATTTAAATTCGAACTTACGTTTGAAATCCTGTGTATCATAGTTCTATCCTGTATCGACGTTCCAAGGTTTCCGAGTAATTAACTGACAAATTTAATAACTTACCCGTCGAGCAACTAGTCTGAATGTCACAAATTCAGTAGAACTGCATTAAAGAAATGGTTTAGCGAGACAAGATGAGGAATTTTTAGGTGTTCCATAAAACGAGATCTTTTCATGAACTAATCTGAAAATGTGGTTGGGGTACGTGGACGATACTTTTGCTATTACTCTCTAAGGACGATGTCTAGTGAGTGGAAGGGGTAATAAAAGATATTTGCTGTAGACATTTATTTAATATCTCGTATATGTTTCACAGTAAAGTAATATAACATCAATATATTTATGATATGTATATTATGATATGTATCAATCTCGTTCCATCGAGAAGTTTGCGCTCAAATATGTGAAGCAATAGTTGAAAGCCTCGTCCGCGATTAATTCACTGCTGTTTTCTGCCATTATTCGTAACTTCAGGATAAGGTGATTAATCGCGAAAGGTTTCATGGCGCAAATAATAATAAATCATCACAGTTAGACGGTTAAAAGTTCTGAAATATTACTCTGTAAAATATAATTCTTGTGCGTTCTACGAGAAGCACAATCATTAAAATCTTCCTTACATCTATTAAGTACTACGATATGTATTTTTATTTTCTCAATACTATATCTAGGCCAGATTTAAAATTTGATTGAAAACACCTTAAACACTATAAATACCTCAGCCAATACGTAAAATTGAAATCAATACGCTTACGGATGTTATGTTTTGCGATTATCAAGAACTTACGTTGTACGTTTCTATTGGAGGGCTCGAAACTATAACGTTAGTCCAACTTTCTCAAATCAATAAAACCGTTACTTTATTAGTGTACATTAAAGAAAATTGTAAAAATCAATGAAACCGTACGACGTAACTTCCGACGTAACGATGAAATGTACAGGGTTTTCATGGGAAAGAAAGAATTTAATGCATGGGTCTTTTGAAAGTTGCAAGACCCGTGAGCCTCTTCTCTCCAGCGGTGTGTTGTATGGTGCTTTTAATCTGATCGGATGCTACTGGACCTATGCATACCAATGGATCCTTGAAATAGGAGCAGACCTGCGAAAATTGACACTCGTTTATATCGACCCAATTCTAGCTGACAATCAGGTCACGACCTGATTCAAATACAAAGAGGATTAACTAGCTGTTTGCTGGATTTGCGCAATACGTGTCGAAGTTTTGGAGAAAAGCTCCAACTTTTACTTATTAATCAGAGAAATGCTGCCGCTGTCAGCCAAAATGAGTTTGGGAGCGACACATTAATCTCAGATGTACGAGGCGTGGATGGATAAAAGTTACTTTTTATTTTCTAAGCTGAGACGATAAAACTTCCGAAACTTCGTGTTCTGACGAACGTGTTCTTTTTGTTTGAAACAAGGCGAACTGAACGGAAATATATATTTTTTTAATTCAGTTTTTAGTTTAACGTCAGTTAAGTTAACTGATTCACGACATAGCTCACTTCCTCCGCCCATTTTTGAGTTCACTTTAATTAATCACTCGCTCGAAAAATGTTCGCTGTCGGAATCTGAAAGTGAGTCCACACCAGCTTGAACCCAGAAAACAGCTATAAAGTGTTGTTGGGTGCAATAAATTCTGCGTCGGTAAGACTTTCTAAGGTGATTTTGCGTGGTTACCTTTCTTGGCGCTTGTCGATGGCGTCTCTGCAACTGGCAGCACAATCCCCTGGAAATGTCGCATTCGCTTGACATGTTGCAAGGTTCAGAGTACTGTTTGTCTTGATGTACTGGAGGCCTGCAGACTCTTGTGGATACAACTGGCTCTGCTTCCGCACAAACTAGTCCTGATTCGCAATCGCTGTCTCTTCTGCACAACTCGCCCACTCTACGCCCATAAGCAAATAAGCAGGATCCGACTACTGCAACAAGTGCGGAATCATTTTACGATAATTTGGCAGTTTGTTTAGGATATTGTTCGCTCTCTTGTGGGCTTATGCAAATTAAACAGAAGTTTATGGTGGAGTTAATGAAGTGGTGTTCTTTTAAGGAACGAGATCTTGTAATTAGGTGAGACAAAATAACACAAGTAATAAGCTTGCGTTTGCTACTTCCTGGGTGGTTACTTCCTTTTAAAAACTGATGATGTCACGCCAGTTCATTAATTGTTATCTGATGTATACCTCGTTACCTACCTATTTATTTTTGTCTGCTGGAATATGGGTTATTTTGAAGGAAATAAATTTGGCAAATTAAATCTCAGGACTTGTGTTACAAAGTAACCTTAACATTGATTCAGAGGTTGCAGATCATTAACGATTTTTTTATTCATGGTCACCGAAAGCGATGATGTCATCTTAAAAATTTACCATGAGTTGCGATACTGTTTTTGGCTTAGTCAAGTTCTTAAGTTTTTTGGGAATTTCGTACATAGAAGCTTACGCTCAGGAAGTAAAAAATAAGTCCATCACTGCTTGAGGGATGGCAGAAAATATGCAGATTATTACTCTGTAGTACGACAGATTAAATTCCCATTAAATTTTTTCGCCGTTTTAACACTTTGCGAAGTCAACCGAGAATATAAAATGACTATCAAATGTGACGCTAACGGAGCGAGAAAGTGATGTAATAAATATTGATATGTGCGCATGCAATATTTATGCTGGGATGGAGATGGAGCTAAAATATATATTTTGATTAGTCGAAATGGACATTTTCCTTCCGAAACATATCTGCGTGTTATTTTCTTTATACACATCTGCAGAACCAAATTATTTAAATTATTGAATGAAGTACAACTAGTCATACATATTTAATGTTGTAATTCTCTAGTTTCATACGAAGCTCGAGGCCCTTGCTTTTATTAAAGTTAGCTTTAATAATAATAATGATAATATTAATAATAACTCCTCCATTTTAGTCAATATTGATCGACTTGTGTAGAACTGAGTACTTATCCCGTTAATAATAAATGGACCATGTTTTAGTGGTGTAGCAACCGATAACGAAAAAACGTAATGTGTGAATAATGTAAATTTTGGTAAAACTTTTCTATAACGTTATTTTATGGTGCGTCCAGCAAAACACTAGTTCATCAACATTTTAAGGAAATTAGTGAGTCTTTTCGGAAATAACTACTTCAGAAAGCTAAGGAAAGTTTTCTGTTTCTATTTTATCGTACATTAGGTCCGTATAAAAACAAGAAAAGTGAATTAAACTCAGTTGCTGTGGGAGCGTGTTTCTTTATAAATTATGCACTTTCCTTTCCCTTGTGATGTGGGATGGCCTAACGAGAAGTTACGTTGGCCGGTGGTGTCATGGTCATACGAAAAATTTTATGGGGCTGAGCAATGACAAAACAGCTACAACACTTCTAGAAGATAGCAATGTTGACGCCTATTAAACTTGATGGATTATTCCACTAGTTGAACAGTGTAAATATTTGTAATAAAACTTTGCGTGTGGTTGGAATACGGTTTTATCTGTTTACTTGGATCAGTTATTGTACGAAATATCGACTGTTAATTTGAATCCGAAAATGTATCGACGTTTAATTCAACTGAAATAAAAAAAAAAACAGGTCAGTGTTATCACTGTGGATGTTTTCGATCAATCTACAACTGAAGCAGTCATACGATCTACCTTCCTAATTCAAAAAGGAACACAAAATTTTGTCGACTCATCCATTATTCGAAACCCTTATATAGCTACTAAACCTGAAAAATTCCGGTTTTTATTAGGTGTGGGAGTGGTGTAGATCTAATCTCGGTCTCTCAAACTTTTATCTTTTACATGGATTGACAGTTACACACATATTTTTAGACTCCGCTTACTTATTCATTATTGTTTAATTTAGTGAACCTCACTCTTTACAAATTCGATCCATTATTTAACTTGAAATGAAGGTAGACCGACTGCAAGCAACATCCGACCTACTTTCCAGTTAATTTTAATTATTAATTCCCTTACGGAGTCATTAAAACTGAGAAATTCCCAAATTTAATCATTACTGCAGCAAATGCAATGATTCCCAAACGACTTACTAAATCAACGCGCCAGAAGTTTCCATGGCGGAACGAAGAATATATTGACATCGTGAAAACACGAAATGGATTCATAAATCACAGCTATAGGAATATTTGCTATGCTCGGGAGGTAAAAAAAGGGTTCGTATCTATTGTACTTCTGTGTTTGTTATTCTATCACTTAATATTTCCCAAACTTGAAACAATTAAAACATCATTCCATTATTTGTTAAATCTTTTCCTGCGAGTACCTCTCATTGAGAACTATGAGATTAGAAAATAAAAAATAAATTACTTTTAAATTATGCAGAAGGCAGTTTGGGATTGCTCTGACGTAGAGTTCAATTTATTATTGAATTCCCACGTACCGTTTTTTATCAGAAGTTGCCAGCAATGTAATTTCGTTCAAAAAGTTTGAATAAATAACAAAAGTTTTAACACACATTACCGCAAAAAATATAGCGACTGGAATTTTAACAATTTTTTACCATTTATTGTCGGTAAAATAGCAGTTCGGTTGAAAGTTCTTCCACTTTTCCTTCTCAAGTTTTCCATTAGCAAAATTGTAAAAGCGAAATAAAATTTAGAAATAATGTAGGTAACATACTCCTGTACTTGTGGTTTATGTATTCGCCTTGGTTTTTACCCCAGACATCCATTTTTTATTAAGGTGTGACAACGGGTGGTGGATCAGATGAAATCAGATATTTTTTTCGCTTGCTTAAAGATTATTCTGAACGATACCCGCAGATTTTTATATTAATAAGTTAAATCTATTTTTATGTGTATCTTACTTAAGATGAAATATGTCCGAGTGACGCTGTTTTTAGAAGAAGTCTATACACCAAACTACTGCAATTAAATAGATATTTTTCTCGTTTATTTGTTAAAAATTTTAAACCTATTTAGCTTGCAATCGTCTTCCAAAAGTACGTTTCCTAAATTATATGCTTCTATTTTTAGAAAAAATTTGAAAACACTTTATTTTTAGTTAGAAGATTGCCTTGAATGGAATTTGAGAAGCGAAATATTTTTTAGAAGTAGTTGAAATGTATCGTATTATCGCTTTCTGGTATTGTTTGCAAACACAAACGAAACTATTTTTAGAAGAAATCTAAACAAGCTTTTACTTCTGAATGATACGTTTAAAAATTTTATTAATAATTCAAAAGATAATAATTTGCCGTGATTTCTACATCTACAACTTCTTTTTTACCTTTAAGAGAAAATATAGTTGTAGTGATGCTATTTTTAGAAGAAATCTATATGTATCAAACTATTGCCATTTGATAGATGTTTTTTCTCTAATTTATTAAATATTTTAAACTCAAAATGAATTTAGCATGTAAGCACTCTCCAAAAATACGCTTCCTAAATTATATGTTTCTATTTTTAGAAGAAATCAGAATACACTTTTTTTATTTTTAGTTAGAAGATCGTATCGAACGGAATTTGAGAAGCAAAATATTTTTTACTATTAGTTGAAGTGTGTCGTATTATCGTTTTCTCATATTGTCTGCAAACACAAACGAAACTATTTTTAGAAGAAAAATAAACAAGCTTTCACTTTTGAATGATACCTTTACAAAAATTTATTAATAATTCAAAACATAATTTGCTGTGATTTTTATATCTACAACTTTTCTTCTCTCTTTAATAGAAAATGCAGTCCTAATGATGCTATTTTTAGAAGACGCCTATATACATTAAAATAGTGCCATTTGAGGATTTTCAACGTTTTCAAAATTATATGCTTCTATTTTTAGAAGAAATCTGAACATATTTTTTAATTTTTGATCATCAAATTGTTTGGAACGGAATCTGAGAAGCGAAATATTTTTTTGAAGTAGTTGAAATGCATCGTACTATCACTTATTATTATCACGATGTGTTATTGTCTGCAAACTCAAACGAAACTACTTATTTTTAGAAGAAATCTAAACAAGTTTTCGCTTCTGAACGGTACCTTAAAGTTTTTTTATTAATAATTCGAAAGATAATTTGCCGTCGTTTCTACGTCTACTACTTCTAGTAGTCCTAGTAATGCTGTCTTTAGAAGAAATATATGTAGATTTCTGTTATTTCATACAATTTTTTTCTCTAATTGGTTAAAAATTTTAAACCCAAAATGAATTTAGGTGCGAATCACTTACCAAAAATAAATACGCTCCCTAAATTATATACTTCTAATTTTAGAAGGAAGAAACCTACATACAATATTTTTATTTTTACTTAGAAAATTGTCTTGAACGGCATCTGAGAAACGAAATATTTGTTAGAAATAGTTGAAATGTATCTTATTGTCGCTTTCTGACACTGTCTGCAAACATAAACGAAACTATTTTTAGAAGAAATCTAAACACACTTTCGCTTCTAAACCGCACTTTTAAAATTTTTTATTAATAATTCATCAGATAATTTGCCGTGATTTCTATATCTACTACTTCTATTTTCTCTTTAAGAGAATATGTAGTCCTAGTGATGTTTTTAGAAGAAGTCTACTCGTATATACTGCCATTTGGTAGATTTTTTTTTCTCTGACTTATTAAATATTTTAAACCTAAAATGGATTTAGCTTATAATCAATCTCCAAAAGAACGTTACGAAAATTAAATGCTTCTATTTTTAGAAGAAATTTGAATAGAATTTTTTTCATTTTTGGTCAAAAGATGGTCTTGAACGGAATCTGAGAAGCGAAATATTTTTCAGAAGCAGTTGAAATGCATCGTAGTATCACTTTCTGATAATGTCTGCAAATATAAACGAAACTAATTTTAGAATAAATCTAAACAAGTTTTTGCTTCTGACCGATACTTTTAAAAAATTTTAGTAATAATTCGAGAGATAATTTGCCGTCATTTCTGATTTCTACCTGTACTACTTCTCTTTTCTCTTTAAGAGAATATGTAGACTTACATACTAATGTTGTTTTTAGAAGAAATCTACTACTGCCATTTGATAGATTTTTTTTCCCCGAACTTGTTAAATATTTTAAATCTAAAATGAATTTAGTTTGTCATCAATCTCGAAAATGACATTTCCAAAATTATACACTTTTATTTTCAGAAGAAACATGAATACATTTTTTTTATTTTTGGTCAAAGATGGTCTTGAACAAAATCTAAGAAACGAAATGTTTTTAGAAGCAGTTGAATTGCATCGTAGTATCAGTTTCTGATACTGTCTGCAAACACAGACCAAACTATTTTTAGCAGAAGTCTAAACAAGTTTTCGCTTCTGAACGATACCTTTAAAAAATGTTATGAACAATTCGAGTGATAATTTGTCGTGATTTCTACATCTACTATTTTTCTTTCTCTTTAAGATTTGTAGTCCTAGTGATGCTGTTTTTAGAAGAAGTCTAAATACATCGAAATACTGCCATTTGATAGATGTTTAATGAATTTAGATTGTAATCAGCCTCCAAAATTATGCTTCCTAAATTATATGCTTCTATTTTTAGAAGAAATCTGAATACCGTTTAGCAAGAAACAGGTTTAAAAAAATGTGAAAATTGGAAGTAGTCATAAAGAAAATAAACATTTATGTAGTCATTAATGCAAAATACAAAAAAAATGTTTTTTTTAAATTTCAGTCTTAACTAAATACGTTAAATATTTATTTATTATTATATTTGATAATAAAAAAATGTGCCAACAGATTTTATCTTGCCGGTATTTTTCACATCAAGTTATTATGACATTGGTAGATTGAAAAATATACGCATGTTAAAAAATGGGGTTAGAGTTAGCTGCGATTTTCAAACTCGTGTTATATATAAATGTAATACCATGTTGCGTATTTTTATTTAAAATTCATTGTCGTTTTATTTGATTTGAACCTTATAGTTAGAACCCTATTTGTGTTTTATATTTGTTTTCGCGTCGGTTGTTCGTCAGTGCCATTTTTATGTAAACTCCTGAACTCTATTATACTAGCAAAACTTTCCACGACTTGCTCAGTTCAACGAAATGAATATAATAAATTTTCTAAGGAAGTTACAATTCCTGCAACTTCCAAGAAGTAGCGTAATAAGACATCCTTTACGACAATTTTCCGCACACATCACGTGCTTCCTCCCCATCGTATGGAAGGCCCACGCTTTTACGTTCTTTTCTAAGATTTATCTGGTTTTCTTCAGTGTAGTTACATTATTGGGGCGTAAAAAGGAAACGGCGTAATTCAACGATATTACCTCCATCTACGTCGACACAAACGGAGCCCGGGCAGCAGTGCTCGTTGGCAGTACAGCGTTTTCCATAGCACGGTTCTTCGTCACCTTCGCTAGCATATTCTTCTAATATGCCTTCATCTCCTTCGCCGGTTCTCTGAAACGACATTTTATTGCAGTTTTAGTTTCTTTCATTCAATTTTGCTCCGACTCGGCACGACATCGGGGGTTTGGAGAAAATTGTGTTCGTTTCGAGGGAAAACGAGAAAAAATAATATCGTTAGAGAAAAAGAAAAACAAAGCGGTTTATAGTGAATATTGGGTATTTTCTTAAACGAAAACACTAGTCGTCGTTTCGCAAGGTGGGAGAATCAATACGAAGAAAGGCTTACCGCTAACATGTTTGTCTTGGGTGTATTGATTGTTTACGTAGTAAATTAATTAAATCCTCACCTGTATAAACCCTCCGTGGCCTCCGTACCCCATATTCGCTAGCATTTCTGGGGAAAATCTATTGAAGAGTCCTCCCCAAGCGTGTGCTTTATGACCCAAAAGGCAAGCCATAAATAATATGATGAGAGAACGCATCTTGAGTCTGAAAATACGAAAACAATTTTCTGAATTGCTTTATCCAGCAAATATACTATTACAAGTTTTATTCGACCAGGACAATGCGGGGTGAATATTCTGATATTGTTTTGGATATTTGCCTCGGAGCTGGTTTTAATTAACTAAATATGAAACTGTTATGATACTGAAATTTTTTATTACATATGACGTGCACGGTGAATAAACAATGCCGAGTGGGACATAAAATCGATAACAACTGAAGGGGTGGCATTTTTTGTCGTGTTAAAATTGGTGGACGAAGAGCCTCTTCTCATAAATGATTTACCCTTGTTTTGTTTTCTGTTTAATGTAGCTGTCACTCAAATGCTATTATTTTTAGCCTTTTGTCACTTTTTAAATTTGCTTCTCTGGTAGTGAGTTGAATGCTTTTTTCTCAGTTTTTTATCCCTCGGGGAATTTAACGTTCGTGCGATACGCTTTGAAGTAATTAAAAAGTGACGACCACCAAATTCTGGTGTTGATAAAACAAAATCATAATAATAAAAACGCCAGCATGGAAAGCAATTACACTGGTCAACAAAATTCAATTTTTTCTCTCTAACTTTGACATAATTGTAATGTTTTCGTTTAATTTGTCTCTGTGTTTGTAACAAAGGGCACAAACCTTACAACTTAGCTCAATTAAAAATAAAAATGCATATTTGATATTAAAAACAAAAAAGCAGGTAAAACTATTTAATTTTTGTATCTTTAACGGCAAAAAGTGATGTATTAACAAAAGAACAACCATAATTAAGAAAAAAACAACGATTGTAGATTAAAAAAAGAAAAAAACAAAAGAAACAGCTAAGACCGACGTTTTTTCGGTTGCCTCCTATGGATTTCATTGGAGATCTCTCGCTTGATGGTCTCGCAGTATTCTGCGAGCATTTAGGGGTTCCATCGATCTTGGTAACCTTTGTGTATCCACAAAATGCCGAGATGGAAACGTTCTCTATGTCCGTCACTCACGTCGTCATAATTTTTGGGGAAAAAATCAAGATGCGAATACATAAAATGCACTTTTAAGAATATGTTAATTTTAAATTTTTTATATGATGATAACATGTTTTCTACTTACTAAACGTAGTTTTCTTATTGTTTCCCAAGAAGTTTGTAGCAATTTGATCACAAAAAAATACACCTTATAGAAAGTTTCCTATTACTTAATAGTACGATTTTTGTATTTTTCAAAGAATAATATTGAAGATTACTTTTAAATGAGAGCTAAGTTTGGGTTTAGCCGTTTATAATATCATTTAAAATTGTTAATTAAATAATAATTGGCTGCTATAATAAAAGTTAGAGCTTAGCTGTTGACCAGTGTTATCTACATTTTTGGCGTGTTTGATAAGGTTTGTTTTTTAGGTGTTTTCAACACAACGAAATTATGTATTCATTCATGCTCATGCTGTTTTACAAACCGTTAATAAATGTAAAAGTTTGTAGGTCCTATATTAGTGTAGGGTGGTTGGATAAGGGTAAAATATGATGCGTACTTCGGAACTGGATGTTAACGTCTCACATAGATTTGACTCGGATCTTCTGGTTTCCAAAAATCTCGATTAGATCACAGAGTTTTGTTTTCTATCTCAGTAAACAGAATGAAACCGTCCAGCCACCGAAAATCAAATCACCACGAAATAGGGTTCCGTTAGAGAAACACATTTTATGCCGGTTTTACACTGGCAGTAATGATGACATTTCAAGTGTGGAAGAATGGATCTAAAAGCAGGAAGTCTGGAAGTCATCATGCACCAAAAATAAAACTTAAACGTGATTTAGAAATACGATTTTTAGCGATTATATTCTGATCATGGACATTTCCAAATATATATGTATATTAATCACTAGTTTAGAAAAATATGGTGTTATAAATCTCGATAATCATGCTAAAGATTATAAACGATCGCCTGAGGGAGGTCTAGTTCTAAATTATTCCACGAGTTCTCACATACAGTGTCCCGCGTGGCAAACACTACGTTTAAACTGGCATAATCTCAGGTCGACTTAAGTAATACATAAACAGTCATACACAGGTGTCCCAATAAACAATTATCATCTAACATTAGTGTAGAATATTTATCAATCAAGCATGTTGATAGGATTGATCATTTCTAAGTCACCTCCATCATATAAATTTTTAAGCGAAACTTCTGACACCATATTTAAACCTTTTGAAAAATATATTTTTTAGGCGATCAAAGTGGCCCTAAAATGTTACTTTTTCGGACTCAACTGTCAAAATTACTTTTTGGACTGGAGTGTCATATCTGCTAACCTTTCTTCCAAGTCTTTGTCTGTTTACCTTACATTTTCTTTAATGAAGCACCTTTAGGCAGGTGAATTCTTATATCCTACCAAATTACCTTAACAATAAGATGAACTATTGGCTTATCACAATTATAAAGAATACTGCAACATGAGGGATCGAATATTTTAAACATTTATGAAGTGAGATGAGATTGGTTTTCAAATATTTGTCACAAAATAGTCTTTCTTATACTAAACTCACTTGACATACACCTAGTAAAACTTCTATAACTTAAGCGGCTTAAGCCAAACCACCCTTATAAGTCAAATTGGCTATTGTAAGATTTGTGGACCCGAACCGCAAGAATTATTATTGTCCATTGTTGTCATAATGGTGTTGCAAAGTTTCACTACGTATATGTCAATGAGTTAAGTTATACAATAGCCAGTTTGACTTCTAAAGGTGGTTTGGCTTAAGCTGCTTAAGTCATAAAAGTTTTACTAGATGTATGTCAAGTGAGTTTAGTATATACATTCTCTTAATTAGAAAGGCAAGATAGACTTCCGATTTTGTTGCAAATCCTTCAGGGTTTTAGTCCGACAAAAAAAGCAACAGTTTTCTAACCTCAAAAACGTAAATACATATCTGCATACCTACGAAACAAAGTTTATTAAAGTACTTATTAATGTTATTATAGTTCAATATTGTTACATTTTTAAATTGTTTGTTGTGTTTCAATGAAGTAATGTTTCATAATTATTTTTTCAAATTTAACTAGGATTTTTTACATGTGTATGCGCCACGACCAAAGAGAACTTTTTCGGCCTCATGTGATTTGTCAGATCGGCCGAAAAACTTTCTCTTTACGGCCTATCAAACCTGTTTTAAACCTTTCTAATATGTAAAATTTTCGTGTCACAGTGTTTGTAACCAAACTTCTCCAAAATGAAATTTTTTATGTATATTCGGTAGATCGGAGAATAGGTTGTAAACTATTTTTTATACCCCTAAGTGATAAGGATGGCCCACCCAAAAAATGTTTTCTTTATTTTTTGAACAAAATTTTGTATTTCTATTTTGTTAAGATTTGGCATCAAAAAATACAAATAACCCTAAACTTTCACCCTTCTACCACCAACCCCCATTTGTTAATAACGATATTAGTATCTTTACTTTCATCCACATATAAGGTTGCAAGATGGCTGTTGAATATATTATATATATTATAATTTATTTATTTCAATTTAATTTTTTATTTAACTACCGTATTCACTAGAAATAATTTATATAGCAAAACAACGTTTGCCGGGTCAGCTAGTATATGTACCTATACGATTTTATTGATTTTGTTTTTATTTGATGATAATTAAGAACAAAAATGTTGTTAAATCAATAAAAAAAAAGTTCATTATTAATTTTTTTTCGCAATTCACACATTTTTTTACATGTTGCGTCAGAAGTAGTGGTAGGGCTATATTTCAAATGTTTTCAAATATACAGAGTATTTCGTTTGAAAGTTACACAACGTAGTTGTATTTTTTTAAAGGTAACTGACATCCTATGTATTTCAATAGAAATACAGGGTGAGTCACTGAGCACACGCTCCTCGATATCTCATTATTTATTATTAAAAATAGAAAGAAAGTTCTAGACTAAAATTATTTTCAACTACACAGAGTGATCTGTTTTTACGGCGTAACACACAACTTAGTTTTTTGCAATAGAATGAATATCCCAAATATTTTTATATATCTTGATTGACCCCTTCTTAGGTTTTATAACCACAGGTTATTTTAGAAATTTCGATGCTAGGTTGACGAGATATCCCAGTTTTGTTGAAATTTTTTAGGGTTATTTTTAGAATCTGAATTACAACACTCTGTCGAGAAATAAATATGCGCTTTATTGTGGTATAAATAAAATTGGGTTTTGCAAATACCTATATTTCACTTTTTCCAAATAGAACACCCTGTATTTTATTATAGCATCTTGTTCTGTTTTTTGTTTTCTTTATTTTTTGCTGAGTATTTTTTATATTTAAAGTTGACATTTATTGAGATTTTTTACTTGGTTAAGGGACACATCGACTCACTGAAAGAAAGAAAACAAAAAATAGAGTAAGATTCAGTAAAAAATATCTAGGGTGCTCTATTTGAAAAAATTGAAATATGTATCGATATTTGAAAGTTCTAAAGTTAATTTTTCTATGAACACTCTATATATTAAAATTTTATTTAATTGATATCACAACAAAGAGCGAATCCTTGTTTACTTTCCATAAAATATTGCAACACAGTTCTTAAAAATAACGTTAATGTGATTTTTTTGACAATTGCTAAAAAATTTAAAAAAATTGGAATAACGTGGCAACGACGCAACGGAATTTAAAAAATAACTTCTGGTTATAAAGCCCCGGAAGAGGCTAAAAAGAATATATAAAAAACTAAACTAACTAAACCTCGAAAACAAAACACTTTGTATAGCCGAAAATAATTTTAATGTATTCTACTCAAAGAGCCGTACAATTTTATTCTCTGACTTTTTTTTATCTGTAATAATTAGTGAGATATCGAGGACCGCGTGCTTACTGACTCAGCCCGTATATTCCTTCTTAAAAAAGTAAAAACCTGATTTCAAACGTTGCTTTTTGATCAACAGTGTTCAACGTATTTTTATCTAAACAGAATTGATTTGGCAAAAGCATAAAAAAAATTAAACAGTGATTTAACTGATTTATACAGTGTGATTTAAATTGCAAATTGTCTTCTCATATTATTTACATGGAAAACCTGTCTTTTGTAACATTTTCTGGCCTGTCCGAACTGCGATACATTTCTAATCTGCGGCCGATATATGCAGTATCTTATAAGCTAAAATTATATGACACTAACAAATTTGTATCTGTCACATTTCACAAAATTTTGCTACTCGCTAATTTTAGATTCTATGAACATCTGTCTAAAAACTACATCTTTTTCAATGTACCGTTTTTTTTTTTTATTTTTATGTAAAAATTACAGTTTGGATTTAGTTTTTTTCAAGATTTAAATTTATAATATTTTTCCGAATTGATATTTGAGCAAAATTTGCACCGCAGTTCGGATACGACCACATTTTCAGAGTCATTTCTAAATAAACTTTCTTTTTAGATCGGGTAAATTTTTAACTTCTGCTCTAGTTTCAGTTTCACTGCCGACATAAGCGTCATGAACACCCTGTCTATTTCGAAACGAGTTTTAAAATATCATAAAACATGTGGTGCCGCGTTTGAAAAACTATTTAATTACTTGGTATAAATAGTACTATACCTTGTTTAAGTAAGACAGATCGACAAAAAATTATGCCGGTTTTAAGACAGGTCAAATTGATCGCCAAAAATGGATGAGGGTTCTAAAATAAATCCAAATGGTCGGCAGAAAATGATGCCGTTTCTAAGGCAGGTCAAATGAGGTCAAACTGTCCTAGAAACTGCATCATATAACTACTCTTGGCAAATGTATGTTAAAGAAAGGTAACTAAAAATTTTTCTCAAAATTAGGGACTTTCATTTTCAAATATATGCAATATGTAGTACAATATAATTATTGTAAACTGTAGCTTTAAATGAGTTCTATTTTAATTGTGTGTAAGAACTTTTTCGATATTCCATGTTAAATAACCGTTGGGTCACTCTGTATATAGTGACGTATATGTACATGGTTATGTACGTCCCCATTCTTGTTGTAGGTATAAACTTTATTTCTTCAAAGAAGTGAAATCTTTACGGGAATATTTTCTGGAAGTTTTCGATGAAACAAATTGTGTTTATATAGAACAAACTTTGGATACGATGTTATGAATTTGTTTGCTCTAGCAGCTTCTGTCATCTATGACATCAGCATGTCATAATCAAACATTGTTTACTGTTCCCAACTCGCTTGTACTTACACTCGTGGCAAAACTTGTGATACCATTAGAAATAAAACAGCTAATAATACGTATTAATTAAAAATACGCATTGGTATTTTATTTTTGGTAGTAAACAATAATAATTATATATCATCTAAATGAATGTAAAGAAACAGAGGAAATAAATGTCTCCGAAGAATGCAGTTAGGGCATATAAAAATGTATAGAAGAGTTTCCACAGATCTCTAATATACCTAATATACTTAATTAATGAGAAATTAGGGAGCCGGACTCTGTATATGTTTTCAAAAAAACATGTTCTCGACATGCAGACCATTAATTAAATTCAGCGATATAATTAAATTTATTTTCCATATACTGGGTGTCGCAGATGTATCTGTTGCACTGAAATTTCTCGTAAATAATTCAAATATTAAATTGGGACACCCGATATATGCTAACTAAACTGCGAATGTAAATTTATAGAATACATCATATTATAATAGGTAATAATTTTGGACCAAGTTAAAAAAAATTTATGTTGTATATTTGACTTGGACTGAAAACCAGATTTAATGACATATCGAACAGTAGCGTCGAAACCGTTATAGTATAACATTTTCCAAATTGGCCCCTCCAGCAACGAAAAATACAATCATTTTTTATTTTTTGTAAACTCTTCTATGTTTGTTTTTAATTATCTCCCTTAATAGATCTTTTTGTTGGTGCAAAACATTTGAAATTTAAACTTAATTATGCTCTGGACTTGTTTACAGCAGGGTTGCTGTCGCATCAGCATAGTATAATTAAACAATTACCAAAAAAACTTCTCCTATTTGTGTTAAATTTTATGTAAATCATACGTGTTTATCTTTATTTTTTAGCGCATTGTGCTCGTATCTCGCTACATTATAGAAAAAGAAGTCCAGAAGGATATTCGAAGACGACTCCAGGCTCGTTCATCTCATGTAGCGAAGTTTGCGAAGCGTTCCTAAACACCAAATAAACAGTTTATTCGAGTGTGCATTACCATGAAACGTGCTAAGTAGCCTTGATATGCTAAGTGACGTCATAAGAAGTGTGGAATGGCAAATGCTAAATCAGACGACATAATGTTAGAAAATCTCTTCACAACTCTGTATAAGAAAAGTTCTATAAAAAGCAGAAAGCTTATTTCAAATGACACTATAAAATAAAAAGTTGTTTTGTTTTAAAGTTGTGTAAATTCCTACGGTTCATAAAGATGTAGAACGATGTGCTTAAGCTTTTTGCAAAATTAATAAATGCTAAAAAGCTCTTAACGCCGTTCCATAAATGTCTAAACTAAGTTTTAATGATTGTAATGCAAATAACTTTCCAGGGATTACGTTATGTTCATGAACGTCAGCAAACTCGTAAAGCACTAAGACGTTGTTTCAAGTTTCTAGTTGTAAGTAGAAATAAGTCCGTTTATGTCAAATGGGAATTTATATTAGATTTTGCAAGTTGTTCCTCCGAGAAATTTCTGCATACAAGTTACCACATTGTAGTAAACGAGAAATTATGAGTTCTCTCACCCTCATTAATGAACGTGCCGCATCTAAATTTACGCGCTAAAACTGACGAACTTTTTTAAACTTTACCCCTCATTCTTCATTAAAACTTTATTCAAGTTCAGCACAATATCAACACTAATAAAAGTACCATAGTAACAAAATTTACGGCTTTAACGCAGAACCGTACCCTTTGAACATTTTTATGCAATAAAAGTGTCGACAGCTCCATTACGCGCCAGAACGAGGTTGAAAAATGGAAAGCTAACAAAGAAGGGGTTGAAAAAGTGCCAAGATAATAAAGACGTTATTACTTCTTTACTTCATACACTGCACATTCAGTTTCATTCATAATTCCCCCTTTCGTATCGTTTTATTCTACTTACCCCTTGAGTTTACGAAGTGATGGTTTTTGTTAATGAACAGGAATGCACCCCCGAACCAACTGTACGTCACACTTACAACCCTAGTGCTAGTTCAAGGGTGGCTGTTACGGCACGCTACTGCAGTCTGGATCCATACAGGACTTTCAGTTATATGCTCTCACCTCGGCGCCGGTCGGCCAGGATCGGGCAGGATCACGGCGTGGGTGGCCATGTTGAATAAGGAAGCTTTTAAGCGCACCAATATTTGGAATAATGATTTCTGGGAGAACTATTCCATTAGCGATAATAATGTGATCGTAGTTTTCACGTTGATGATTAAAGGTCCCTTAAAGCAACTGCAAAAGCAAGAAGGAAAAAGTTTCTAGTAATTTATGTAGCATTAGTAGAATATTTTATTGAAAAATTAATTTTGTGTAAACGCCCACGTGGCTTTGGGTGAAGTGTTAATTTATTTAGTTTTTTCTTATTTAAAGATTTAAAGTGCAAGATTTTTGATAACAATTAATTTTCACTTTTTCAAGCTACATACTTGAAATTTTGGAGGCAAGTACCTATTATAAAGAATGGTCTACCATTATGTCGCCTCTGGGCATAATTATAATTAAAAATATTCACTTCTGTTTTTCTCCAATGAACTATTTACTGTTGTATTTATGTACCTATAAAAAAATAGTAATCATATACGATTACACATGATTACCAATTTTTTTTATGTTCGTGCTTGAAACTAACAGTCACTAATAATTACGATACCTCTGAAGTAGGAAGTGTATTAATTACACTGGTCAACAAAATTTAATTTTTTCTCTCTAACTTTGACATAATTGTAATGTTTTCGTTTAATTTGTCTCTGTGTTTGTAACAAAGAGCATAAATCTTATAACTTAGCTCAATTAAAAAAAATATGCATATTTGATGTTCGAAACAGAAAATCAGGTAAAACAATTTAATTTTTGTATCTTTAACGGCAAAAAGTGTAGTATTAACAAAAGAACAACCTTAAATGAGAAAAAAACAACGAATGTAGTTTAAAAAACGAAAAAAACAAAAGAAACAGCGAAGACCGACGTTTTTTCGGTTGCCTCCTATAGATTTTATTGGAGATCTCTCGCTTGATGGTCCCGCAGTATTCTGCGAGCATTTAGGTGTCATTTAGGTATTCCATCGATCTTGGTAACGTTTTTCTATCGACAAAATGCCCAGATGGATGCGTTCTCTATGATGGTAACTCACGTCGTCACAATTTTTGGGGAAAAAATCAAGGTGCGAGTGTATAAAATGCACTTTTAAGAATATGTTAATTTTAAATTTTTTATATGATGATAACATGTCTTCTACTTACTAAACGTAGTTTTCTTATTGTTTCCCAAGAAGTTTGTAGTAATTTGATTACAAAAAAATACACCTTATAGTAAGTTTCCTATTACTTAATAGTACGATTTTTGTATTTTTCAAAGGATAATATTTTAAGATTACTTTTAAATGAGAGCTAAGTTTTGGTTTAGCCCTTTATAATATCATTTAAAATTGCTAATTAAATAATAATTGACTGCTATAATAAAAGTTAGAGTTTAGCTGTTGACCAGTGTTATTATTATTTTATAATAAAACATTTCATGCTGTTAAAAAATGTCTAAAAACGATATTCAGAACTGGAAATAAAAATAACATCAGGTTTAATAAACATTTTTGCGATGTACGTACTGAGTATTTTTAAAATCAAAATTGTAACTTTATTATTTGAAAAACTTTGTTAGTCGGCCGTCTCTTCTTTCTTATTTTCGTACTTGCAGGACCACAATTTATAATCCGTTTATTCTGTCTGAAATATGGGGGCCTAAATCCTCTTCATCCACTAAATAATATTATTACCGAGAATGTAATTACGGCGGTTGAGATCATTTGGAAAAAAGCTTTGCGGGTTCAGAGGAGATCTGATGACGCATTTTCTTCTATTTTAACACGACGCTGAACATCTATAAATCGCCCATGAGATTTATTCGTTTTATACGAGGGATTATGGAGGTATAACATGAAAGTTGTAAAAACAGAAATAAAACTGCCTGTACATTTGTTTACCGATTCGCCGGAGCACTGAAATATGACCCACTTTCGGCTGTATTCTTCGAGAAAAAAACTTGTTTTTCATAAAGGATAGACGTTCTGGTTTCCATAATCTACGGAACTAGAAATAGTTCCGTAAGGATATAAGCTTCTGGCATTTTTCGAAAGGTCAGGTCAGGATAAATCCGTCATTTTAATATTCTCCGCATGAATGTTAAATTTTTCATGCTTGAGAAGTTTTGCCATGATTGCTGTAAAACGCAATATATTGATTTTTTGTTGAAGTTCTTACATTCCTGTCAGGTTGCTGAAGACGACTTTCTTGTAAATAAAGCTTCGTGGGGCTTGAGCGCGATAAAAAGCAGTTTCGGAGGTTGGTATACCAGAGGAAATTTAATTTCAAAACTTCGCCTCCACGGATTTGTATTAACAATGTTAGGGAGCTTTTGTTTCTGAATGTATATGTATAAAAAATGAAGATGCGTTGCGGTAACAAGAGCTTGAAATTGTTTATTTTTTTCATATATTTTTTCTTGCTTTATTTTATCTTCGATCTATGTTTACTTTAATTTCACAAAGTACTAGGAAATATTTTCTGAGGCACTAAATATGGCAATATTTTAAACATTCTGTACAGTCTCCGTGAGGTGAAGCAATACTTTACCGCAGTTTATTCATGTACATATCTAATTGCAACACGAAATAACAAGTGGTGCAACATTTATGTCGTATTCGCTACTAATTGGATCGCTTAATTAACTCGGGTTAATTACGAAAACATGATAAAGTGTGCTTTATCTAAAGTGAGTAGGTAATAAAATAAGAATTAATTTTAATTAAAATAAGTGATTATGCGAGCTTCCTTCTGTATCTTTCCTCGTTTTGTTCTTTTATTTATTTTTATTTCCCGAGCGTAAGGGAAGGTAGTATTGTAATCGAGTCCATCAGACGACTTGCTACTTTCACGTTTTCTCACGTTTCATGACCCCTAGAGTTCGAAAAAAGTGATCTCCTATTTTCGACTGTTTGTGGTCTGTGCCCGTTTCTTTTACATATTCGTAAAATTTCGAATTTTCGATTTTTTTATATTTCGAGTTTTCGATTTTGCCATAACCGAATTTTTTAAATTTTGATTTCTCGGTTTTTCAATTTTTCCATTTTTCGAGTTTTCGATTTTGGAATTTTTGATTTTTCGACTTTCGATATTCGTTTTTTCGATGTCGATTCTTGGATTTTTCGATTTTTCGAAATCTCAATTTTCGAATTTTTGATTTTTCGGTTTTTGATTTTCGATTTTTAGATTTTTGAAATTTAGGTTTTCCGATTTATCGGATTTTCGTTATGATGTTAGATCGAATTTTCGTTTTGTTTACTTTTCGATTTCTCGAATTTACAATTATTTGGTTCTTCGAATTTTCAAATGTTCTATTTTTCTGTTTTGATATTTCGATTTTTCGATGTGTCAATCTTTCAATGTATCAATTTCTCGGTTTTTCGATTTTTGAAATTTTGAATGTTCCAAATTTCGGGTTTTCCATTTTTTCACATTTCGTGTTATCCATTTTTCGATATTAGAATTTTCTTAATTTCGATATCTCGATTTTTCAATTTTCGATTTCTTGACTTTCGATATTTCGGTTTTTCGATTTTCGATTTTTAGGTTTTGGAATTTTAGGTTATTTCGAATATTTGATTCATCGAATTATTATTTAGTTTTTTTTCCGATTTCTCAATTTTTCAATTTTTCACTTCTTTGATTTTTCAAATTTTTTATTTTTCTCTTTTGATGTTTCGATTTCTGGATGTTTCAATTTTTCAATATTTCGATTTCTCGGTTTTACGATTCTTCGGCTTTTCGATTTTCAAAGTTTTAATCTTCGAAATTTCGAATTTTCGATTTTTTTATATTTGGAGTTTTCGATTTTTCGATAACCGAATTTTTAAAAATTTGATGTCTCGATTTTTCAATTTTTCAATTTTTCGAGTTTTCGATTTTAGAATTTTTTATTTTTCGACTTTCGATATTCGTTTTTTCTATGTCGATTCTTGGATTTTTCGATTTTTCGAAATCTCGATTTTCGAATTTTTGATTATTCAGTTTATGATTTTCGAATTTTAGATTTTTGATATTTAGGTTTTCCGATTTCTCGGATTTTCGTTATGATGTTAGATTAATCGAATTTTCATTTTGTTTACTTTTCGATTTCTCGAATTTTCAATTTTTCAGTTCTTTGAATTTTCAAATGTTGAATTTTTCTCTTTTGATCTTTCGATTCTCGATGTGTCAATCTTTCAATGTATCGATTTCTCGGTTTTTTGATTTTTCTATTTTTGAAATTTTTAATGTTTGAAATTTTGTGTTTACCATTTTTCCACATTTCGTATTATCCATTTTTTGATATTAGAATTTTTTTAATTTTTCCATTTTTCGACTTTCGGATTTTATAATTTTCGATTTTTCGATTGTTGATACATATTTCGTTTTTTATATATGTCGATTTTTAGATTTTTCGATATCTCGATTTCAGAATTTTTGATTTTTAGGTTTTTGATTTTAGATTTTTAGATATTTGAATTTTACCTTTTCCGATGTCTCGGATTTTCGTCCTTTTGAATAATCCATACATCGAATTTTCATTTTGTTTCCATTTCGATCTTTCAGTTCTTTGATTTTTCAAAGTTTCGATTTTTCTCTTCTGATGTTTCGATTTCTAGATGTTTCCATTTTTTATTGTTTCGATTTCTTGGTTTTACGATTCTTCTGCTTTTCGATTTTTTTGAATTTTTATTCTTCGAATTTTCAAAAGGAAACCCTTTTCGATTTCTCGATTTTTCAATTTTTCAATTCTTTGACTTATCATATTTTTGATTTTCCATATTTTCAATTTTTGTTTTTTTTTTATTTTCGATATTTCAATTTTTACATTCTTCAGATTAGACTTTTCAATTTAACCTTATCCTGTTATTGAAATAAATAAAAATAAATGTACATTTTTTAAGATTTCGATTTATCAAAATGTCTGTTCCATTTTTCAGTTTTTTAATTTTTATTTTTTTTTACTTATCGAATTTTTATGATTTCTCGAGCTTCCAATTTTAATATTTTTCAATTTTTGATTTTTTGACTTTCCGTAAGATTGTTCTATTTTTTCGAACTTTCGATTTTCCGTTTTTCCATTTTTCTACTTTTTGTTTTATAGAGGCAAAAAACTTTCAAAGAGCGGGGTTTATTGGGGTTTACTTCAAGGGCGAGGAAAATTCTGCCGAAATATCCTTCTTCCATTTTTTTTTCTAATATTTTAAAAATAAATGTAAAAACTTATTTGAAAAAAATATTTCTTTCTTTTTTTTTTCATTTTTTCTTGTGGCAAGGTTGCCTTACATTTTATTTTTATCTTATTTTATTGTTAATTTTCCATTTAGATTTAACAGGCTGAAGTGAAGATGAGAACAGAGGCTTCTCGAAACATGTCTTTTCTATAATAAAAACACCTTTTCAAAAATGTGGAGTCAAACATAAAACTTTTTATCTTTCATATTAAATTTTTACCTTTCATATTGAAAAATTATTGTTATTCTTATCTCAGTGCCTTTGGTGGTCGTCATAATTTTTGATTTCGGTAATAAGGAATATGAGTAATTTATCGCAAATTGGAATTTTGGTCTACTTAAACTTAAGTGAGTATAATGAAAAAAAAAAAAAAAACAATTTTCTAAAACAATTCTAAAAAATATTAGTGTCATAAAAAATATATATATAGGTTGTCAAAACATTGTTATTGGTAATACTTATTGAAATTTGTTTTAATGTACAGAATTTATCATAAATAACAGTTCACAAAATCAAATTTATTCATTTTTCGAAGAAACGGGATTTGTTGGACTGTACTTAAAGGCGAGGGAAGTCTTGTCGAAATAACCTTCGATCCCTGTTTATTCTACCCTTTCTTTAAAGTAAATGCTTCCAATCGCGGTACTGATTTTAATATGTAATTTAATATGACATAAGCCACCGAAAATAAATAAAAATACATCAATAAAATAAATCAGACCATGTTTAATTAAAGGGATTATATGCTTGAGAACTCAATTTTTTCTGGAAAAACTCATGACGAATGGTTTCAGAGTATCCATTAGGGTTCATGTTCACATAATAACATGAAATTATAGTTTCATTTTCCTAGTAGTGGTTTACTTATGAAACATTTACATATTTATTTGGAAACACTATGGCTATAATTCCACTTTACATGTTATAATCAACATGCTTATGTTTGTTCGATAACTTGTTCACGTGATTTATATAAGTTATCAGTGGTTGTAATCTGCACACAACAGTGCTACAGCAAGGGCGAGCGAAGTTCTGTGTAAATAACTAACTGAACGAAAATTGGGTTTTTCACAGCTACTTGACCACGAAAGTGCAAATTTACCATTTCGGTCTGTCTTTGTAGTCAGTTTCATTTCATTTGTCAATTAAGAAAGCTTGTAAATTTTTCCAGATAGGTAGCACAATGATTTTTAAAAGCTTTGTAATATCTAAATTAATGTGAAAATTTCAGTAAGTTGTTAAAAAATCCTGCATTTTCGTATTCTGTGCCTGCATATTATCAGAAAAAGAAAGGAGGCATTCGTCAAGATGATAAAATAGCGCTGAATATAAAAGAAAACTTTTGGTGCCTGATATTAACAAACATTATCATGCTTTTGGTCATGACTACTAAAATTATTGAAAATGTAACAAACTTCTTATAAAATACAACAAAAGGTGGAAATAACAAATTAATTCCATTATGACATATCTGAAGAATGTCAGCTATAACAAAGCGCAATGAGGGACGGCGCCAAATTGGTTTTATCGATTTTAGGAATAGTAAATACGTGCCTTGTAAATTAATTTCATCCATCGGATTTAACTCGCCTAAAAAATTAATCCAATTTTTACAAGACAGACACTTGCCAGCTTTAGAACAGTATCGATTAATAAATTTGCCGTGATACTTGATCAAAGGCTGAAAATTGCGTGGGGGCGGGTGATTAATTAATTTTAATGTCAGCAAACCTGTGCTGTTGTTATTTACAGCATCTATTTGATGCGGCTAAGTAATTAGTTTAGCCTAGAATCATTATTATTAGGGTAATATCATGTAGCCCATCGCTGTTAGAAATTCATGATGTGTTTGAAATTTCCTGGAGATGATGGAAGGTCATTTCCGCTACCTTCGGATCTATGTGCCAATTAGCACTGGGGATGGAAAGTGGTAACAAAGTTTTAGAATTGGTTTACAGAAGTAATTAAACAGTTCGGAGTTTGCTTAATACAAAAATCTCTTTATGGATGAGAACTGCCTATTTTCGTTAAATAAAATTAATTGGAGGGGTTTTGTTAAGCGCGGCTTCTCAGAAGCTGGAAATTAATTTCCTTTTCATTATTTACAAGACAAAACGTTGTAAACATTTTTTGTATGCTATCCATGTCACGAAATTTGAATTTAATTGAACTATTAAGTTTTAAGACACCGTCTGCATTTATGTTCTTCATTATCGTGTTTTATGTTCATTATTTGGTGGACAATTGATTACTGATATTAATTTAAAATAAATTATTATTTTACTTAAATAATTAAATAAATAAATACATAATTACAAAAAGTACACGACAATATTATCTATAACGGTAAAGTTCATCACATGGGCACTTCTCAACGAATTAATAACTAGTATCGATTCCTGTAATAGCGACGATCCAGGGTTTGAAAAACGTCGTTCTCATATAAACTCCCGGTAAATAGGGTGCTGCGCACTTTATACCATGAGACACAGTACCAGTTAATTGGTACCTTCCGTCAGGCCGCTGCAGCACCAACGGCCCCCCTGAATCTCCCTGAAAAATGGCAAATCAATAAAAGATAACGAAAAAAGGATCAAGTTTACTTCGCAAGAATCCTTTTGGCCGTTAGCATAACCGGCGCACAAAAACGAATCCAGGATAACTTTTGAATGTCCTGCCGTGCGGAACATTTCCTGGCAAACGTGATTTTCCATGATAGGAACCTGCACTTCTTGGAGAACTGAAGGGACGCCTCCTCCATATTTCAAGCGACCCCATCCTGTTACGGTTGCCATTCGCCCTGTGAAATCTTCGTTGTCTCTAGGTAGACAGATCGGGACTGAAAAAAATTATAAATGAAATCATCTGAGGTATTTTTTAGACAAAATACCAAGAAAAATACTCTTGTAAAGAAAAATAACTTAAAATTTTCCGTCTTGTTAGAAGATAGCCACAGGCATATTTGATTTTATTGTAGGTGAATTTTGTCGATAAACCTATGCAGCTGTGTATATTTTTAGTGTTCGATCAATATCGTAATTATTATGAAATGTGTTAAAACGTGGGAGTAGCGATTGTAATGATTATATCACAATTAATTGCTTTTGGGGAATGATACAGCTGTTTGTACATGTAGACATAAAGTTTTATCTTTAAATTTGCCATTTAGTTCAAAGTAAAGCAATGGCTTCACAAACCTCCCACGCGGAAACAAATAACGTCAAATAATTTAGGTGGAGTCACTGTTTTATGGATATGCTGCATTTATGTGTTTTATTAGAATTGCTAGCTTATCAGAAAATTGGATAAACTGAACTATATATGACCAATATAACTGGAATAACGAAACAAAAAGGTGAATATTTTTTCATTAGTCCAGTCATAAACTTTGCATTAAAAGGTAGCTGGAAGCGTATTGAAGTAATTACCTTAATGTTGTAATTTCCAGCAACTGTGTCAAGTTCCGTACTTTATAAACAATCTTGTATTGATGTACGAGTAGATGTGCTAAATACTGGTCATTCAGTTTTCTTTTTTTTTAACGGAAGAAATACGAGTACATGGTGTCAATTCTTAAGAAAACCTATGGTTATTAGCTTGGTTCTAATTTCTTGAAAAATTAATTACCATATAACGTTTATAAATATCCTTAGCTTTATTTATATATGTAGAGATGACTTACTAAATATGGACCCGTTGGAATTCCACCAATATTTGTTAAATCTTGTCCGTCATCTTGTGTGGAACTCGGGCAAATTTTTCAACTATTAATTTAACATGGTGTTTTTCCTAATGAATCGGGACACGTTCATCTTGTTTCTGTTTTTAAAAACAGTAAGAAATAATCATAAATCCGTGTGCATTTGGTTGTTTTTCCAAAATTTAGAAAACGTAAAAACAGTCAAAGCTAATGGATTCGGTTTTTGAGTCTTATCAAATAACTTCTGGTGTCCCTCAGGGTTTGCGCCTAGCCCCAATTCTGCTTTGGCATACACAAGTGATAAGCATATGATGTAAATGTCAATAGTTTTAACAGGTTTCAAGTGGCCTTATCTTTGTACATTTTTTCTCTTCTAAGACGCTATGTATCGCAACAAAGGCTCATGTGTGCCTCAGTGAGTTTTAATATTCATATGTGCCTCAGTGAGTTTTAATATTCATAAGAAATATTTTGATGAGTAGTAATCTATTGTTCAAATTTATGCCTTTCTAGGGTATCATTAGAAATTAACAAATTGGTAGTCAAGTGCATCAAATTTCGGGTTCAAAGACGTCTCTAAGTTGGAATGATCAATCAAAAGAAATTGCTGACACGAAAATATTGAGCATATTTTCTAGCCATTCTTGTGTTAAAACTAACTTGTTTATAAGGAGAGGGAATTTCGATTAAAAAAATCGGCTCCGAAGACTTAAGCGTTGAAGCAGTTGAGATAAAAATTACACACTGTATAAATACGATAGATGCGTATTAAATACTAGTCATAACATTTAATATTTTGACTATCTAAAATATGGTCATATTTCATTTTGGCAAGTTTGAAAAAAGGGTTGGAATTTTCGAAGAAATGAATTTTTAGGCAACTTTGCCCTTTTTGAAATGTTGACCTTTTCTTAAGCACTTTCGAAAATTACTTAACTATTTTTTCAGAATCGCCAAAACGAAGGATGTTCGTTTTTAGGATATCATAAAAATTTTAATTTGGATCGGAATATTTCGAAAATGTTGAAATGAAATATGGCTATTTTTGGAATTTTATAAAAATTTGGTTTTAAGTCTAAATTCACATTTGGAAAATATTGGTACAAGAATAAACTCGCTATCTTTGTGGAATTAACACGTCGAGATATTTCCCAACATCTGTTTGTGTGGCTTCTGGAGGTTGAAATCTGCAAAAAAATCTCTCTGGATAATTTTTGAAGGTGATCGAAAAAAGTTCCAAATTTTTAAAAGGGGGAGTATTGAAAAATTCCTAGGAAATAGATCTCGACGTGCTGATTAGAAAAATGTAACGTATTTATGGTCCGGAGCAAAATTTTCGAAATATTTGGTTCGAAAGTATTTTTTTTAAGTCAAACAAATTTCTTTGGGTAATTTTCGAAGGTGGTCAAAAAAACGTCAAAATTTTCTAGAGGTGGTTTCGAAAATTTGAGTTTTTTCGAAAGGCTACTTAAAAATCCACAAAAACTCTAGGAAACAGATCTCGATGTACTGATTCGAAAAATATAGCGTACCGGAGCAAAATTTTGAAAATATGTGGTTCGAAAATAACTTTTTTTAATTCCTAAGAATTGTATAATAATTCAAATGAGCGATGCTGGAAAAATGACAGGAATTGTTAAAGAAATGAAGCCGAAAATGTCCTTCGGAAGTCGAAATCTACAAAAAATCTCTCTGGGTAATTTTCGAAGGTGATCGAAAAAAAATCGAAATTTTCCAGAGGCAGTATTGAAAATTTGAGCTTTTCGGAAAAGGTACGTAAAAATCCACAAAAAATCCTAGGAAACATCTCGATGTGCTGATTCGAAAAATATACGGTGTTTATGGTTCCGGAGCAAAATTTTTGAAATATTTGATTCGAAAATTAATTTTAACTGATGATTCTGGAAAAATGGAAGGCATTGTTGAACAAGTGAATCCGAAAATGTCTTCTGGAAGTCGAAGTCTATCAAAAATCTCTTAAAGTGGTAATGTCGGAACATTTTATAGATGGGGTTACTCAAAAATTGAGCTTTTGAAAAATTTGCCACATAATACACAAAAATTCCAGGATATAGATTTCAAAAAATTCAAAAAATATGAGTGTTTAAGTATTTTTTTTTAATCTTCGAAATTTGCATAATTCAGACAGGAGATTCTAGAAAATTGATACGAATTTTCGACGAAATGGAGTCAACTATTTCTTTCACAAAATTGCAGCCAATGGAATTGATAGAATTTTCATATTTTGGCAAATCCATAGCGACTTAACGAACATTTTTGGGAATCGATCTATAAGTTCCTTGCATAAACCAATGACAGCAAAGTTCTAAAGCGACAATTCCTGCATGAACCAATCAAAAAAGAGATTTTCGAAAAACTGAGATTTTCTCACTTTTTTACTAGGTAGTGATGGTGATATAATTACAGAGAAGGAGTGATTTTGCGTTTAAATTTTATTTAAAAATTTGGTTTTAGGAATGAAAATTCGACTAAGAGGTGAAATTTTCTTCAGGAAATAGTCTGCCAAAAGACCCCTCGATTTCGGGGGAAATTGGTGATAATTTCTCTTAGTCTCGGGAAAAATAACTTGAAAATAACTCAAGGTCAAAATTTACAAAAAAAATCTCTTTAGCTGATTTTCGAAGGTGGTCGTAAATTTTATAAGGGTACAAAAAATTGGAGCTTTTGGAAAGGTTGTTTTATAAATTCACAAAATTTCCAGGATATAGATTTCGACCTGTTGGAGCAAGCTTTTCGAAATATTTGGTCCAAAAGTAATTTTTTTTAAAACATCCCAAAAAATTTCCATATTTCATTAGGCGATCTTGGAATAATGTTAGGAGTTTTTTAGACAATTTGTTCAAAATCTCAAGTTTTCAGTACCTTAATGAAAATGTAGACCTCTGTTCAACCACCTACGAAAATTACCGAAAGAAAAATTTTGTGCAGGTTTCGATATCTAGAAGTTACTTTCGGTCTTTTACTATTTTTCCAGCATCGACCAATAAAAGTGCTAATTTTTAAGACTAAAAAAATACTTTGAAACTAAATATTTTGTCGATTTTGGACAACTTTTCAGACGTTCAATTCTACAATATTCCTTATCAAAATTTCAAACTTTTTTCCTTCCAACATTATCCAAAGAGATGTTTTTGTAGATTTAGACCTCTGAAAGTTTATTTTCGCGCCATTTCTTCTATAATTCCTACCATTTTTCCATAATTGACCACTGAAACATGTCAATTTTTATGATAGAAAAAAATTGGCTTTCAAACCGAATATTTCTAAAATTTTGCTACGGTACCATAAACACTCTAATTGAGAATTATATCCCAGAATTTTTTGTCAATTTTTGAACTAATTTTTTCCAAGAAATATGAAATTTTCAGCCTTTTTTCGACCAATTCGAAAATTACTGAAGGAGATTTTTTTTATAGATTTCGACCGCCAGAACTTATTTGCAATCTCATTTTTTGAAAAAGAAAAATTATTTTTCCAGAATTGCTTAACAAAATGTGGCAAATTTTAGGATAAAACAAAAACTGAACTTCAAACCGAATATTTTCGAAATCCTGCTCCAAGATCATAAACACGCAGTATGTACGTCGAGATATGTATTCTTGATTTATTTGTGAATTTCTAGACAACATTGTCAAGTTAATTTTTTTTAGTATGAAAATTTCGATTTTTTTTCGTTCACTTTCGAAAATTACCTAAAGATTTTGAACTCGAAAAGTTATTTTCGGCCTCATTTCTTCAAAAACTACTATTGTTTTTCCAGAATCCCCAGTGAAATATGACAATGTTTAGGATTAAAAAGAGATTTTCAAACCGAATATTTTTATAATACTGCTATATTTTTCGAATAAGGAGGTCCAAATCTATATTTCAAAATTTTTGTGGAATTTTGATAACTTTTAAAAAAGCTCAATTTTTTAGTACTCCTATCTTATGAAAATTTTGACCTTTTGACCAACTGCGAAATTTCCCTAAATTTTTGTGCAGATTTTGACTTCCGTTTCAGTTTTTTTTTTGAGTTTTTTTTTTTAAATTAACGTTCAAACCGAATCTTGCTAAAGTATGGTTCCGGGACTATAAACACGCTATGTTTTTCGAATCAGTTTGCGAGATTAATTTTTTAGAATTTTCATGGATTTTTACGCAACTTCGCCATATTCGCAATATTTTTCAAAACTATATGTGTTTTATTATCCATACTGTTGTGTAAAACTGACTGACATTTAATAGAATTTTCGAAAAGTGTTAATTATACAAAAAAAATGAGGTTATTGCAGGTATACTTCACAATGTTTACAAAAAAAATCAAAGCCAACTTGATGAGTTTTTCAAATGAACACCCGATATCATAGACAAGCAAAAAAATTGTGGTCTCATTGCATTGGTAAGTTAGAATGTATTGTTGAAAGCGATAACTTGTAGTTTTCTGGGTTAATGAATTGAATATAATAATATTATACAGTTATTGCAAATGTCAACTGTCGAGAATATCATCCAACAACTGTACGTATAATAAGTATGTGTTAAATAAAATGTATCTTTTAAACAAATAGTATAACAATATTGAAAAAAATAGTAATTGTTTGAAATCAAAGGTTTGTTACTTTGCTTATATTCATTTAAATTTTTAAAGTTACTTTGTACGATGTTCTACGTTCTAGTGACCAAAGTTAAGTAGGTGTAATGCAAACAACAAACAGTGTCACAGTGTGAACAAGAACGTTTTGAAAACTTTACAATATTCTATTGTCGTTATTGTGAGTCGTTTTCTGCGAGAAGAATAAATAAGTCCATGTGACACACATTTTGCTTGCTCAAAGTAGGGATTCAAATAAAATATACGCCATATTTACATATTTTCTAAACAACATAAGTATACTTTCTAGGTAACGTTATTTGTCCATCTTCGTGCACCAGGAGGTATTTATTGTACTCTTTATCAACACCGCCTGCGTGGAAGCGAAATACAGTTGTCAGATCTCCTAAAATATTGAATTATTACGACTGTGGTCTGTTCTGGAATCAATAAACGTGGCAGGAAACTTTCAACGTAAAATGAGGAGATAAATTGTACTGTCGCTTAAAAGAGCTTGTCACAACAGAATAATCAAAATTCCCTTTTCATACCATTAATAGCTGGAAGACTGAATCAATCAGAGTATTTGTTCTAATTTTTTATGAATGAGGTGTAATATGCGTATGTGAAGCGGATCCTAATTACTCATCGGAATTTTCTCAGCTACAAATTCGGCGTCTTTGTAATGGATCAACGAACCGTTCCGCCGATGATTATAATAGAAAGTAGCCTGATCGCGCCCAAGCACACACACAAACTGAATCATAATTGACCGTCTACCTACTTTTCGATTTAATTTGCAAAAATACCGTTCACTGAGCAAACAAAAAAAAATGAAACTTACTTATGTGTGCGTCGAATTTGACCGGAGATTCCAGTTCTAGCAGGGCCAAGTCGTTCTCGAACGTGGCCGGATCGTACTTCCTGTGGACGATCACTCGTTTGACGTTCCTGGTGAGGGGCCTCCTCGTCTCGAAATCCCCGGAAATGTCAAACTCTCCGAAAACGGCCACCAGAGAGGCCAAAAATCCGGGCTGGCAATGGGCGGCCGTCATTACGTACTTATTGCTAATTAACACGCCGCCGCACTTATTCTTTGTGAAAAGGCCCAGCCATGTCGACTCACGAACGAGGACTTGCCAAGGAAACTCGCCGAAAGTTGCCCCTTTACCACCGACTATTCTTCCGGTTTTGTACAAAGGTCTTATGCCACATTCTGGAAAAATTATATCGTTAATATACAGGTTCGTAGCCAATTGTGATGCTTTTTTTGGGTAATTTTGTTTTGTTTTCAAGGTTCTTGTATAGTAATTATATAATTTATCGCAGAATGTGGAGTAAAAACTCACATGTTGGGCGACATCTTTATTGCAAAAATATAAAACACAGGTACCTTTTACCCACATTGCGCGTAACAGTACAATAATATGTTAATAAATAGTAATAATAAGTTAAATATACAAACTAAACAAAATTACCTAAGAATAAAAATTGGCAACAAGTACATGAAGGAAGGTGATTCAAGCCCAAGAGAACGTGTCTGACAAACAATATACAGGATCTTCAAAGAAACGCAAATTAGTGACAACATGAGTCGTTTAGAGTCAAATCGATCTTTACAAATGTCACTGATATTTTTTGTGTTAAATTTTTACATCAGACTAAATTTTTTGCGACTAGAGAAACGACATAATATGCATTTTTTTTTACTACCAAATATTTTTTAAAAGCTAAGTAAAATAAATGGCACACAATTTGACAGTCGAAATACTTTTAAAATAGTTAATATAGTCAAACATCCTTGAGTTGGACCGGCCGCGAAGCTTTATGAAACTTTCCTGAAATTTCTAGTGACCGATTTGATACGAACCGACTCATATATGAATTTAAATATAAATAGAACAGTAATCAGTGCGAAAGCGTCACTTTTGTGGATCCTTTACTAAAAAAAAAGCAACCAATCACCATTACGTGAGTCCTCTTGGGTTCGAATAAGCTATAACAAACAAACACAAATAACAATTAAGCAGGAATTGCCCTTTCTTATATCACAATAGATAAGGAATAGGGGAAGACTTCATCTTCTCTATTGCCGATGTCGTCTCCTGAAGGGTTTGACTCGTCTTCTGTTTGAAGTTTTATCTGTGAATAATTAATAGTTTAATTTGTAATTATCCTACTTTTATTATGTAGCGAGCACATTATCCGACGTGCAACTTTACGTCATGTGCACTAAACGAGTAGAAGTATAATTTAGTGGAAATGAAATGTTTTATTCATAGTTGCACTTAGTGTAAAAGCTTGTTGCTCTTTCAACTTTAACTCTTAGCTATAAAAATGAAAGAAAAATGAGCCCTTAGTAAATGATAGCAACATGCGAATAGACTCAATTTTTCTTGTACAGCATAGTTACGATTACTTTGTTGAATAGGTATATAGGTCAACAGGGATGAGCTGGGGAGCAGAAACAGAACAACGCACATTAAAATTATTTAAACGGGGTTTAGATTTGTGGAAAAGCGCTTTAAAATTCTGGCGGTTTATCTTCCAAATGAGCTTTGTCAACCACAGCCGACACTCATGTTAAAGGTTAAAGTGATGCAAATTTAAGTAATTAAATTAGACGCTTACTTAAACACTTGCTTTGTTTCCCATCGTTTAGTCACAGTTAACTGTAACTTTTGCTGCTTTATATTGTTCAGTGATCACACCCAAATGTATCTATGAACTTTTTATTATGGTGAAAATGTACACGTACTATTACTGTGTTAACATTTACTTACGAGCTAAATAAATAAAATAATTTAATTACCTGGTTTGTAACTAACTTTGTATTTATGTAATGAATATATTATTTTTTTTATTATTATTATCATTTTATAGTTTAAAGTCGTTACTGCGAAGCTGTGATGTTTTTTTCCAGGATTGAAACTTTGAACATTTTCTAGGTCAGTTGGAGATTAATTAAATTTCGAAAATAAAATAGGTATATGTACATAATTCAAATTAAGTTATCCAAATTAATAAGTTGAGAAAGCTCTTAGTAACCATATTCTGGAGGATAATAATGAAAATTGATAAATATTGATTTGTTTTGTCGACACTTCTGTAATAAAGTCAATTTATTAAAAGAGCGCATTTCGATAAAAACACAACATTGAAAATTTTGAATATCCGAAATAGGGGGTCCTAACTCCCAACACTATTTTTTTAAAAATGTAAAACCTCGGGGGACCCAAATGTATTTTTTTAAGAATGTCAGTGAAATCTTTTCGGAGGTCCCAGTTGTCTTTTTTAAAAATGTAAAATCTTCTCGGGGGCGCCAAATTTTTTTTTAGAAGATGAAACTTTCTCGGTGTTCCCAACTGTCTTTTTTAAAAATGTAAAATCTTCTCGGGGGCCCCAAATGTCTTTTTTTTAAATGTGAAACATTCTCAAGATCCCAACTGTGTTTTTTAAAAATGTAAAAGCTTCTTGGTGGTGCCAAATGTCATTTTTAAAGTATGTGAAACCTTCTCAGGGGTCCCAACTGTCTTTTTTAAAAATGTAAAACCTTCTTGGGGGCCCCAAATGTATTTTTTAAAAATGTAAAATCTTCTCGGGGCCGCCAAATGTTTTTTTAGAAGATGAAACTTTCTGGGTGGTCCTAACTGACTTTTTTAAAAATGTGAAACCTTCTCGGGCGCCTCAAATGATTTTTTTAGAATGTGAAACCTTCTCGGGCACCTAAAATGATTTTTGTAGAATGTGAAATATTCTCAAGATCCCAACCGTGTTTTTTAAAAATGTAAAAACTTCTCCGGGGCACCAAATGTATTCTTTTAAGAATGTGAAAATTTCTCGGGGGTCCCAACTGTCTCTTTTAAAAATGTAAAACCTTTCGGTAGCGCCAAATGTCATTTTTAAAGTACGTGAAACCTTCTCGGGGGTCCCAACTGTCTTTTTTAAAAATGTAAAACCTTCTTGGGGGCCCCAAATGTATTTTTTAAAAATGTAAAATCTTCTCGGGGCCGCCAAATGTTTTGTTAGAACATGAAACTTTCTGGGTGATCCCAACTGACTTTTTTAAAAATGTGAAACCTTCTCGGGCGCCTCAAATCATTTTTTTAGAATGTGAAACCTTCTCGGGCACCTAAAATCATTTTTGTAGAATGTGAAACATTCTCAAGATCCCAACTGTTTTTTTTTTTTAAATGTAAAAGCTTCTCCGGGGCACCAAATGTATTTTTTTAAGAATGTGAAAATTTCTCGGGGGTCCCAACTGTCTCTTTTAAAAATGTAAAACCTTCTCGGTAGCGCCAAATATCATTTTTAAAGTATGTGAAACCTTCTCGGGGGTCCCAACTGTCTTTTTTAAAAATGTAAACCCTTCTTGGGGGCCCCAAATGTATTTTTTACAAATGTAAAATCTTCTCGGGGCCGCCAAATGTTTTTTAGAAGATGAAACTTTCTGGGTGGTCCCAACTGACTTTTTTAAAAATGTGAAACCTTCTCGGGCGCCTTAAATGATTTTTTTAGAATGTGAAACCTTCTCGGGCACCTAAAATGATTTTTGTAGAATGTGAAACATTCTCAAGATCCCAACTGTGTTTTTTAAAAATGTAAAAGCTTCTCCGGGGCGCCAAATGTATTCTTTTAAGCATGTGAAAATTTCTCGGGGGTCCCAACTGTCTCTTTTAAAAATGTAAACCCTTCTCGGGAGCGCCAAATGTCATTTTTTAAGAATGTGAAACCTTCTCGCGGGTCCCAACTGTCTTTTTTAAAAATGTAAAACCTTCTTGGGGCCCCCAAATGCATTTTTAAAAAATGTAAAATCTTCTAGGGGGCACCAAATGTTTTTTTAGAAGATGAAACTTTCTCGGTGGTCCCAACTGACTTTTTTAAAAATGTGAAACCGTGTCGCGTCGGGCGCCTCAAATGATTTTTTTAGAATGTGAAACATTCTCAAGATCCCAACTGTCTTTTTTAAAAATGTAAAAGTTTCTCCGGGCGCCAAATGGCGCTTCTTTTAAGAATGTGAAAATTCCTCGGGGGTCCCAACTGTCTCTTTTAAAAATGTAACACCTGCTCGGGGGTCCCAACTGTCCTTTTTAAAAATGTAAAACCTTCTCGGGAGCGCCAAATATTTATTTTAGAAGATGACACCTTTTCGGGGCTCCCAACTGTCTTTTTTAAAAGCGCGAAATCTTCTCAGGGGTCCCAACTATCTTTTTTAAAAATGTGAAACCTTCTTGGGCGCCCCAAATGTCTTTTTTTTTTATGTGAAACATTCTCGGAAATCCCAACTCTCCTTTTTAAAAATGCGAAACATTCTCAGGGGTCCCAACTATCTTTTTAAAAATGTGAAACCTTCTTGGGCGCCCCAAATGTCTTTTTTTATGTTAAACCTTCCAAATGCATTTTTTTAAGAATGTGAATATTTTAATAAAAATATTTTAACTCCAGCTTTACTGAATATCGTTATGAAACATGACCTTGTAAAGTACCCTTTAAATTTCGAAGAAGACAGAAAAGGTAAATCTGGATTTTTATATTCTAAGACAAGTGAGCAAAGTATGAAAATAATCATTTGCCACTTAAAAAAAAAAAATGGATCAGGTCAAATTTCGAATACTCTAATAAATGACGTTGACAAAATTAGAATGTGGTCAACATTTTTTAGTTATAGTAGCGACTCAGAGAGAACATATGGTGAATGTAGAATTTTGAATAATAAAACGAAAAAAAAACAAGCGAAAAAAGTAGTTACAAAATCTAAAAATAAAACACCTACAAACACATTACTAATTTTTCTTGAAGTCTAGATTCTGATAATAAATATGAAATTTATTGTTCAGACAGTCACAGTTGTGCCATTATCGATATTTATTACAAGTTTTTTTTGTGCACATTTTAATAAACCTCATAGAACTGTAGATAATTGTGCCCCTTTGGAAAGAACTTGAAAAGATTTTATGTTGTTTTTGCCACTTAGAAAATTATTTGTGATATACTGTTTAAGAAATGACAACCAAATTTGTTGACAGTTACTCACAAAATTGTCGAATATCAAATTTATGCTACACAACTTGGCGAATAAACATTTATAAATATTTTGTATTTTTTGTGTTTTTTATCTTGCTTTGTTCTGAAATAAATGTCCTCTTTTTTAAAGAATCATAAATAACGACACTCGTTCAATAAATCAAGCGTTCAAGTTTGTGTGTTGTCCTGTCTTCTGTTCTACTTATTTTTTTCATTATTTTAACTGTTTTCGAAATTAATTACCTAGTATACGTAGTATTTTGGTTAATGACTTGAGTTGTTTCAAACGACAGTGTTATTATTAATTTAACAATATCACAAGGTCTGAATACATAAACAAAGTATAATTCTGTTCAATTTACATTTCTGCTCCAGTTAGCCATGATATTTACGTCAGCAATTTCAACTACACTGTGACGCGTCATGGTCCACTAGAGTAGACACTTTAAAAATCATAGGATATAAAATGTGTTTTAAGCAAATATCAAAAAATATTTCTGTCAAATTCAAAAATACTTACGATCTCTATATTGTTCGCTATCCGGAAGAGTATTTTCTTCCTCAATGTAAGATTCCGTAGTAGTCTGAGGCTTCTTCGTAGTTTTGGGCTTCTTCGTGGTAGTAGAAGGTCTCCGTGACGACGTACTCGACCCCGGTCTCCTCACAGTGGTCGATCTTCTCACCGTAGGTTTGGTGGTTGCTGGTCTGGAAGTCACAGGTCGTGCAGAACTCGGCCTCGACGTGGGTTTCGCCGAAGGCTTCTTAGTAGTAGTTCCTTGCTTCTTAATAGGCTTCTTGGTCGTTGTGCCCACCGTCGTTGTGCTTTTATTGTACACAACATCCTTCAAACCTGCGAAGGGTTCTTGCAACCCTTGGATAATTTTATTGACAAATGATTCCACCTTGGTGTTTAGCACATCGTCTTCGATGAATGCTGGTGTGGTGATATCGTCTTCTTCAAAGCCTGGATTAGACATATTTAAGTTGGGGTTGCGCACAGGCGGGAAATTTATTAGTTGATCTGGACTAGTTTCAGCTTCAACGGCGGCAGTGTTGAAGTAATCATATGGTGACAAAGAACTAGAGATACTTGGTTTCGGCGTTATTAAAACAGTGGGTTGTGGACGCTCACTGGTGCTGTATATGTTTTGAGTCACGTGGTTATTAATGGTCACACTATTGATGGGTTTGAGGTTGGAGTTAATGCTGGGTCTTGGGTATGGTGGCCGGGGTGATGTGTACACCGCTTCTGGGGATCCATACAGTGGTTCTTCTAGAGGGCGTTTTGTTAGGAGTTCGTCGTCGGTGACTGGACTAAGAACGATGAGTGTTGGGGCTGGTGTTGGATATTGACCAGGTGCTGACGTTACGGAAAACCCTGGACCGGCTACGTGTGTATTGACCGTGGAACCAGGTCTTCGGGTTGGAAGGCCGCTATATACGTATGACGTAGATGGCGGTTTCGTTGATAGGAAAGCTAGAGGTGAGTTTGCCACAGTACTGTGGCCACTACCCTGAATGGTGTTTCGCACTGGCGTAGTTTTTTTATTTGAAGTTTTAGTTGGTTTAGTTTTTCTTCGTGTGGTGGTTGTGATTGGAGTTGTGGTTCTTCGGGGTTTGACTGTGGTACTAAAGACATACGACGTAGATGGTGGTTTTTTGGTTGTTGTGGGTGGACTATACCCAGGTCGTCTTGTGGGAGTTGCACTGAAAACGTACGACGTTGATGGTGGTTTCTTGGAAGTATACCCATAACTCGGATTATTCGTAGAACTCTCGTTCAACATTTGTAGTATGTTTACTATTGAATCAACTTCTTGAGTTTTGTTAGGGGTCATGTGTGAAATTGTGGGTACTAAAACGTACTTATCTCCATCTGTGGGTTTCGGTGGTTTTGGTCTGAAAATCGGTTTTTGATAACCCGGCGTCGGTGAGTTAGAAATTGAAATGTGAATAGTCGGAGCTTCAGAATATGGCACTGTTGTATCTTCTAATCGTATGGTGGTTTTTCGGTCTTCCTCCATTGGAGCTTTCGTGGTGACCCTAAAATCATTAGGACTAATGCTATTGCTGATTCCGTGTAAAATAAATGTCTCTGGAGCGGTAGTATGGGTCACTCCCGTGGTGCTAAACATCGGCTGGTCACTAATTTGCACCACCGCGTTATCCTCCACAGTGGGTAAAATTCCCGGACTTAATAGCGACTGTGCTATTTGCGAAACCCCGTTCGACATAATCTCCATAGGGGAAGGCGTCGAGACCATAACTTCATTACTGACAGAAGTCACAGGATTAATATCACTGTCTATGAGCTCTCCCATCGCACCAGCTGGCAACTGGCAGCAAGCTCCAAAGAGAAATCCGTCCATGCAAGCGCCCACAACTTGTCCATTTCTTTGACTACACTCATGGTTGAACATACAAATGCTCGGACCTCCCAGAGATGATGTCGATTTTCGTGTAGGTTTACAAAAGCGGGGCGTTATCCTGTATCCTCCAAAGAGCTTTCGTGACTCTGAAACAGAAAATTAATTTTAGAGATAACAATGCAGAAGCGTCGGATAATATTTTCGGGTCTCGCGTGGATTTCCGTTTTTCTCGCCAAAAAGAACTGAAGTGTAAATAATGTGTAGGGACGCTCGTTCAAAGCAATAAAATAGTCACAGTAGGGTAAAGTTGGCAAACTAATAAAATCTTCCAGCTGAAACCGGAATGCCATGAATTAGAACTATTTTGTTATTTCGTGCGAGTGGAATTTTATTAGGCCCGAAACGGTTGTGTTCTTAATTAGCTAAATGAAAGGGATGTTTTATGTGACCTTTAGATCGCCAAAATTCATCGAATTAAGTCAAGGCAAACAAATAAAAATTCATAATTGTTTGTTACAACAATAATGTGAGTTTCATTACCATCTGCTGGTTTGTTTTCACGTACGCGAGCTTAAAAAATTCCTACCGAAAGCTAAATAAATAATAACAGAGACCAGATGTGACGATGTTTGTATTGTTTCATAACTCAAAATTGTAGCGAAAGGAAAACTTTGCTCCTCATATATCGTCTCAGGTGAGCAAATGCGAATTTTGCTTCCATCGATCGCCCTATTCGGAAAGCTCATATACAGACTATTTAGACAGGAAATTGGGTTATAAAATGTAGTGCAAGCGTTAAATTGCTTTTGCTGGCGGGTTTTTGCACCGCGATGGCTCGTTTACGAAATAAGAGTTTGTTCACACCACGCTTGAATCATTTTAGGGTGATTGTGAGCTGTTATGGATGCAATATCGCCCGACTTCTGTTTCCACATTCATTCCCAAACGAGCGACCTTTCGACGTTAATTGCGGCGATTTTCTCCTGAAGAACGAATGCGAAATACACATTCCCGTGGTGTGAATGCGACTTAACAAGATGTTAAAGTGCTATATATATTCCAGAGATATGCGGAAACAGCTCGAGTATCCGCTGGTGGGTTCTCGAAATTGTATTATAAAACCAACATTAGGATACGGGGGAGCACAAAACACTGTAAATATAAATTAAGAATAAGTCTTAATCTTGTTGTGTATACTCCCACTTAACACAGTTTAATTAAGTGCAGAGAATCGCAAGTTGTCACACTTTCTTGACATGGATTTATTGGTTTAATTAAATAATATTGCAGGAACTAATAGCGCCATTAACTATCGGCAGCATATGGTCTTGGTGGAAAGCGGGACACGGAAATATTTTGTTCCGTTTCGATTTTGGATAAGTCGGAGAAGAATTATCACGATGACGTCACTGTGTGTCATGTTTTTGTTGTCCGGTTGGTTTGTGACCCACAAAGTCCGGACGGAAGTTCCACTGAGGAATGTTGTGATTCATCTTGAAACTTGTCTTAAGATATGCATTTTCAGGCTTTATTAGAAGCAGGTTGTTGTGGGTTGGTTCTTACATAAATCTAGGTTGAAGGAGAAACACAGAATTCAGATGAGGGTATTCTTATTCAATTTTGTATTTGTCTGTCTGTCTGTCTGTTTACCGTGTGTCTGGATTTTTATTAGACAGATTATCTTTGAAACCACTGGATCAATTATTGTCAAATTTTGTATTTATATTAGGAAAATCACGTAAATGGTAAAACGCTAACCAAAAATTGGCTAATCATCCCACGAACACATTGATGACGTCATCTCCAAAGTTCACAATAGTAAATTTCTTTTTATTTTTATAAAATAAGATACTCCTGTATTTGTGGTGTATGAATCCGTGTTCAGTTTCACTCTACACATCCAAATTTTTGGAAAAAAAATCAAATTTTATAACATTTTGTGATTTAACTTTGAAACTGCAAAGCCGAATACTCTGAAATTTTGGAAAGTTTCACGATTACTGTGATCATGGTAAATCGTTAATCAATCTTTATGCAAAATATTATGACTTATTTATGATGGTTTATCAATTTCTCGACTTCCAAATTTTTCAATTTTTCCTTTTTTCAATTTTTCGATTTGCAAATTTTCAATTTAGCAATTTTTCATTTATTGATTTTTTTATTCCTCAATTTTTCATTTTTCAATTTTTCGTTTCCTCAGTTTTTCATTTTATCGAGTTTTTATTTTTATTTTCTCTACTTTATATTAAAAATTTTCATTTTATAACTTCCTTCACTTTTTCAGTTTCTTAGAATTTTATAATTTTTCGTTTATTCAGTTTTTCAAATTCCTCGATTTTCCAATTTTTAAATTTTTCAATTTTGTTTTTTCGATTTTGCATTTTTTTTTTATTTTTCAGTTTTTCAATCTGTAATCATTCGATTTGCCAATTTTTCGTTTCTTCAATTTTTCAAGTTCTTGATTTCCAATTTTTAGATTTTTCATTTTATACTTTCTCGTTTTTTCATTTTTGCAATTTTTCAATTGTTGGAAAAGTTAAAAAATCGAAAAACTGAAAAGTCGGAGAACTAAAAATTCGGAAAAATTTAAAAATCGAAAAACAGGAAAAACGAAAAAAAAAATCGAATCTTCGACAAATTGGAAACAAGAAAAGACAAATCGAATCGATATAAATTGAAAAACCCAAATATGTAAAATCGAAAAATTATAGAATCGTCCAAAAATAAATAAATTAAAGATAATAAAATATAAAATCGTCTAAAAACTGTAACATAATTGAAAAACCGAATAATGAATATGTTTTAAAATCCAGTGGTTGAAAGATGGAAAATTTTTAAAATCGTAAAAGTGATTTTTTTTTAAATGATAATAATTTTATTAAATATATATTAAAACAACAACTAGAAAACTTACAAATCAAAAATTGAAGAAACGAAAAATTGAAAAAACAAAAAATTGTAAAATTTAAACATTGATAAATCGAATAACTGAAAAAATAAAGAAAATAAAAAACCGAATCTAAAAATTGGAACTCGAAAACTTGAAAAATTAAAAATTGAAAAACTGAGAAACCGAATAAAGAAAGAATTTTAAAATCGAATGATTGAAATGGAAAAATTTTAAAATCGTAAATGTGAATTATTTTAAAAATTATACTCCTAATAATTATTAAATGCATATTTAAAATGAAGCCTAGGAAAATTGCAAATAAAAAAATGAAGGAACGGAAAATTAAAAAATATGGAAGTTGAAAAATACAAACATAAAATATTTATAAATTGAAAACTCTAGAAATTTTAAATCGAAAAATTGCAAATCAAAAATTGAAGAAACGAAAAACTGAAAAAACAAAAATTGTGAAATTGAAACATTGAAAAATCGAATAAATAAAAATAAAAAAATAATACACCGAATTATGAAAATGCTTTAAAATCTAATGATTCAAAGATGGAATAGATAATAGATTAAATAGATAACCTATCTAAAATCAAGCCTAGAAAAATTGCAAATCAAAAATTGAAGAAATGAAAAATTAAAAAGTTTGAAAGTTGAAAAATTGAAAAATTTCACATTAAAAAAAGAAAAATTAAAAAATCGAACATTGAAAAAATAAAAAACTGAAATGAAAAATAAAAAATCTGAAAATTGATAAATTAAAATTGATGTATCTAAGAACTGAAAAATTAAAAATTGAAAACTCTTGAAATTGTAAATCGAAAAATTGCAAAATTTAAAAACTGAAACATCCAAAAGCTCGAAAATCGGAAAACTGAAAAGTTTTAAAATGAAAACTCGAAGAGATGCCCATCGTAGACCTGAAGAAACAAAAAAGAAATGAAATATTGAAAAATGGTAGATTTAGAAATTAAAGAAATAACAAATTAAAAAATCGAAGAATTGGAAAAAAGAATAACGACTGAATCGAAAAATTTGAAAACCCAAACATTGTAAACTCTAAAAATTATAGAATCATCAAATTGTAAAGTTGGAAAACCGTAACATTAAAAGATCGAAAAACTGAAAATTTAAATATCGAGAAATTGAAAAATTAAAAGTAGAAAAATTGAATAACCAATAAATGAAAATGTTTAAAATCCATGATTGAAAGATGGAAAAATTACAAAATCGTAAAAGTGAACATTTTTTTAAATTATAATAAGTATTAAAAACATATTTAAAATGAAAACTAGAAAAACTGTCAATCAAAAATTGAAGAAACTGAAAAATTTCAAATTGAAAAAAACAAAAATTAAAAAATTCTGAAAGTTGGAAAATTGGAAAATTAAAAACCGAAAAATTGCAAAATCTAAAAATTAGAACATTCAGAAGCTGGAAAATCGGAAAATTGAAAAGTTTAAAAATGAAAAGCGAAGAGATGCATATCGGAAAATTATAGAAACAAAATAAATGAAAAATTGCATATAGAGAAATGAAAAATCAAGGAATCGAAAAATTTAAACATTAAAAATTGGAAACTTGGGAAATTTTAAATTGAAAAATTGAAGAAAAAAAAATTAAAAATTGAAAATCGCAAATTCAAAAATTGAAGAAACGAAAAATTGAAAAAACAAACAAACTTATTATAAAATCGAATAATAGAATATATAAAGACAATAAAAAGCCGTAACGAAAAATTTGCAAAAATTAAAAAAAAAAGAATTGAAACTTTCAAATAAAAAAAGCGGGATTTATTGAACTGCACTTCAGGGACGAGGGAAGTTCTGTCGAAATAACTTCCGACTATTTTTTTTAATAGCCTTTAAAGACACTAAAGACAAATTCAATTCTCTTAGGAATAAAGTACTAATGTAAGGACTACCGAAACATTATTTCATTAATTTTAATTTTCTAGAGCAGTAGAATACAGCTTTACACACCTTCAGTGCGTCATACATACCAGACATATTTTTTAATAAAATTATTTAATAATTTTTCGACGTTATTGCAATAAATCGCTTCATACTTACATTAAATTTTCTAACAGTTGCTTCGTGTATAATTCTCAGAAAGCCAAAGTATATTAGGCACGTGTTGTTCGTTAAAGATTTATAAATAACGTTTTAACAACTTCTCCGAGGGAGTGAACAAGTAAACTTTAGATAATGTTCTAATCTTCTTAAATAAGTATTACTATCTTATTAA